ACCATGGTTTTTCTTCAGGGGGATTCCCGTTCCCACAAGGGCACGGGCCGGTCTGCTCAGAGCAAGAGTAGACGTCTGTCCTACAGGCTTCACGGGAAAAGGGGGCATTTTCCTCCTGGCTCCTGAATGGTTGGCGACAGGGTTTGAGACGTCCACAGTTTCAACTTTGAGCTGTTGGGAGGCCTCGGGTTCACTGGCAGCTTTGTCACTGCTTTTGGTTTCAAGGACAGCAGTGCTGGAGCCTCCACAGACTCGCTCCTTGGCTGCACTTGCTTCAGTGGCGTTCCCCATCAGTATCATCATCAGGTCCGAGGAGGAGGTGTGGAATCTGCTGCTAAATGAGCATGTGCCGAGGCTCCCCGCCTTGGTCCTCAGTAGTGGAGTCGATGCGCGGCAGGGAAACCATTCCAAGTCGTTGTGAAGCAAGTTTCCTTCACTCTCGAAGAAATCCAGTCCTTGATGGAGTGAGAGCTCCCACTCCACCGCCCCCACCCCTCTGGCTTCTTCACGCTGTTCCACCGAATGGGTCAGGTCACCGACACGACCTGGCGCCGGGTCTGAAGCTCTCCCTGGACTTGGCTCTCCCTCGCTCCGCGTCTGTCCTGGGCATTCCAGGACCTTCTCATGCACTGGACCTTGGCCGGAGCTCAGCGGCTTGGTTTCATTTAATTGAATCACGTTTTCAATGTCGAGCTTGAAACAGGGCAAAGAGCAAACTACTGTGAGGTCTCTATCGGCCAAACCACTGTCACCACTGAGCTCAGGTGGGTGGCTCTCTGCCTTCGGGTCAGTCAACTGTAGGAGAGGCTTCAGGTCAACTTCTTCAGGCTCCATAAAAGAGCAGGTGGGCAATGTCTCATTGTCTATGTATGAGCAGAGCCTGACGTGGCCTGGACTCGGGACAGTTACTGGGCTTTTAGAGGCTTCCTCCCTTTGCACAGTCAGTCCCCCAACTATTGTCATACACTCTTCAGCACTGAGGCTCGTGAAGAAAGGACAATTTAAGCTAATACGCTCTGCAAGTGGCTTGATGGCTGGATGCAGAGGGCTCGGAGGTGAGGTCAGAGTGGATAAGCCGAGGCTTTGGGGGAAAACTTTGGCTTCCAACAGGAGTGAAGTCTCGTCCTCGGCAGGAGGTCCAGCAGTCACCGTGACCGCCAGGCTGAGCTCGGTGGGTGTCCAGCCGGGGATGGTGATGGGAAGAGCTGGGCTAGAATTGCCGTCAGTGAGCTCCGGGGCCACAGGAGACAAGTCGCAGCTTATGGCTTTATGTACCATCCGCTTGGGCACAGCCGCGGGGGAGGCACTCTCCCGCTTGGGCACAGCCGCGGGGGAGGCACTCTCCCGCTTGGGCACAGCCGCGGGGGAGGCACTCTCCCGCTTGGGCACAGCCGCGGGGGAGGCACTCCCACAGGCACTGCCCTTTCTGCCTCCAACACCAGACTCTGGACTTCCAAACAATGCACTGTACTTTTCATTCAGTTTCCTAAATCTATTCCTCAGCTCCTCCAGCGCCAGTGTCAGGGCTAAGCGATTGGCTTTCTCCATCTCCGAGTGGATGCTGCAGTGTTCGCCCTCCGCTGCCTCTCCCCCCGCCGCCCCGGGCTGTGCCTCCCGGGGACCCGGCGGGAGCCGTCTGCTCTCACTCGCTTCAGCCGAGCAGCACTGCTGGGATTCCGCGGCGATGGGCGAACGTTTCACTATCACCGCATCGCTTTGCGGTGTAGCCCCACAGCCGTGACCTCCAGCTCTGCCCTCAGTGCCCAGAGGACCATCCCCTCGGAGCCACTCGGGGCCGCGAACGCTCCCACTCGCACTGTCCAGCACCGGTCCCACACACACGAGGCTGAACGAGGCGCTGCTGAATCTCCTGCGTTTGGCGATGGCCCCATAGACCGGAATTGGGGGTTGCAATGAGGTCAGGGAATTGCTATAAAGGAACAGTTTGGTGAACCCAGTCCTCGGGAGCTCCAGCAGATCTCGGACCTGCACGTCTTGACGGCCATCCCCAATACTGGTGCGATTGGCAGTCGTCACGGGGGTAGGAAGACCGTCCCGGGCAGAGCAGCTGAGCCTCACCCCCTCACCCTGAAATGATAAAACGGTACATTTAACGCAGGAGCTCGAAACAGCCGCGATCGGTCACCGTTTGCACATCACACTTCACACTGTCAAACGATCACAGGTCCTGTCATTCAGATCACAAGCGCTCCCCCTCCCGCAGCACTTCCATTACAGGACCAATCACCTCCAACTCAAGTCCATCAACAAAGCGAGTTGATAGCACACACGTCTATTCAGTCCTTAGTATCTGGACTGGTGCTCGTTTCCCCACTGAACCGCTCTAATCCCATTCCATGCGCTCTCCTTTTTCCTGCTTTTTTAAAAAAAAATGGTGCTATCTCCCCACATTTTGGTAGAGAGGGAAATTCAATTGAGAGTGGGCTGGAGTCCAGTCTGGCTGGTCTGTGAGTACACCAGGCGCAATGTAAGAACACAAGTTCTCCCACCTCCTGCATCAGGTTTGTCACAGTGAACAACCACAAAAATCACATTTGTATAGCGCCTTTCACGTCGGGGGGACATCCCAAGGCACTGGGAAGTTATTTGTACAAAATTCCAACACATCTCAAAGCTCCGTTTTACCGAGTATCAGCTGCAACTAATAACAGTCTCCGCAGTGGCGTTGGGCAAAGCAAAAAGGATTACGTTTTCGTTCGGTTTTTGAAGGAGATCAGCTCCTAATATAATCAAGTACAATGTCTGATCACTGTACTCTCCTCACTGGAGCCCTGTAATACAGAGCACAAGACCACGACGCACTTACAAGATTATAAAACAGCCGCGAGCAGTAGCAATGAGACAGTTAGCAAATCACTAGTTTACATGAACCGCTGATACCGAGATTACAAAAAAAGCCACAAATCCAGACTCACACATTGATCCATAATAGTCCAAGCTGCCAACTATCTCTTCAGCCCTGAAACAAACAAATACAATTAAATCAGCTATGTACACAGTACCACCATATCACACTCATTTCATGAACCGAACCACAGAATGCTTACACAGGCACAAAGTCCCAGGAGTTTTAGACAAAGAGGATATGTTAAATTTCAGCTCCCTATATTAATATATTTATAAAAAAGTCATCAAACACAATCATTAAATCAAATTGCTTAACTTCATTTCACTGTAAAGTTAAAAGCGACTTCTTAAAGCCTGGGAAGAAACAACTTAAATAAAAAAACTCCAGCTGGTATTCCTTCCAAAGCAGGTGAATACAATAAAATGCTTTGAGAAGCTGTAGAGCATTTTAAAGGCAGAGACCTCGTGCTGATTAATAATATTAGTTAATGTTCATTGTAAGCACCTGGTCTAACTTGTAGTTCAACCCCAACCAACTGAAAGCAGTTATTATTATTATTGTCAACTACATACATTTGCTGTCCATATTAACCTCTCTGCTTCCTCTGCCAGCCCATCCTACCATCAGTGGTAGGGCCTCCAGCCTCTCTGCCCCCACCCTTTGGAACTCCATTCCTACAGTGCCTTCACCTCGCCCCGTTCCTTACCTCCTTCAAGGCTGGTCTCAAGATCCTCCTCTACAATCACACCTTCGGTTACTCTCCTACCCCTACCCTCCCCCCCCACCCCATGTTCCCAACCCCCAGCTCGGGTCCAAATCCCTGATTCTCCAGCGCCTCAGGACGTCCTCCTGACATGAAATGCCATTTGTTGTTGTTGTTAACTGTGCAAGTGCTTGCCACTCGCTCCCACACAGGCATGAACCTTCTCTCGCTATCTCTGAGCTCTGGGTGTGAATCAGTGAGCAGAGCTCTATCCGTGACATTCAGTGTGGTGAGCACAGCAAGGGTTTCCACAATTGCAGAGATGGCCTCTTTGTGTTCTTGTGAAAAATATGAACAATAATTCTTGGATTTGATACAGCGCTAACAACATTGAAATGTGTCAAAGTGCTTCCTTCAGAAGGCATTGCTGTCAAGCGTAGTGACTGTGTATTGTGTTGGCAAATATGGCAGCCATTTTATATATGCAATGTCACATAAACAGCCATGGCTGATCTATCTGAAGGATTGTTGGCCAGGACATCAAGAGAGACTCCCACTGTGAAAGTCACAGACAGGACATCAGTTTAAGATCTTCCCAAGGCTGACATCTCTGACATGTGTAACATACAGAAAGTGACATGATCTTTCTTCTCCTTATCTCTGTCTGTTCTCCATTCCCCCTCTCTGATCTGTCTCTTTCTTTCTTGCTCTCACTCTGATCTCTTTCTATCACTCTCTTTCTTTAATCTCTCTCTCCCTCCCTCTCAGCCGCACTCTCATTTTCATTCCCTGTCACTCCCCCTCTCTCTGATCACTCTATTACAGTGTTCACTCTAATGGGACACTGTTGTGCGCAATTGGCTGCCGTGTTTTGCCCACAAAATATACAATTTACGGTGTATCCGGTGAAGCGCTTTGAGACGTCTGAAAGACGTGATAAGGCGCTCCATCAAATGCAATGATGATTATTATTTCTCTCATAATCTGTATTACGTTCTCCCGACGTGAAAGGCGCTATACAAATGCAATTTTGTATTGTATCACTCCCTCTCTATCCCTCTTATCTTCCTCCTTCGCTCTGTCTGTGTGTCTGTCTGTCTGATCTTCCTCCTTCGCTCTGTCTGTCTGATCTTCCTCTGTCTGTCTGTCTGATCTTCCTCTGTCTGTCTGTCTGTCTGTGTGTGTGACTCATTCACTCACTCACTCACTCCGATAGAAATTGAAACATAACAAGTTCTGTGACTCGCTCTGCTATTGGCTCTCCTCACTGACCGCCCAGTGCCGGGCCCGCACCCTGAATACCCAGTGCGCCGGCGAGGCAGGGGCATGGCGGCAGCTAACACATCCAGGTTCCCGGGCGATTAGCGCCTCGCCCGCTTGTGGGACCAATCACCGACTCACTCACAGCGGCCATAAAGCTCCGGGAAGGTCCGCTCCCACAGCTCTCTCTCTCACACACACAGGGGGAGGCTCAGACCGACACACGGGGAGTGAGGTGAGCGGCTCAGTCACGTTTAGAAAGTTTTTTTTTTAAAAAAAGAGGTGATTTAATCAGCTTTGCATTTGTTACAGCGCCTTATCACGTGGTGGCAGCGTCTGAAAGCGCTTCCCCGGAGTGAGTGCAGAGGGACCGGGTGGCTGACCGGCTGGTAAGTCTTATTCATGATTTTGTGCTGTGCCATTCTCTGCAATGACATTTTGCTGCTGGTGCTGAGAGTCTACTACTAATTTTTTTTGCAAGAAAGTTTTAATCTTTAAGCAAAAACAATGTAGTTGCTCTGCTTGACTAGAAAGTTGCTGGTGAGGGTTACAGGGAGGGGTGTGATAATAGCACTGGCTCATGCAGGCTGAGGGGAAACCAGGATCTCCCCATAAATAATAATAATCCTTGCATTTGATATAGTGCCCTATGTCTCCAAAAGTGCTTCACAGAATATACTGTAAAGCCAATTGACTGTATTTTGTGGGTGAAATCTGTGCCAATTGTGTACAGCGGTGTCCCACAAAGTCCTGGATAGAGTGATCACATTTTTTTAAGGGATTATTACCCTGGAAAAGTGATCTCACACACACACACACACACACACAGTTTGAGGCTGGGGAATTATGACCAGAGGAGAGCGAGCTCAGAATGTGAAGGATTAAAAGCCAAGGAATGCATGTGATGCAACCCAGGAGGCATTTAACCACCAATTTGCTGGATGGGAGCAAAACAATAGCTTAAAGTTATTAGTGACTTCTTGAACATTAAGGTGTCTGTCTTAAACTTAAGCAGCAATTGGTTGTTGCAATTCACCTACAACGTATACAGTCAATTCACTTTACAGTATGTTTTGTGAAGTGCTTTGAGATGTCTTGAAGATGTGATAAGATGCTATATCGAATGCAGGATTATATTATAAGAGGTCACAGAGGTAGGTTGGAGCAAGGCTGTGGAGGGCTTTCAATGTGAAACAGCTGTGCGGCTTGTTAACCTGATGTTAAATTGCTGCCAGGAATCGTTGGCTTTGATTTTGAATCTTATCTGATAATTTAGTTAAAGTCTGCAGTGTTGAGATCACCATTGTCCAGTGCAAATGTAGATCAAGGCCGCATTTCCCACAGCCAGATTTTCATACAGATTGTCTGTCTGTCCGCCTGTCACTCAACCTGGGATGGAAATGATTTAGTGTGGAGACAACTGGTCCTGGTTTTCCCTGAGCAAGGATGGGTGGGGGGGAGGATAATTAATATTAATCCTTGTGGTTGATATAGCGCCTTGTCACTTCGTCGAGACAGATGGTTTTGCTCATCACAGAGTTGGCCTCACTTTTGGTTATTTTTATATTGACCAGGAAACCATGAGCTTCACCGAGAACAGAGGGAGTACCATGAGATCGTCCCGGCCCGGCCCAACCCTGGCCACTAGGATCCTGTCTGGTGCCTCCACGGGCAGGAGATCTGGCAAAGTAACGGCCGGGTTCCGGCCACCGCTGAAGGATGCTAGGAACGTGTTGCAAAGTAGCTCACGTAAGGTGTCGTCCACACCCGGGAAGCAGGTGGCAAACGGTTGTGCCTTGAAATCGGTCAGGAACCCAGCAGCAAAACTCCCCGGTGTGTGTGCCGCCAAGACTCGGCGATTCAGCACCAGCTCCATCGCCAGGAATTCAGTCAGAATTGATGATGGTAGGAGGGAGAGGAAACGATCATTGCTCTTGTGCTCAGCAGAGAGCCCACTGAACGCAACGTACAACCTGTCAGCTTCTGACACTGACGCCATGGGAGCTCAGCGAGAGGCGGGAGTGGAAGGCAAGGAGGTGAATGGCGTACCGCACGGCTTACCAGACATTCTGAGACCCGCCAGTGGTGTTGTCCACAGAGATACACAGAAACCATCAGCCCCTGTGCCATCCCCCATCACCGTGGCTGTCACTGACCCCAAGGACCCAGCGTCCTTGTTGACCTGTGCTGTTGCCGCAGAGTGTCTGAGTATTGCAGTGGAACTGAGCAGCAGGTGTAAGCTGCCTCTTGCTGATCCGTTTGGTCCGGTAATGCCAAGCTCCGATGTTTCCGTCATTATCGATGAACCCGTTCCGTCTGACTGCTCAATGGCTTCCTTGTCTGAGACCTTGCCAGTAGACATGTCTCTACAGTATGCCTGCGCTCCGAGTTTGGACGAGGGCTTGAAAATGCCAGCTTTGAATCTTCAATATCCTTGGTTAACTTCCACAAAAGCTGGAGATCAGACTGGAGAGCACAGTCATTTTGGGAATGGAAATATCACTGTGAATCTGGACTCTGTGTCTTTCGGCAGATCCTTTTCCTGTTCTGACAACCTGATCCACCTGAATGATAGTTTCTTCAATAAAACCTTTGACATGGCACCGGAGGCGATCAGTGACCTGAGCAAAATGAAACTCGTTCAGGTGAGTAAAGGCACGACATTGAGCCACCGTGAAGAGATTGCAACTGATGCCGCCAAAGGTGGAGGTAGCTCTGGTGATGTCTTCAGGATTACTCCTGTGCCACATTGCAAACCTCCTCCATCCGCAGAAGATCTGACTGAATGTAATGAAACCCAAACCGTGCCAAGTGATGACATAAATAAGACCTTTGATGCACACAAACAGTCTGGAGATAACCTGAACAAGTTCACCACTCTGTCTTTCTGTCCACTGGACCTCATTCAATTGAATAAAATAATTGTGTTGAATGACCCTGAAGATGTCTCAGAACATGAAGATAATGCTAGAAATGACTCGAATGTAGCCATTTTGAGCAACTCCAAATGCCCATCTGTGGAAGACTTAACCGTGTGTAACGAAGCTCCACTGGGTGATTGTGTAGGCAAATTGTTGGAGACACTCGAGAAGGCAGACCGATCTCGAGATGACCTCACCAGGACGAGCACTGTGTCAGCCTATGCTTCAGGACATGAAGATAATGCTGGAAGTCTCAGTGAAGATTTGTCAAGCTACAAGTCTCCATCCACAGATACCCTGATGGTGTCTAATGGAATCCCATTGAATGATCTCATTGATAAAACATTTGAGGCAGTCAGACAAGAAGACCAGGCCTCCGATGACCTCAACAAGACCACCATTCTGTCTGCCTGCCTTGCGGACTTGATGGAGGTGAATGAAGGCGTGGCACTGAGTGACAGTAAAGAGATGGCAGCTCATTGCCCAGAAGATAAATATGATCCTGAGACAACCAAGTGCGAGTCGTCTCCAACTGTAGAGTCGCTGGTGTGTCATGGAACCGTATTGCGTGATCAGAGAGATGAGATCTTTCCTGCATCTCATCAAGGCTATGGAGATGACCTGACCAAGACCATCACGTTATCCTGCCCAGGAGATCACGTTGAGGGAAATAAAAGCCGAACCTTGAGTGACCCTAAAGGCGCCTCAAGAAGCGAAGATCACCTTAGAGACAACTTGAAGACTGTCAACTTGTCAATCTGTGAGTCTCTGTTTGTAGACGGCTTGATGGTGTGTAAGGAAACCGCACTGAGGGATCACATTAATAAAACCTTTGAGGCAGCCAGACAAGAAGACCAGGCTGGAGATGACCTCAACAAGACCACCATTCTATCTGCCTGCCCTGAAGACCTCCTAGAGGGAAATGGAAGTGTGACGGTGGAGGATCCTAAACGTGTGTCTGATTCTAAACGTGTGTCTAAGTGTGAAGAACATTCTGGAATTAACTTCCAAACCACAAACGTGTCCATTTGTGAGCATCGCTCTCCAAACCCCATGACGGTGTGTACTGGAGATGACCTGAACAACACCAGCACTGTGCTGTCCTGCCCCAGGGACATCCTGCAGATAAACCAAGGCCTGGCCCTGAGTGATGATGAAAATGATAAAGAACTTGCTGCTTGTTCTGCTAGCTGCCTGGAGACTGACATTAACAAGCCCTTTCCATCCATTGACCTGATGGTGTGCAACAAAACGGTGCCGAGTGACCTTGTTGACACGACTGATGTGTCCAGGACAGGCCAGGCTGAGGGGGAACTTGGCACTTTGCCCCATTGCAAATCCCCTTCAAGTGACTTGGTCCAGCCGAGGGGATCCAGCCCACAGATGCTCAATAAAGGGGCTACAAATAGCCCCAGATGTGAAGACCTTTCTGCGGATGGTGGAACGGAAGTAATGGACAAAAGCCATGGTCCAAATAAAAGCTCAAACTTTCTCAACCTGATGACCCTCAATCTGACAAAGGATATTGTCTCTGAATGTCCCAAAAACGGGCCAGGTGGGTTAACCACTTCGGAACCAAAGGCTTGGTGCGCAGGTGACTTGAGCTGTTTGGTCGATCAGCTTTCAGAGCTGAGCACTAAGGTGGAGAGCGTTTGTGTGAAAGATTTACACAATGAGGAACTGAATTGCTTTGAGAAGGGGAAAACGTTTCACGACCATACCGTGACTTCAGAATGGATCCCCTGCTTTATGTCTACCCCACTACCTGTTGCAGTGAAGGGAAATTTCACACAAGCTGAGCGGGTGGATTGTACCTTCCACTTTTCCCCCTCCTCCCTCCACCAGTGCCCCGATGACCGAATGAAAACCAAAGATGAGCTGAGAAAGACTAGCACTTTAGTGACTGAAAGTACAAGTTGTGGCGAAGGTGGACCTCTGGTTGCGAGTCGCAAAGCCCTGCCGAAGCCGAGCGGGAGATGGCACAAAGCAGTAGCTGCCAGCACCTTGATTGAACCTGCACATCCTGGAGCCAGAAGGAAAAACCTAATGCCAACTGCCATCTCCACCGGCGCTCAGCGAGGACTGGGAAAGACTCTAGTGCTTCCCGCTTGGAAGCTGGGCACAGCATCCATGGGAGGAGAGAGGGCCTTGCTTGGTGTCCCAAAGCCATGCCTGCTCTCTGGGAAGCGGAGTTCAGCTGTAGTCGGAAACGGGAGGGAAGCTGCCAACAGCAGGACTTCTACATCTCACCGCCTCTCTGTAAGCTCGGAGGTAAGTAAATGTTTATAGTCTCTCCTTTTCCAGTCCCTCCTGTACTTCCTAACTTGCTTATTAGCAATAATAATCCCTGCATTTGATATTGCGCCTTATCACGTTGTCGAGATATAGTGTAAATTGAATTGACTGTATATTTGTGGGCGTAATGCAGCAGCCAATTGCGCACATTAGTGTCCCACAAACAGTCGTGGATTGAGTGCCCAAATTTTTTTAAAAGGATTTTTACCCCTAGAAAAGCAATCCACCAATCAACTAACAAGCGGGTTCCTACTTACTGCTAGGAAAACCGAGGCGTGCGTAGTAAGGAAACTTGAACAACATTTCGCCCTCCCTGGGAATCGAACCCTAGTCCTCTCGCTTGAGAGGAGATTGTTCTAACCACTGAGCTATAGGACTTCACTGTAGTTTGACTCTCGATTGTCTCCTGTTACAGGTGTTGTCCTCTGGAGTGAGACCTCTCGCAGCTATGTCCAGCCAGCCACGCAGTAAGATTCCGGGAATGAAGATACAAGTTTTACAAAGACTGAAATTATCCGAGGCCCCGGCAACCAGCCAGTGCAAGCCAGCTGGCTCCTCACATGCGGGTAAGTGGGGGCTCCGGGAACCGGTGGCGGGAGAGGTAAGGGTCTGGAGTGAACTGGCCAAAGGTCTAAGATGGATGGTAAAAACGCACTAAACTCCTGTTAATCTGTTTGTTCCACTTCCGTGTGGCCCCTGGATTGACAGGTGAAAGGAGCGAGCGATTACCTTTATGGACTCCTGCATTCTCTCCCGATAGCCTACAACAACTTGCGTTTGTATACTGCCCCACATGCAGGATAGCGTCCTTGAGCGCAGAGCCTATTGAGCACAGTGCACTTCCCCACCTACTCGCTCTTCCCTCTAGAATAAGAGCTTCAAAGAAAAAGTGGCAAAAGAAAAAGTCTAGAGACCCTTCACGTTCTCCCAAAAGACCTCCCACCCTCACCTCACCATCTATACCTGCCCCTCTCCCAGTGCTGGCTCCAGCCTCACCCTCTGTTTCATCCTCAGGACACCATGTTTCGAGCGCCGATGACCACAAACCTCAGCTCCTGCCCCCAAGGAGTGCGATGCTGGAGCTCAAACGCCCAGGGTGTATGCTGGAGCCTCGAAGGAGACCAATCACCTCCCCCAAGAGATCGAAGCTGGCGGGTACGGTCATCAGCTGTGAACATGACCCCGGGGGCGGTGGGGCTGCAGTCCAGGGAGTAACGCTGGGTTTTGGGGGTGGGTGCTCTACCCGTGCCATTGGTGGATGTCAGGGTTAGTGGGGAATAGAGTGGGTGTTGTGTGTTGGGATCAACAGTGGAAGGGGGAGGAGGGGATTTGTGTTTGGATCTGCTGGGGAGGAGAGGGGAATTGCGTAAGGGTTTGATGGGGGTGGGGAGTGAGGCAGTGGGGTGTGTGTTGGGGTCTGACCAGTGGGGGAAGGGGTGTTTGTATTGGGATGTGCAGGGGATGTGGGTGGCAGATTGTCCACTGGCTGACACACTCGGTTGCTTCTGTTCTAGGAGAAGTGAAAGCAATTGAGACCAAACCAGTCTCACTGTTGATATCTGGGCAGAAGGCCAAAACACAGGGAGCCTGTTTTCCAGGAGGCTCTTCAGAACTGAACGTTGATCAGGTATGAAACAAGTATCTCCCCCTCAACCCCCCGGACCCCAACACACACACTTTCTGGGGGTTTTAAACTCTTAAAGTTCTTGTCAGATGGAGAAGCCAAACGGAACCCAGACCTGCATTGACCAGATCAGTTCACGGACAGATATGCCTCCCTCGCTATAAGTCTGCCGTTCACTTTTTTTTTTTGCCCCTTTATCATTCTTTCCCTTCCCCCTGGGTGGATTGGGGTGGATTTGATCCTGTATCGAGCTTTTCAAGGAAATTATTATGTCAGTTTCTCCCCTGACCCCGGCTGTCATCTCTGCCAAGTCCTGTACAAAGCTCTAACCTCAATGGGCAGCGTTCAGGATCTCTGGTCTCTCCAGTACTTCGTGCCATTTCTCTGCTCTAATTTATCTGATGTTTTGCCTTCGCAGAATAAAAACCTGGAGAACGTCAAACCCGAAGAACTTGGCCCAAGTAAGCCTTTACTTTATTGTTGCACAAAATGAGAGGGCGAGAGTGTGAGCATAGTCCTGTAGCTCAGGGGTGAGAGCACTCGCCTTGCAAGCGAGACACCTGGGTTCAATTCCAGGCAGGGCGAGACCTTGGGCAAGTTTCCTTACTCCACACACAGCCTCATAATAATCCCTCCAAAACAATAATAAATTGGTCATTTTCAATCTACGGCTGCTTGTGGGACGCTGTTGCGCGCAATTGGCTGCCGCTTTTCACCCACAAATATACAGTCAATTCACTTTACAGCATATTCTGTGAAGCGCTTTCAGATGTCGAGAAGACGTGAAAAGCGCTATATCAAATGCAAGGATTATTATTATTATAGTCAATGGGAACTGATGAATAGGAATGATGAGATTGAGAGCTTGTATCTCGCCTGCCCTGCAGGGGCCTGAGGGATCTGTGGGTCCTGCCTTGTTGACGTGTGCTACGGATCCTCTGATTGAAGGCTGAACGAGCTGCTCCTTTGTTTCAGGAACGTCTGGCCCTGTCCAGCATCTGATGCAGGAAAATGCGGCCCTGAAGCAGGAGAACGCTGCCCTCCGCCAGCAGCAGACACAGTGCTGCACACACCTGGAGACCATCGCAGCCCTGTGCTCCCGGATAGCAGCTCTCGAGGGGGAGATAGCCTCCCCCTAGCCCCCCAGGCTAAGAACCACTCCCTCACTGGCTCTCCTCGCCCCACATTCCCTATATTGTCCAGACGAGAGTTTGATCCTGTTCCCGCATCGCTCAGCCCTCACCGTGTCAGAACCCGCTATTTATGGTCTTGTCTGTCTATTTTATTTAAAGTTCTATTTAAAAAGCTGCTAACTGGTATTAATCTCTGAATGGCTCTCGCGTGTACTGCGTTGAGGCGTGTGTGTCTGTGTGTGTGATTGTTTTTAGGGGAGGGAAATTGTCTGTTTATAATCTTCCTCTGTGTCAGAAAGTGCTTCAGGCTGCTGAACTTTTATCTAACGGTACTGAGTGCAGATTTACCACCGACGCGATTTTACTCTGATTAAGCTCCGCTGATGTTCTCGTGTGCGTGCTTTTATAAGATTTCTGAATAAAGTCTTTTTAATATTCCACTGTTTCCCTGTAATCTGTCCGGCAATGTGTTGTTTCCCTGCCACGTTTACTTTGGCCACATTATCCTCTCTACAATATTGCACGGAAGAACTTGCTTTACACGTACCACCGGTAACGTCTCTGAGCGCCTCCTAAGTTTTCACGGTTTAAGCAAAGGCACTGCTTCGTGAGTAGATGGTCTCTGTACGTTACCGTGAGGTGAGTGAGGCCTCCAGCGCGCCAATGGCACAATGCGGCGCTCCGCACGCCTCGGTTTACCCGGCAATAAGTAGGAACAGGTTGTTAGCCGATTGGCGGATCACTTTTCCATGGATAATAATCCCTTCATTTTTTTTAAAAAAAAAGAAATTGGTCACCTCAACCCACGGCTGTTTGCGGGGACGCTGCTCTGGGCACGATTGGCTGCCGTGTTTCGCCCACAAAACATAGTCACTACACTTTACGGTCTATTCTGTGAGGCGCTTTGAGACGCCTCGAAAACCCGATGAGAGCCGCTGCACCAAATGCCAGGATTATTATTTAGTGTCTGACTTTGCGCTGCTCCTCACATAATTCACAGTCACTACACTTTACACTGAATCCTGTAACTGCACTTTACATCTGCAAAGGACTATTATTGTGGTTATTCCGGTGACTGAGTGAGTGTGAGGCAGTGAGAGTGTGTGTGTCTGTCTGTGAGTGTGTGAGTGTGACAGTGAGTGTGTGTGTCTGTCTGTGACTGTGTGAGTGTGACAGTGAGTGTGTGTGACAGTCAGTGAGTGTGTGTGTGAGTGTGAGTCTGTGAGAGTGTGTGTGTCTGTCTGTGAGTGTGAGAGTGTGACAGTGAGTGTGTGTGTCTGTCTGTGACTGAGTGTGAGAGTGTGACAGTGAATGTGTGTGACAGTCAGTGAGTGTGTGTGTGTGTGTGAGTCAGTGCCGTGTGTAGAGTCTCCCACACCCGCTGCCGCCCGCAGGTGTCATTCCAGCCGGGGCTGTGTGAGCGGGAGGTCGGGGCTGTGTGAGGCCGGGGCCGGGGGGTGTGGGTGGGAGGCCGGGGCTGTGTGAGGCCGGGGCCGGGGGGGTGTGGGTGGGAGGCCGGGGCTGTGTGAGCGGAAGCCGGGGCCGGGCGGTGTAAGGCCGGGGCGGTGTGAGGCCGGGGCCGGGCAGTGTGGGGCCGGGGCCGGGCGGTGTGAGGGGGGGGTCGGGGCGGTGTGAGCGGGAGGCCGGGGCCGGGCGGTGTGAGGCCGGGGCGGGGCGGTGTAAGGCCGGGGCCGGGCGGTGTGAGCGGGAGGCCGGGGGGGCCGGGCAGTGTAAGGCCGGGGGCGGGGCGGTGTGAGGCCGGGGCCGGGCGGTGTGAGGTCGGGGCCTGGCGGTGTGAGCGGGGGGTCGGGGCGGCGCGATGCCGAAGGTGGTATCGCGGAGTGTGGTTTGCTCGGACACTCGGGACCGGGAGGAGTACGACGACGGCGAGAAGCCGCTGCACGTGTATTACTGTCTGTGCGGTCAGATGGTGCTGGTGCTCGGTAAGGAGAGGCCGAGCGGGCCCGAGCCTCGGGCTCCAGTACGACCTCCCCCGGGGGAGGAGCGCCCCCCCCCCCCCCCCCCGGGCCCTGGGGCTGAGGGGCTGCTCTGAGCTCAGCGGAGAGAGAGAGCGAGAGAGAGAGAGCGCTGTAATGATATCACAGTCCAGACGTCTCAAAGCGCTTCACGGAATATACCGTAAAGTGTAGTGACTGTGTGTTTTGTGGGTGAAACACGGATTGTCGGAGAGGCCGTCCGTCAGGACCTGACGCGTTGATCCCCGAGAGTCTGCGGCTCCGTCGGGGAAAGGGACGGGAGTTTGCCTCCCGAGGCGCTGTGTGGATGCGAGTTGTTGTTGTTGTTGTTGCTGTGCGCCTCCTGTGACTGACGGCGAACCCCCCCCTCCCCTCTCCCCCCCCCACCCCCCCCGACCTTTCAGATTGTCACCTGGAGAAGCTGCCCATGAGACCCCAGGACCGCGCGCGCGTCATCGACGCCTCCAAACACGCTCACAAGTTCTGCAACATTGAGGAAGATGAGAGCGTGTACCTTCGGAGGTGAGGGTCCTGTTTCCTGGGGGTGGGGGGAGAGACGTGGGGCATTCATTGGGAGGGGGCTCTGGTGCAAGACTTGGGGTGGGGGTTCCTGCAAATGCGTGCTCCAGCTTGGGGCTCGAGCCCGCTCAGATCGGGGGCAGCGCCGCTGCCCCTCTCTTTCCCATTCCCACGCCTTACACGTCAACACCGCTGTTCACAAATCGCCCGCTCCTTACTCCATGTGTCGCTCATCGGCTTCTCCGTCTGGTCGAGAGATTGGAAACTGATTGAAGCCGTCCAAAGCCGTTTCAGTCAGGACTCTCTCTCTCTCGCACACACACACACACACGTATTATCTGCAGTTCAGGTGGTTGGGGTGCCATCATTGAATAAGTTCAGTTGAATAAGTTCTGTATCAATAAATTAAGTTCTCCAGCGCAGCGTTCACTGGGGGTGGCGGGGAGAGCGCAGTATTGTCAGGGATGCCGTCCTTCGGATGAACGTTAACCCGAGCTCCCGTCTGCAGGGGGACATGGCTATTTGTGGGATCGCGCTGTGTGCACATTGGCAGCCACATTTGCCTATACAATACAGAGTCACTGGACGTTCACAAAGAGTATGATTGAATTTGATGCAGAAACAGCTCTACGCTGAGACTGTGCACTGAGATGTTCAGCAATATGCAGAGGTGTGAGTAATCAAAGTGAGAATTTCTCCCCTTTTTATTTTCCCTGCATCTTCAGGGCAGCGGGGATAGAGAGACAATTCAGGAAAAAGTGTGGAAAGTAAGTACTTTATTACCAATTTGTTTTTGTACACATACACATCCTGACACAAACACACGCACAAACAGGCGCGCACATACACAGACTCACACACTGACACACATAAACACTGACAGACACACACCTGCACAAACATACACACTGAAAATAAATACAATTGTAGCTTGGAATGCGCATGAAATTGTATTTAAGAACTGCAGAAAAAACAACTTCCAAGTTCAGACTGGAGTTAAGAATTTTCCATAATTTTGTGAGATTTTACATTTTAATACAAAGCAATCGTAGAGACGAGGTGGGATTTGTTTTGCATTTCTGCACTGACTGTTTGATTCCCCCCTCCCCTCCACGTAGGTGCGCACTCCTCCTTTTCTACCAGCACCAGCAGAAGAATACCCCAGTCACCTTCATCGTGGATGGAGCTCTAGTGAAGTTCGGCCAAGGTTTCGGCACCACCAACATCTACAGCCAGAAGCAGGAGCCCCCGAAGAAGGTAATGTCCTAGCAACGGAGCCAGCATTTTGATATTTCACTCCTCGTCTACCAATTAGCTGCAGAGGGGAGGGGACCTGCCTCGTTATTTTCCCTTTATCGTTTTAAACAGCCGTTCAGTTGCCTGTATGTGCGCGTGTGTGTGTGTGTGCAGTTTTGTTAGTTTAAAACCTTGAAACATCCTTCCTCACAGCTTCTCTCTCTTCCTTCAGGTGATGATGACGAAGAGGACCAAAGACATGGGTAAATTCAGCTCCGTCACCGTCTCCACCATCGACGAGGAGGAGGAAGAGATTGAAGCGGTAAGCTTTACCACGCACGCCCTCCAGAGGGGGGCTTCCATACCAGCGAGGGGCAATCCTGACCCCACCACAATTTAATATTGAGCGCCGAGCAGCTAGATTAATTCTAGACACCGAGTGTTGCAGAAGTTAAAATATTTATTCTCATCGAGTTCGTTAATGTTTGGCCAGACGTACGCACCCATTTAACTGTTTGGCTGGTACCATGGTGAAGTTCTCACTGAGGTTTCTCTTATATGTTTAACAGAGGGAAGTGGCCGATTCCTACGCACAGAATGCCAAGGTGATCGAGAAACAACTGGAACGTAAAGGAATGAGCAAGAAGAGGCTACAGGAGCTGGTAAGTTTGTTCCACTGTCACTCATACCCGCAGTCAACTCTCCACTGCTCCCAGCTCACACCTGGAATGATAGTGGTGTGTGCATGCACGCGCCCAATGGTGCCTGTGTATATGTTTTCACTCCCTAACGCTAACCCTCCCTTCAACTCATTTCTCTGTCATCATCCAGTGGGTGAGAAGGTATAACTGTGTCTTTGTTTGGTCCTGTGACAGGCGGAGCTGGAGGCTAAGAAGGCCAAGATGAAAGGAACGCTGATTGACAACCAATTCAAGTAACAGCCCCCCCCTCCCGTTACGTGAATCCCATTCCCCAGGGTAGATCTCACCTGCTCGGCTTCACTTTATTTTATGTGCAAGAATAAAAATTATTGCTTTTTGAAAATATTTTTAAATTGAAGCTGCAAAATCCTTTTGTTATTCTCTCCGACGTTCCCAAGTGCTAACCAGTACGCTACGGGACTCCACGGTACATTAGAACTCCAGAGAGGTTAGAACACTGAACCAGAGTGGAGGGCAATGGTTACTGTTGGTGGTGGTGGTGGTGGTGGTGTTTGTGGCCATATCACAGAACACCCAACGATTCCTGGCAAATCTCAGGAAGATTCAAAAACCATGATCGAGTGTACTCGCTTTCTCCTGCGAAACGTGGGGCCACGATTAGTCTCAAGCCAAACAACCCTCAACCCTGCTACTGACATTCCTGCGTGTGGGGACTGTCTCCGAGCTCACGGTGTTGATAATGAAGACGCGGCTGAGCTGGTGGAGGCAGCGTGCTCGTGATCAGCGCTGCTCGCGTGGGATGAAAGGCGTTGGGGGCCGTGCAAACCACTGCCCTCCGCGTCTCGCAATGAACTGCCAGTTTTCTGCCGCTCGGGTTTCGACAACAACGACAACTTGGGTTTACATAGCGCCCTCCACGCCGGGCGGCGCCTCTGAGCGCTTCACAGTAAGGGATCCCGGGACCGTCGGGGTTTAACAATAACATCATCACGTCTTCGAGACGTCTCAAAGCGCTTCGCAGAGTATAAGGCAAAGTGAGGGGCAAAGCCTTCCCCCCCTTTAATCAGAGCACGTGTTGACAGCTGGCTGCAGTGCGCAGGCGCCGCGGGGGGCACGCGGGCAAAACAAACACGGGCTGAGGATCCGCCCAGGCCCCGCCCCTCCTCCGCTCCCATTGGAGCAGCCGCAGCCACGGCAACGGAGTGACAAAGGTCTCTTGCCTCTGAGTGGTTGAAGTCGCTCCCCCCCCCCGAGGTGGATGACGCCCCGCCCCCCTCCCCGGGGTGACTGACAGGCAGCCTCGCCCCGCCCCCACGCTGAGTCCAGCATGGAAACTTAGACACAGACAGAGAGCAGCAGTAAACAAGGCAATAGCGGACTGCCTCGCCACCACTGCAGGGCAGGGCGGGCAGGGCAGGGCAGGGCAGGCAGGGCAGGGCGGGCAGGGCAGGGCAGGGGAGTCACTGGCTTTTTATTTTTGAAGAGAATTTAAATTCAGATTTTTTTTCCGTCCCTCTCTCTCTCTCCCCCCCTCCCGCCCCCTGTACCCCAATCGTTCCAATCAGCAATGAAGCAGAACAGCAGCGTGCCTGCCTTCCTCAGCAAGCTGTGGGCGCTGCTGGAGGATTCGGGGACAGACCAGCTGGTCTCCTGGAGCCGGGTGAGCGAGCCAGCGGGTGCGCAACGCTGGGTGGGAGGGGGGGGGGGGGGGTCGCGGGGTCCTGGTATTTATACCCCCCCCACACACACACCCTAATTGGAGAGGGAAGGGGGTCCCTCCTTTAAGCTGCGCGCACCCGGTGGTGGTGGGGGGGGGGGGGGGGGCGCGGGGTGCAGCAATTTTGCCCAAAGAAAGATACAGCAACAGGACAGAGAGAAGCATTCCCTGTTTTGTAGTGGGAATGCCGGAGGGAGGGCGCGGCGGGGATTGCTGTGAGGCTGCGCTGTGGGTGTGAAACCGGGGTGGGGGGGGGGGGGGGGGCTGCCCGGGGAGGGTTGTGGGGGGAGAGGGGGTAAGAACTGCGTTGCCCCCTTTCCCGGGGTGTCTGGTGCTGAGGGGAGGGGTCAGTGTCGCACTTTATAAACGGGAGCGAGCGATGTGATTGGCCGCCAAGTTTGTTACTGTTTCACTGGGCGACACGTGACTCGGTTTGCCCCGCCCCCTCACCCCCCATTCACAAAATCTCCTCATAGCCACCTCAAACACCCCCCCATACACACATACCCCTCACCCCCCCATACCCCTCACCCCCCCATACACACATACCCCTCACCCCCCCTCATACCCCTCACCCCCCATACCCCTCACCCCCCCTCATACACACATACCCCTCACCCCCCATACCCCCTCACCCCCCCATACACACATAGCCCTCACCCCCCCTCATACCCCTCACCCCCCTCATACCCCTCACCCCCCCATACACACATACCCCTCACCCCCCCATACCCCTCACCCCCCCATACACACATACCCTTCACCCCCCCTCATACCCCTCACCCCCCCATACCCCTCACCCCCCTCATACACACATACCCCCCCCCCCATACCCCTCACCCCCCATACACACATAGCCCTCACCCCCCTCATACCCCTCACCCCCCCTCATACCCCTCACCCCCCATACCCCTCACCCCCCATACACACATACCCCTCACCCCCCCTCATACCCCTCACCCCCCTCATACCCCTCACCCCCCCATACACACATACCCCTCACCCCCCATACCCCTCACCCCCCCTCATACCCCTCACCCCCCCATACACACATACCCCTCACCCCCCTCATACCCCTCACCCCCCCTCATACCCCTCACCCCCCCATACACACATACCCCCCCATACACACATACCCCTCACCCCCCTCATACCCCTCACCCCCCTCATACCCCTCACCCCCCTCATACCCCCATACACACATACCCCTCACCCCCCATACACACATACCCCTCACCCCCCCTCATACCCCTCACCCCCCCATACACACATACCCCTCACCCCCCTCACTACCCCTCACCCCCCATACACACATACCCCTCACCCCCCTCATACCCCCATACACACATACCCCTCACCCCCCCTCATACACACATACCCCTCACCCCCCCTCATACCTCTCACCCCCCCTCATACACACATACCCCTCACCCCACCCTCATACACACATACCCCTCACCCCCCCTCATACACACATACCCCTCACTCCCCCCTCATACACACATACCCCTCACCCCGCCTCATACACACATAGCCCTCACCCCCCCTCATACACACATATCCCTCAACCCCCCTTCATACACACATACCCCTCACATACACCCCCCACATACATATCCCTCACACACACACCCTCACACACACATACCCCTCACACACACACCCCTCATACACATATACGCCTCACACACACACCCCTCATACACACATACCCCTCACACCCCCCCTCCTCATACACACATACCCCTCACACGCACATCCCTCACACACCCCACACACAAACACATGCTTCATACATAAGTAATGGTTAATCCCTGTAGCCTTTGCCCAGAATTATTTTGAAGGAAAATCATTTGAGGTGAAATGATTGTATGAGTTGCACCCCTGGCTCAGTCAGCCACACACTCAGCTCAGGAGGCTGGGGGTTCAGGCCCCACTTTGGGACTTTGATCTTGTTGGGTCAAGTTGACACTCTCGGGCAGAGCTAGGGAAGTGTTGCATTTTCCGAATATTGTCCTTCACGTGGGATGTTAAACCAAGGTCTGCCTGCTCAAGTGGATGTTAAAACCAGATTTTTTGTATGTAAGATGTAGTGGCTGTATTTTATAGGGAAACACAGCAGCCAATTTGCACACAGCAATGCCCCACAAACAGACATGAAGGGAGTGACCAATTTTATTTGTGGGATTGATGACCAGAACACCAAGAAAGAAAGAGAAACTCCCTTGTATTTTTAAACAGCGCCATGGGATCTTTAGTGTTCAGGCAGTATGGTTCGCAGTGATGACTGCCTCTTGGTGGGAATGGGGGTGACTGGCTCTCAGCTGTGACAGGCTCTCCTCTCTGTATATATCTGCAGAATGGGACCTGTTTCCAGGTGTCCAATGAGGGGAGGTTTGCCAAAGAGATCCTGCCGCTCTACTTCAAGCACAGCAACATGCCCAGCTTCATCCGCCAGCTCAACATGTGTAAGTGCCAGTGCTGGGCGCTGTGTTACCGGAAACCTGCAGCCCAACTTTGTCTATAATACACACAATGGGGTGCGTGCGATGGGATGCTGCAGTAAATGTTCCCCAGAGCTGTTGCCCCCCCCGGGCAGTCTGGCAGAAGGATAGCGTGTCTAACGCGATGTGCACCTCCCATGACACGTGTGAGGCGACCCCGGTTAGCGTGTTTCCTTGTTCCCCGCAGACGGCTTTCACAAAGTGGTGCTTGTGGACGGACGGCTGCCTCGGGACCTTGATGATGTCATCGAGTTCCAGCATCCGTATTTCAGACAGGGCGAAGCCCCTCTGCTGGAGAACATCAAGAGGAAGGTACGGAGGGTGTCCCTGTCTCTGGGGGCATGTCCATGTCTCGGTGGTGGGGGGGTCCCTGTTTGGGAGTGTCTGTCTCATTAAGTCATGTGTGTGTGACACAGGCTGATGGGTGATATTCTCGTTTTCAAGGTGTCGGTGAGCCGAACGGACGATGTCAAACTAAAACAACAGGAAGTGTCAAAGATCCTGTCTGAAGTCCGTCAGATGAAAGGGAAACAAGACCTGACCGACAACAGGATTCTGGCTATTAAAAGGTTTTGTGTGTGTGTTTGTTTCGGAGGGGGGGGGTGAGATGTGCATGGGGGTTGGGGGTGTGGAGTGGGAGAGGCTGTGTGTGTATGTGTGGAGGGGGGAGGGGATGCGGGATATGGGTTGAGCGATGCTATCAGTGAGTGAGTAGGGACTGGATGCAGGGGAAGGGGGTAAACTGAGCGATGACCTGGGGAATTGGTCTAATAAAACTGCTGATAAATCTCTCTCCGTGTTCTCTCTGTAGAGAAAATGAAGCTCTTTGGAATGAGATCTCATCCCTGAAACAGAAACAGCTGCAGCAGCATCAGGTCATCCGCAAGGTACTGATCCCCCTCTTCCCCACCACCCCTCTCCGGCCATCTTCCCAATTCTCCCCCCCTCCCGGCCATCATTCCAATTCCCCCCCCCACCTCATCCCCACCCCTGTCGGGTGTTGTTTTCCCTGTACTGAGGTTCTGTTGAACTGCAATAAGAGGTTCTTTCCCGACAGATCGTCCATTTCATCGCCACCATGGTGCAGTCAAACAGCGTGGCTGGCATCAAGAGGAAGATGTGAGTCTCACCTTCTGATGATTGTATTCACTGTGACACAATTATGCTCACTTTCTTTGGGTGTGAGGGTGTCTGTGTGTCAGTGTGTGAGGGTGTTGTGGGTGTGAGCGTGTGCGTGTGGGTGTGTGTCTCTGTCGTTGTGTCTGTGTGTCTCTTTACCACATTTATGTATTGTGATTGCTTGCCATGGTTGAACATAGGAACCTAGGAATTGCTAGACGAATAAAAGGCCCAGGTCCATCTTGTTCACCGTCTACCATCCCGTTAGTCGCTTGTTACAATAATGGAGATGTTGATAGTGGTTCATTCTGTCTGGGTTTGTGTGATCCACTTTAACTAAACAAATGTCACAGTCTTCGTGTGTACGGGAGATTTTCTGCAAGTGTACAGCCGGACCTCGGGGGTAAGTGGTTGATTCCGGAAAGCACTCAGCGAGTCGCTGTGACCTTGTCCGCAGGCCTCTGATGATCAGCACCTCAGGGGGGACGCACTCCTACGCCAAGTACAGCCGGCCAATCACCATGGACGCCAGCCAGGACCCCACAGCTGTACACGGCATTCCGGTAAGACCCCACCCCACGTGCAAGTGAAAGGCACTGCTGGCAGATCAGCAGGACTGGGCCGGGCTGAGGGTTTGACTGACTGACTGACTGACGCGCACACACACACTCCACTGCAGTGCTGGGGGGAGCGCTGCTTTGTCGGAGGTGCCATCGTTAAATTCAGACATTAAACAGAGCTCCTGACTGGCTGTTCAGGTGGGAGGTTAATTTAAGCACATTGGCCTCTCACTGTCGGTGGGGTGGGGTGTCCTCACGCCTTGCCCGGACTCTGGAGCATTCGGTGGATCTGACATATTTTCTTTCCTCAGAAATGTGAAACATGTGAGAAAAGCAGCGTGTATCCAGGCCGAGTCATCATCTCTGACATCACCGACCTGGACACTGACCAGGCTCTGGGGGAGCTGCCCAGGTAATGTCACTGCTCCGCAGGGCAGGGGTGGGGGTAGGGCAGGATGGGGCCAGGGTGAGGATGGGATGGGGGGCTGAGGCTGAGGTCACCGTCTGCACTAATTGGCCATTGCCTCCGTGTCTCTGTCCCGGCAGCTTTGAGCCAAGTGCAGCCGAGACGCTGTTCAGCGGCGACATAGAGACTCCATCGCTGGCACCTGGTGCTGGAGGCCCCACCTTCACTTCACACGACCTGTACGATGCTTTCCTTCACGACAGCTGCCACATGAGCGATGAGGAGATGTCCGACAGGTGAGAAACAGCCCCTCCCTCCTGACTGGTCTGAGTCACTAGCCTCGCCCTCCTACCCGCACCCCCACCTTTGCCTTGGAATGGTAGCCGAGGGCACTCACTGTGTGATATAGCGCGGCGGGGAGAGTTGTTTACAGACAAACTCTTGTGTCAGCCTGGCTGGGTCGCTCGTGCTCGGAGGATTGTGGGTTCAAACCCCGCGTATGGAAGTTGAGCTCCCGGGCCAGGCTGACGCTCCAGTCCGTGTACAAACCTTTTCCTCATGTAGAAAATGGAATCTCGCCATTTCCCGTCTCTCCGGCAGGAGTGAGCTCATGGACCATCCAGACATGATTGACAGCAGCCTGGCCCAGATCCACTCCTCTCTCAGCAACGCTCAACTCAACATCAACCTGGACTTACTCAGAGAGGTGAGTGGGCACCGTGGGGGGGCTGGTCTTTTTACTCCTGAAGCCGTTTGTTGGAAAAGAGAAGGGAGTTTCTCTTCGTATTTTCATTTTTCGGAGGGTTGGTCACGTCGGCAAATTATTCTTCCCTTTTCGGAGCATGATAACTTACTTAGTTTCTTTCAGTGAACAGTGTTAATTTTTCTGTTAAAAATGTGTTCTATTCAATGAGTTAAGTGTTGAGGGACACTACCCCAAGTGAAGGTCGCTGTATAAATGCAAGTTGTTGTTGTTGATGTTGTTGCGGCAGCCAATAGAGGGCACTCTCCTCTAACATAACATGTAAGAGCCTTCGAGCCTCCGCCCCGACATTCAATCGTGGCTGATCTTCTAATCTAACTCCAGCTAATAACCTGACGCTGCCTTATCCCCATATCCCTTAATCCCTTTTGCAATAAGAAATCTATCCAGATTACCTGTCTGACCCATGTGTCTGAAAAGGAAAACGTCTCTGTATCACTGAGGACACTTTGGTCACATTTCTTTTATGGCTATTACGCAAATCAGTTTTTTTTTTTAAAAAACCAGATTGTTAAATTCCATTAACCGGTTAAAATTAGGAGATTGTGGGGACTGAGTTTAGATTCACTCCTAGTTTACAAACTAACGACAGGACACGGGAAGCTCAGTGGTTAGAGTATTCGCCTTGAGCAAGTTTCCTTACTCCACACACCTGATAATAATCCCTGAAGAAGAAAAAACAATAGTAAATTGGTCATTTCAATCCACGACTGTTTGTGGGACGCTGCTGTGCGCAAATGGCTGCTGCGTTTTGCCCACAAATATACAGTCAATTCACTTTACAGTCTATTCTGTGAAGCGCTTTGAGAAGATGTGATAAAGCGCTGTATCAAGTGCAAGTATTATTATTATAGAATCTCAGTCTTACATTTAATGCTTCGTACCTATTTATAATAATAATAATAATAATCATTGTGCACAGCAGCGTCCCACAAACAGTCGTGGATTGAAGTGACCAGTTCTGCTTTGAATCAGTCAGTTATATATTAACTCAGAATGTGTAAGCCGTTAAACTATGAGATCGAAGTCCTGATGTGAGGCTTGAACCCGCAAACCCCTGCCCCTCCAGGCGAGCGGGTGAGTGAGTGACTGAGACAGACTGACTGTGACACATTGTGTGATGGTTTCTCCTGCCTGTTCTTGCAGCTCTTCAGTCCGTCCAGTGGAGGGTCAGTAACTGCCTACGCTGACGTGGGAGCCCACACCCAGGAGGTGCGAATTGTAGTTATTCAGTTACTCCTCTGCAGTTGTTCGCTGTCTGATAATTTGGTGTCTCTGCTTCTGTGTCTCTCTCATAATTTATCTCTTTTAGTCTTGGTATTATTCTGGCCTCTCTCTGTCTCTCAATTTCTTTCTCTCAGTCGCTCTCTGTCTGTCTCTGTCTCTCTATCTTTGTAACTGGACCGAGCTGTTACTGATAATATCACATTGTGAAGTCCTGATTGCCAGGAGGGAGGGAGTGGGTGGGGATGTAAGGACCAAGTTGTGGGGATCAGTAATGTCCGGTTGGGGTTTGTGTGTTGCAGGCGATGGCTGGGGAGTGGGAGTTGAGCCAGCGAGTGGGACACGAGGGTGCCCTGCCCCCGGCTGAGCAAGGTGAGCTGTGTGAGCGCTCCCCGGGGATGTGCAGAGCACAAGGGGAAGCTACCGGGAGCCGCGCAGAGACATTAGTGCAGTGGTTAGAGTGTTCACCTCGCAAGCAAGAGGACCCAGGTTTGATTCTGGGCATAGCAAACCTTAGGCAAGTTTCCTTACTCCTCACACATGCTTCTGTTTACCTATTGATCACTCAATCCACGATTGTTTGTGGGACGTCGCTGTGCGTTGCCCACAAAATACACAGTCACTCCACTTTACAGTATATCCTGTGAAGCGCTTTGAGATGCCTCAATGACGTGATAAGGCCCTCGTGTCAAATGTGAGGATTATTATTGTTATCCTCCTGTGTGTTGAGGAGGTTTGCATGCGGGAGCTTTGTGGGGGAGGGGTGGGTGGGGGAGGCTGTTTGCAGGGCTGTGGTGGGCACACACTGAGAACTCGCTGTCTTTTCCAGAGAGCGGGGAGCGGACGGATGGCTCGTACCCGAGAGAGGAAGAGGAGGAGGAGGAGGGGGTGGACATGCTGCCTACGCTTCTGGAGTTGGCACAGGAGGCTGGCGCTGGCGGCAGCTTCTTCCCCCCCACGGCTGGGGCCGAGGCCTTCAACCCCCCTTCACCAGAGCAGAGACCCCCCTTACTGTGCAGCTAGACACAGGACATCGCCCCCCCGGGGGGCGGTGGGGGCAGGGAGCCCTGGCACTGACTGGAGAGTACGCTGTGGCTGTGAAGGAGCCCAGGGCTGTAGCTTGGTCCTGCGCTGGTTCTGAGTTTAAACCTTCCCGCCCCTTGAGCCGGCCGTTAATTACAGCTTTCAACCTGAATGTGGCCTTGCACTTTGTATGTTGATTCTCGTGTGACTAGACTAGGCTTTCACCAGGGGAAGCGAGCATTGCTGTGGGCTTGTGTACCCCCCCCCACTATCCCCCTCCCACCCATCGTTATCGTTCCCCGTGTCAGTCCCCCGGCAATCCCTCCTCCCTGGCAGTTGACCTTCGACGCGGTGGTGAATGGTCAGAGGTGACTCGGTGAGCGACGGTCAGGGGGAAAGGGGCAGTGCTGTGGGCTTGTGCACTCCCCCCCACTATCCCCTCGTATTCTCCGCCCCCCCCCCCACCCATCATCCCCCGCCCTCCGCTCCGCCTGCCTTAGCTGGAGGCCAGCACATCATTGTCTCCGTTTGCAATTTTAGAAAGCTATTGTTAAACCGTTTATATTGTATGTCTGTGTGTATGTGTACGACTGACTGACTGAGTCTGTGTGTGTTTTCTTCTGTCTCTTGTGTGTCTGTATGACCTGAGTGTGTGTGGAGGAGAAAGCAAAGACACTTTTTAACAAAACTAGGGATAGTGGATTATTTCCCACACGATCAATAGTATAAATATTTGTGTGGCAGCACTGCCCACAGCCGGTTTTATTTTTTGCGTGTGGCGCACGCACGCACACGGCAAGCTTTGCACTTTGTAACGGGTGGCCTGGCGTCAGCCACGCTCCCGAATTGGATGGAGAGCAATATGTACTAAATGTATCCCGGGAGGTGCCATTCTATGTGAGGACAGTGGGAGTCCATGGCCTCTGTGGCTATGATGTATGTCTGGGTGCAGCTCCTGTTCTCAGCCTTAAGCCCATTGACTTCAAATTCAAGATTTGTGGGAAAATTCTTCCCCTGGAGACTGACCTTCTGGTTTCCCTTCAAAACGACTTGAAGGCCGAAGGGAAGAATTGTCCTCTCGTGAGCTTCATGTTAAAGACGATGGTCCTAAGGCTAAGAACCTAGGAATCTCAGATCCCTGATGTTTTACCCCAATAGATTTCTTCGCCACATGAAACAAAAGCCCTTTTATCGGATTTTCTTTCAATTTGTGTGTGTGTGTGATGGGGAGAAAAAACCTGTACATAGTTTTTGCCAGATGTTGTTTTCTAAGTGCTTTTGTACACTAAGCCAGTTAGCACAGCACTGTAGTGTGTGCAGTGTGGGTGTGAGTGCTGGACAAGACGTGTTTCTTACAAGGAGTGAACATTAAACGTATAATACCAGACGTGCTGTGTGTGGGCTCTGTGTGACTGCGGGTTTCACCTCATTGACTTTTTAACCTCCTCGATTTACAGCAACGACTTGTGTTTAAGCAGCGGCCTTCACGCAGGGCAGCATCCCGGAGAGTGCAACAATGGTGAGGTTCGAGTGCCAAGCCGGGGAGAAAGGGGAGATGGATGAATGGATTTGCGGTCGAAGAAAGTCTTCAGGTGTGATCTGAAGATGGGCAAAGAGGACGAGGTGCAGGGATTTGGGCAGAGGGTGCCAGAGAGTGGGGGCAGTACTGTAGTGGCTGAAAGCAGGGAATGTTTGGTCTCATGAAGGTTTGAGCGTAACTGAATGATCTTTCATTTTCTATACGTTAACAAGATCAAGCTCTTCACAGGAAATTCCTACCTCTCGCGGTGTCTTATTGTTTGTAGGCAAATGTGTCGTCAGTTTTCGCACCACAACGTCCCACAAACGGTCACCAGGTGAAACCGCAATTTAATCCAGACAACGATTGTGTGTGAGGTCAAAGGTCCCAGCGACGAGGGGCTTGAGGTCAGGACACGCCAAGCGTTCTGGCCACTGTGACGTCACAGAGAGCCTGAGCCCCGCTGCGGCCGAGAGGCAGCCCAGGGGATGTGGAGAATATGCGTATTTTCATCAACCTCCTGAGAGCCAAGGTTTGTGTGAGTGACGTGATCAGCCCCGGGCGGAGGCAGTGTCTGCAGTACATCAGGACACTGCGAGCTCTGCAAAGCGAAGGTCTCTACACCGTGTACCTGGGGGAAACCCCCCTCCCCGAGAGCCTGCTGATAGGTGACGTGTCGCCCCAGCCGGCCAGCTCCAGGGGTCCGGCCGAGCAGGGCTTGATGCTGGTACACGCCGGGGGGATGAGGGGCTGGGTACCGTGGAACTACCGAGTCTTCTTCGGATGCCAGGAGCTGTGGCCTGTGCCGGAGACGGTAGGGAATGCCGGTGAACGGCTCTTCCCGGAGTTTTGCCATGCGCTCAGGAGCTCGTACGGGAGATGTGCTGTCGTCGTCAGGACAAACCAACGGCTGCCGTCCCTGGGCACGAAGAGGAACCATCTGGCCACAGCCTCACTCGAGCTGCCTCAACACCCACCAGGGGACGGCCAGGGCTGCCCACCACAGCCAACCCCCACCATCACATATTGCCCCCAGATTGCCAACTCCTATGGGCACCAGCTGCTGTGGCTGCCCTCTCATCACCCTCACCTCAGCCCCCTGGAGGCTGCCTGGGCTACCCTCAAATGGACTATAATAAATAACCGGAAACAGTTCACCATCAGTGCCGTCCCCACGGTAACGGGCTACCGGTGCATCAACGTCAAGGCCCTGATGGAGGCCGCGGTGGAAGCCGTAAGCCACTCCAAGTGGCGGCTGTCCATCAGTCGGGTCAAACGGTGGGAAAATCATTACCTTCAGCAGGAAGCCTAGGGCCTGCTCACCGGCTAATAAACCCTCTATTGTCTGTTAGTTCCCGTATTTTATTCCCGTCGCTGTAACCTCATTTTTAGAAATTACAGAACCAGGAAAAAACCTGGAATGTGAGAGGGAAAGTGGTGAACACGTGGGGGGGTTACACTGCAAAATGTTTATGGATTTTAAAAAAGTGCAAAATAGGAGGTTTGTTTTTTATACAGGTAACGTTAACCCTGTACAAACCATCGGTTACTCCACAGTACATGGTCCAGTTTGGAGCCCAATGATTTAGGAAAACTGTAAAGAAGACACAGTGTAAAGCTTCCTCCACACTGTCCATCCCAGGTCAGGGTTAGAGACACAGTAAAGCTCCTCTACACTGTGCGTCCACACTCCCAGGTCAGGGTTAGAGACACAGTAACGCTCCTCTACACTGTGCGTCCACACTCCCAGGTCAGGGTTAGAGACACAGTAACGCTCCTCTACACTGTGCGTCCACACTCCCAGGTCAGGGTTAGAGACACAGTAAAGCTCCTCTACACTGTGTGTCCACACTCCCAGGTCAGGGTTAGAGACACAGTAACGCTCCTCTACACTGTGCGTCCACACTCCCAGGTCAGGGTTAGAGACACAGTAACGCTCCTCTACACTGTGCGTCCACACTCCCAGTTTAGAGTGAACACAAGTTAAGAGAAAGAAAGATGAACATATCTAAACTTGCTCTAAATAATTCCCCTTAAACCATCGCTTGGCAACCAGAATAGAATAAACAAACATTGTGCCAGAATGCCAACCCTAAAGTCTTCCATTACAGCATCAAGATATTTCCTAAATGAGTCTGTGTATGTGTGAGTACAATTGAATGTGAGTGTATGTACCCGTGTGTGAGTGAATGTGTGTGAGGGAGTGAGCGTGTGAGCAGAATGAAAATAATAATAATCCTTCCATTTGATATAGCGCCTAATCACATCGTTGAGACATCTCAAAGCCCTTCACAGGATACATTGTAAAGTATAGTGACTTATGTGAGCCTTTCACCCATAAAATGCACAGTCACTACACTTCACAGTATATCCTGTGAAGCGCTTTGAGATGTCTCAATGACATGATAAGGCACTTGATCAAATGCAAGCATTATTATTATCAGGTAAGGCCAGGATCACAGTAGATTCTTCACCAACACTCGCAGTCTGTGCTCATGTGGAGAGTGTGTGTGTGTGTGGGGTGTGTGGAGAGGACATTCATTCACACCCAACCCCTCTCACAGGAAGGAATCAGGCTGCAGATAAGCAGAAGTACAGTGTATAATGAGTGATTGTGAGCAGGTTGGTTTGCTGGGGTGTGAAGATAAACACTGGCAGGTTTGTACACACTGTGGGAGGGGGGGGCGGAGGCGGGAGAGTGAGTGGATTATTCCTTATCTGTTGATTGTGAGGCTGGAGTTGCTGAGCAGCCGTGTGACTGGAGCAAAATCAGGTCACCTGAGGAGCGGAGACAACACTGAGCACTCAACCAGGAGCCCCTCACAGGCAACTGGAGTTTGATGCAAATATTGAACAAAGTGGTGAAAATTTCAACCTGGGATGTGTTAAATATCACTGGTGTTAACCCATGAGAGTAACCCTCTCCCCTTGACTCTGTGACAATGGATTGGTTGCACATTGGACTTGTGGTTGGCAGAGTGCAGCGCGGGCTGGTTATCGGGTTACCAGTTTAACTCTGATTTTCTTTTGCCCAGCCGGGTGTCTGACACAACCGGAAACTCATTACCATGTTTAAGAGTCTTCAAACCAAACTGAGAATTCCACGCATCCCACCTACACATGGAAATCCATGTGAACCACACGGAAGAGATAGATTGTTGGAATGGGATGCGCACTCTTTCTCTGGAGGGATGTATCCTGCTCACTTAATTCCGAGTATTAGGTGCCAGTTGGCGAGAGCCAAGGCTTTGGGGTGGGGGGGCCCAGAGTGTGCGGTGGGGTAACTGCTGGAGTCTAACCAGCTAAAACCACAAAAGTGCATAGCTTGCTATTGGCAGCACCATCTGGCCAGCTTTCCCGCTGCTTGTCCAGCTAGGACCCCTCTCCCCGTTAGTTAGGGCTTTGGCTGCAGGGTCACCAGGGGCTGAGGAGGAGGATTCCCGGCCTCCAGTGACTGGTCGGCCCTTCCAGGTCCTGCGGCTGAGCCAGGCCGGGCTGAGCTGCCATCAGCGGTGAGTGCCCTGGGATACTGCGGCCCCTCCTGGCACAGAGGGTGGGCTTGATTACGACACTCCACTGCCAAACATGTCACCCAGGGACCAGTTTGGCCCCGGGTCAATGCTGCCTCCCTCCTCCAAGGGAGGAATAATTAATATCCCCCTCACATGGGTGGGGGGGATAGCGTCTCGGAGCGAGTGTCAGACATCGAGCCAGAGGTAAAGACACCCACAAGGCAGAGTCTGTGCATTGACTTTGAGCGGCAACTGGCCCAAGTGTGACCCGTCCCAGCCAGGCCAGCCCAGCCCGGCCTAGCCCGTCCCAGCCCTGCCCTGCTCGTCCCAGCCCATCCCAGCCCGGCCCGGACCAGCCCAGCCCGTCCCAGCCCATCCTGTCCCAGCCCAGCCCGTCCCATCCCATCCCAGTCCAGCCCGTCCCAGCCCTGCCCTGCCCATCCCGGCCCGGACCTGCCCAGCCCGTCCCAAACCATCCTGTCCCAGCCCATCCCGTCCCATCCCAGCCAGTCCCAGCCCATCCCATCCTAGCCCAGCCCGTCCCAGCCCAGCCTGTCTGATCCCATCCCAGCCCATCCCATCCCAGTCCAGCCTATCCTATCCTATCCTGTCCCGTCCCATCCCAGCCCATCCTATCCTATCCCATCCCATCCCGTCCCATCCCAGCCCAGCCCGTCCTATCCCATCCCATCCCAGTCCATCCCATCCCGTCCCAGCCCGGCCCGGCCCGGCCCGGTGCTGAGCGCCAGCAGCTGGGAAGCTGTTGGATGGCCAGTCCCGCAGATCCAGGCCAGGTTTTGCGGCGGTGCGGGTCGGGCTGTGGCTGCGCTGCTCGGGGTGTGGACCCGGTGTCAGTGGAGAGGAGGGACGCGGTGCCGCGTCACCGGGATTCACAGCACCTCAGCGGGGAAGCGACCTGCGGGGCTGCCGCTGGGGAGAGGCGGAGGTACCGACCGCCGTGTGTGTGTGTGTGTGTTCCCTCACACCTGAGTGAGTGAATGAGTGAGTGAGTGAGAGTGAGTGAGTGAGTGTGTTCGCTCACCTGAGTGTGAGAGTGAGTGTGTTCCCTCACCTGAGTGTGAGAGTGAGTGTGTTCCCTCACCTGAGTGTGAGAGTGAGTGAGTGAGTGTGTTCCCTCACCTGAGTGTGAGAGTGAGTGAGTGAGTGTGTTCCCTCACCTGAGTGTGAGAGTGAGTGAGTGAATGTGTTCCCTCACCTGAGTGTGAGAGGGAGTGAGTGAGTGAGTGAGTGTGTTCCCTCACCTGAGTGTGAGAGGGAGTGAGTGAGTGAGTGTGTTCCCTGACTGCACGTACACTCAGCTCAAACCTGTAAACTCAACGTGGCGTCTTGCAGCCTTGTGTTTAGAGTTCCCCGGGGCAGAGTGAGAGAGTGAGCCGGGGCAGAGTGAGAGAGTTCCCCGGGGCAGAGTGAGAGAGTGAGCCGGGGCAGAGTGAGAGAGTGAGCCGGGGCAGAGTGAGAGAGTGAGCCGGGGCAGAGTGAGAGAGTGAGCCGGGGCAGAGTGAGAGAGTGAGCCGGGGCAGAGTGAGAGAGTGAGCCGGGGCAGAGTGAGAGAGTGAGCCGGGGCAGAGTGAGAGAGTTCCCTGGGGCAGAGTGAGAGAGTGAGCCGGGGCAGAGTGAGAGAGTGAGCCGGGGCAGAGTGAGAGAGTTCCCCGGGGCAGAGTGAGAGAGTGAGCCGGGGCAGAGTGAGAGAGTGAGCCGGGGCAGAGTGAGAGAGTGAGCCGGGGCAGAGTGAGAGAGTTCCCCGGGGCAGAGTGAGAGAGTGAGCCGGGGCAGAGTGAGAGAGTGAGCCGGGGCAGAGTGAGAGAGTTCCCCGGGGCAGAGTGAGAGAGTGAGCCGGGGCAGAGTGAGAGAGTGAGCCGGGGCAGAGTGAGAGAGTTCCCCGGGGCAGAGTGAGAGAGTGAGCCGGGGCAGAGTGAGAGAGTGAGCCGGGGCAGAGTGAGAGAGTGAGCCGGGGCAGAGTGAGAGAGTTCCCCGGGGCAGAGTGAGAGAGTGAGCCGGGGCAGAGTGAGAGAGTGAGCCGGGGCAGAGTGAGAGAGTGAGCCGGGGCAGAGTGAGAGAGTGAGCCGGGGCAGAGTGAGCCGGGGCAGTGAGCCGGGGCAGAGTGAGCTGGGGCAGAGTGAGAGAGTGAGCCGGGGCAGTGAGCCGGGGCAGAGAGCCGGGGCAGTGAGCCGGGGCAGTGAGCTGGGGCTGGGGCAGAGTGAGGGTCGCTCCCTGGCCGCTCACTCACATCCTCGGGGTTTGTCCAGTTAATCCCTGTCCTTGTCCCTGGCAGCAGGTAATAGGTGTGTGTGTGTGTAGTAACTATCTGACTCAGTCACCTCCAGCTGTTACCTACAGGATCTGTGTTTCATCTGAACTCAGCTAACTAACTTTTTCACCCTTCCATATGTTCCCTGTCTCTCTCTCTCTCTCTCTCTCTCTCATATCCACCCACCTACCTCCATGTTGTAAAGTGTAGTGACTGGATATTGTGCGGGCAAAACATGCAGCCAATTTGTGCACAGCCGTGCCCCATGAATGATCCGTCAATCGACTAACGACCGGGTTCCTATTTACTGCTGTGTAAACAGGGGCGTGTGTGTGGAGTAAGGAAACTTGCCTAAGGTTTCGCTCTGCCAGGAATCAAACCCAGGTCCTCTCGATTGGGAGGTGAGTGCACTAACCACTATGCTAAAGGGCTCCACATAGTTGCCCCCTGAGTCATGCTGGTGGATGGCGCGGGGGGCTGTTTGGGGGGAGAGAAAAGCTCTATCTATGATTTAAAAGTGATCCTGGGAACGATGCTCCCTATTGCCTGTGAGTGACCAGTGCCTTGGGACGTCCTCTCAATGGGAAAGGTGCTACAGTATATAAACCTCATTTGTTGTTGTTGTTGTGCCAGTGAGGACTTGAGGGAACTTCTGTGTATGGGAATCTTTCAAAGATAATTGTCACATTGAGTGTAGCTGCTGTAAACTTCATCCCAGATGTTCCAGCGCCTTGGGACGTCCTCCCGACGTGAAAGGTGCTCTATAAATGCAATCTTGTTGTTGTTGTTGTTGAGACGAGCCGGGGAGCCTCAGCCAGGGGCAGGGACCGGAGCTGAGCTGCTGACAGGTTGTGGGGTGGGAGAGGAACGTCTCACACGCCTGTGAGAAGACTTTGCCGTCTTAGGCTGTGACGTAAAGTTTAAGCTGTTCAGAAGCTGTTCCTGGTGCTGGTGTTTACCTCAGGCAAGTGCTCTTCACTCTTACACTTTACTGCTGTCGCTATCTGTCCCAGGGATGAGGCAATGCCCCAGGGAATCTGGGAATGTCCAGGAAATCCCCATCCCTCTCTTTCTGTCTTTAAATCCCATCTCAAATCTACATGGTGATTGTGGTAATTGATGTTGGTCGTTGTTGTTGAGGTTATTTTTGATTCCTGGGCTGGACAAAGTGAAACCTGAGGCAAGTTTCCTGCTCCACACATCTCTGTTTACCAGCAGTAATTAGGAACCGTGTTGTTAGTCAATTGGTGAATCGCTTTCTGGGGGCTAATAATCCCTTCAAAACAAATGAATAATTTGGTCACTCAATCCACGACTGTTTGTGGGACGCTGCTGTGCGCAATTGTCTGCTGCAATTTGCCCAAAAAATCCACAATCCATTCACTTTACAGTATATCCTGTGAAGTGCTTTGAAACGTCTCAATGACGTGATAAGGTGCTGTATCAAATGCAATGATTATTATTACTGCATTATTCTTCCTTTTCAAGCATTTACCTTATTCCCCAAGAATTTATAGATCGCCTCAGTATTGCTTTGCTGCAGAGAATTCCACCTTCTCACCACTTGGTGTAAGGAAGTTTATTTCTAATCGCCCTTGAATTCCTAACCAGCCCTTTAATGACTTGCAGTATGCAAAAACTATGTGTTCCCCGGGTGTACCTTGTGCTGGAGTTTCATCCAATTTGGCTCGGGCTCCTGAAGGTTTTGTCTTATCTGAATTGTGGGGTGGGTTACTTTTGGACCTCTTACTGTAATTTTTGGGTGGTAATTTTTTAGGGGTAGGGGTTAGGGTATTAGGTTTGGTTTCGGGGTTAGGTTTGTGGTAGTTAGGTTAACACTTTGCACGGGCTAATGGGCAGCACCAATGCAAATTAGTGGATCACAGCAGCGAGAGAGAGAGACAGAGAAGTTGGATCCATTCAAATTTTCAAGATTGCGGTGGATAGGTAATGGATATGGGGCAGGGCGGGTATTTTGAGTTGAGGTACTGATCAGCCAAGATCGTATAGAATGGCGGAATAGGCTCGACGGGCTGAATGGCCTCCTCCTGTTTCTATGTTCCTATGAGAGAGGTTGCTGTGAGTGCCTGAGCCCCTGCGGGAGCTGGGGTCAGTCTGGGCTCTGATATGCTGTGCCATCTGTAGCTCACATGGGAGGGGGCTGGGGAGGAGGGGATGACCTATACACCCGGGATAGCCCGAGTGATGTGCTTCCTGCCCCAGGCTGGGAGGCACCTGGAGTCTGGGGAGGAAAGAATTGCTCAGTGGGAATGAAGTGGAAACACTCGGAGATGGGAAGTGTCCTGAGGTGGGAAGTGGAAAACGCACAACAATAATCCCATCGCCCCCATCCTCACCCGGCTCCCTGGCTCCCCATCCCCCAGGGGATAGAGCTCAAGCTCAAGCCTTTAAACGTCTCTTTGGCCTGGCTCCTGTTCCAACCTGTCCATTCCCTCCGCTCGGCAGACATGGCCTGCTCCGTGTCCCCTGCTCTGCCCATCCCATCAGCGGTCGGACCTACAGACTTTCTATCCCCACCCTCTGGGAATCCATCCTGGAGTCCCTTCGCATCCCACACTCTCTTTCTTGGGCCCCAGGGCTGACGTGTTTATCTCTGTACTAATTGTCCTCACTTCCCACAGGAGGAGTGGAATGAGGAGTGAGATGGATGGCGGGGTGGACCTGAGCTTCCTTACGGATGAGGAGTATCGAGCCGTCCTGAAAGTCATCCACAGAGATTCCGAACTCAAGAAACGGGACAGCGAACGGATCAGGTGAGACTGTGTCTGGGCCTCATTCTCCCCGTCACCAACCCCCAGAGAGATGTACTGACACCAACACGACTCACAGCTGGGATGTGTTGCTCCGTTGATGTCCGTGTGTCAGGATTTGAGGATCTGAAGGAAACCCAGGAGAGAATGAAACTCCGAGGTTCAGACTTTTCCACGATTTTACAGAATTTTACATTTTAAGACAAAACGGTTTTAGGCTTAGACTCAGTGTCACTTTGGGCCTGTGGAGTTGGTCGTTTGTCCAGTGTGGCTGGTGGGGTTGGCTCCGGGCCAGAGGAAAGGCAGAGGGGACTGGGACCTGTGTGTAGCACCAGTTATCCATCTCCCATCGGGAGACTGAGTGCCGGCAGCGGCTTGTGATTGGATTCTGCTGCCCGAGCTCTTTCCTCACAGCACTTGCCGTGCAGCCAGAGCTTATCAACATATATCCCTAGGTGTTGAGCTTTCATCACCAATGACATTTGCCCTTTATTAACACTCTCAGAAAGCAGAGAGACAATAATCCTGTTTGATGCTGGTAATGAGGACTAAAGTCCCCGCTAATAGCTATCATCTTACAGGAGACGAGAGGGAACTGAGGTATAGGATGCACGGTGTGTGCAGGTGTAGCCGGCCTGTTTCTCTGTGTCTCAGATGCCCTCCGGGTCTCACCATAGACTCATTGTGAAACACAGCACCTCTCGTACAGAGGGGAAACATTCCAACACTGAAACCCTTTTCCTATTCAACCTTCTCACTGATGGCACAGATCTCCTTCTCGGCACAGTGATTGACTTGGTGTGTTTCAGTGAATGTGAAGGAGTGTTTTGGTTTTATTTTCATTAAAATGTCCTCCAAAACCATGGCCTGAGATTTGTAACAAGATTCTAACATATACATTTAAAGGAATATAGATTTATATACAGAACAATGGTATTTTTAGTAAAAGCCCATTTCCTTTATACTCCAAATAATTATAATAATCCTTGCATTTGATATAGCAACTTATCACGTCTTCGAGACGTCTCAAAGCACTTCACAGAATATACTGTATAGTGTAGTGACCGTGTAGTTAGTGAGTGAAACGCGGCAGCCAATTGTGCCCAGCAATGTCCCACAAACAGTCGTGATTTGAATGAACACATTTTGATGTGCTTGTTGTTGGTTGTTATGTATTGCATTTACTTAGCGCATGAAGAACATTATATAAATCCTAATAGTTGTGGTGGTTGTGGTTTGATCACTTCAATGATTTCCTTCTGAAGTAAATGAAGCAGGTCCCAGGACTCCCTGTGTAGCAGACCTCATACAGTGACTGGCACTGTGTAATGTGTGGTGTGTAGTGACCAACCCCCCCAATTAGTTGTCAGCTCTGTGCTCATTGGGGGGGTGGGGGGAGAGTTACTGCTCCAGTCACAGGGAGAAGAAAGCCCAATCCAACAATTTCTCTCTCTCTCTCTCCGGTATTTCCCATGTTAGACACCTGTGAAAGATTACCAAGCCAGGTGCTCGATCACAAGGTGGGGGGGAGGGGATTGTGCTCCCCCCCCCGGGACTGACCGCAGGTACTCTCACTGCCCTGTTTCTTCCTGCAATGTTTCCTCCTGGTCACTGTTAGCAACTCTCCCCCTCGTTCCCCCTCAGACTGTCTCTGACCTCCTAATGCAGAAATCGCATGGCAGTGCGGAGACTTCTCTCTCCTCCCATCTAACCTTCAGGATTAGCTAATAATCACAGCAAATGCTCTTCCTCTCCAGTAGTTTAACTTGCTTCAGTCAGCAGGAAGTTGCTTCACTCCCTGTGCAGGTGGCAAATATTACCGTACTGGGGGGAGAGAGAGAGAGAGAGTGAAAAAGAGAAAGTATGTGAGAAAAAGAGAAATAGTTTGTGTGAGAGCAAGAGAGTGAAAGAAAGTGTTTGAGGGACAGATGAAGAGAGAAAGAGTGTGTATGAGAGCAAGAGTGTTTGAGAGACAGAGATGAAGAGCGAGTGTGTGTGTGAGACTGTGAAGTGATTTGGTTTTAACCGTGTGTAAGAGCTAACCTTACACTTCTGGCCAACTAGTATACAATAGTTTTTAATGAAAGCCAAGACTGGAGTGTGGCTGTGTTAGTCTGGAGTGTGGCTGTGTTAGTCTCTGTTCCTCTTACATTGGGAGCAGACAATGGCAATGGCATGAGAGCTGGTTCTGTGTTTGGGGTGAGTCACGGTGTTGATCTAGAGGGTGGGGGGTATACAGAAGAGTTCTTCAGGTTAGTGTCCCAGAGTTACAGCACGGAAATAGACCATTCAACCTCCACACCAACCTCCGCCCGCATGTTCCCTTCTCCTGTCCCTTCTATTTCCCTCTCCCTCATGCATGTAATAATCCTTAATAATCCTTGCATTTGATACAGCGTCTTATCACATCCTTCAGATGTCTCAAAGAGCTTCACAGAATATACTGTAAAGTGAATTGACTGTATATTTGTGGGCGAAACGCGGCAGCCAATTGCGCACAGCAGCGTCCCACAAACAGTCATGGATTGAGTGAGCACATTATTATTATTATTATTGTTTTTTTAAGGGATTATTACCCCGGAAAATGTATTGGGTGTCATCTTAAAAATGCTGCTGCTTTCTGCCTCATCCATGTCTGTGTGTCTATCTGTCTGTGAGCTCCACACTCTCGCCACACTCTGTGTGAAGAGGTTCCTCCTGTTAGATGTGTTACTTTCCCTCTTATATTCATACCTTTTTGTCTTAGACTCACCAACAAGTGGACACAGCACTGCGGGCGTAATAAAAAACCCAATAAAAATCCTTCTGTGGATAAGCAGTCAGTAGGGATAATCGGATATTCAGGCAAAATACAAACTGGCTACACAGCTAACTAAAAAAAAATATTCTTTGACTGTCAGACCACTCTCTCTCTCTCTCCTCACTCTTTCTCATGCTCTTTTTCCCCGCTATCTCTCACACTCTCTCCCCCCCATCCCCCAGAGCGGTGCAGAAAAACCTTTGTGATGATAGGAAGAAGAAGCTGGTGACGGGTCAGTGGTTTGATGAGGTGAAAGCCAAACGATACCAGACTTCTCTCCACGCTGTGGACGTCATCAAGGCTTCGATACGGAGAAAAAAACCAGTGAAGGGTAGGAGACGTGATGTGCCTGTCTCATTCTGTGTTTGATAAGGCGTCTTTTCATGTTGTTGAGATGTCTCAAAGCGCTTCACAGAATATGCTGTAAAGTGTAGTGACTGTTTCTGTAAGCAGACAAGACAACTCCAGACAGCGCTGATCTGGGCCTGTCAGTTTAGGGCTCTCTTGAGGGTGGAGTTGGGAGCTCTCTCTCTCTCTCCGAGTTGGTGTTGGGCCATAGTTAGCCAGACTCCCTCCAAAACCGTAAAGAGGAGCCACGGGAATCCTTGGTTGGATTCACTCCACAGGATCCACCTGTAATTGTGTGTGCGCGTGTGTTTATGTGTGTTTGAGACACAGTCCTTGGGCAGCCTTGGTCACGTACAAATTCTCTTACTCTCTCTTTCATTCTTTTACTCTCTCTCATTCTGAGTCTTAGGTCCTCTCACTCTCGGTCTCTGTCTGTCACTCTCACAGTCTTGCCCCATCACTGTATTATCAACCTAGACTGTGAGCTGCGAGTCACCGAGGTGAGACTTGAGCCCAACCTCCCCTCTCCTCTCCTCCCCTCACTGCACCACATCACATCACACTCCGGAGACGGGCCATTGTGGAGAGGCGATGCCCAGCACCGACGTCCCTCGCTTTGATTGACATGAAAACAGCCGCAGTGTGAGAGGCTGCTTTCAGCCCAGCATAATGGGACACTGTAGTGTGTGCGGCCAGGACAGCAGGACTGACCCACACCAGTAGCAGAACTCTGAGTGATCTCAGCCCATAGCCAATCACTGGGCAACACAGGCCTGTGTGTGTGCGTCTCTGTGTGTGGGTGAGTGTCTGTGTGTGGGTGAGTGTCTGTGTGTGGGTGAGTGTCTGTGGAGTGTCTGTGGGTTTGTGTGTGTGTGTATGTGAGTGTGTGAGTGAGTCAGTGTTTGTGTGTGTGGGTGTGGCTTATCGCTCCCCCACCCCAGCAAAGATCAACTTGCATTTATATAGCACCCTTCACGCTGGACGGGTCCCAGAGCGCTATGTTGATGGCCTGGGATATAGCGTGGCGAGGCCACTCGGTGTGAGGGGTGGAGATTGAGAGGTGGGTGGGGGGGTGCAAGGGGAGAGGTGTGTGTGAGGGGAGGGTGCGAGGGGGCTGAGTGTGTGAGGGGAGGGTCCGAAGGGGAGTGTGTGTGTGAGGGGAGTGTGTGGGGTGGGGTGAGAATCAATCAGAGAGCTGAATTTGTTGTAATTCTCACATGTCCTGTGTGAGATGTCCTGGCTCTTCCTTCACACTCTTCCTTTTCTCCCTCCACAGACACCAGTGAGAGGATTGGGTCAGTTCCAGTCGGTCTGACCACGGCCCCCCCCATCACAGCACCTGCTAAAGTCACACACACTGACCGGGCAAGGTAATGGGCCGTGGTTTAAAACCCAAATCCACAACAGTTTCTCCTGATCGCTGGACACTGCTGGCCTGTGGGTGTGGGCGATGGGGATAATAAATCAAGTGGTCAATGAAGCAACAACACTTGACTTTACTGTTTAGACTTAGGCTTGAAGACAGAAGCTGTTCATCTCACTGATATCCTTACAAATGGTCTGGGCTGCTTAATAGGGCACCAGGAGAAAGTAGGGAATGAGATTAGAGTGGAAAGCTCCAGTGAGGGAGTGAGCACCAGCACAGACACGATGGGCTGAAAGACCTCTTCCTATGCTGTAATCTAATGTATCATTTTCTGATCTTGGTTTCCTTGCAGGAAAGGCTATTTTAAGTTTATTTTCCCCTCCTGCATCTCTGCACCCACGTAATGGAGACACTGGTTCCACAGGACCCTGGCATTCTCTGTTTAGCTTCACACAGATTAAGAACCTTTCCTACCAAAGTAAACTGGGAAACTGTACAGCTCCTGTCAGCTGTCTGTCCTTGGTACACATTGGTGCGTGTGAACGGAACACACCTACAGCTTGTCAACAAAATAGTACTTGGTAAACGTGACATGGAACATGTTGTGGGAAGCCTGTGTGTACAAGCCACTGACACATACTGTACTTGACATATACCTCATCAGCCTGGCTCACACCCCCGTGCTCTCACCTTGGAGTCAGAAGTTTGTGGGTTCGAACCCCATGTTGGGGGCTTTGTGCTGACGCTCCAGCGCTGTGCTGAGTGGGGGGCAGAGCTCCTCATTGACACAGGTGCAGTCCTTTTGGACAACAACAACAACATTACATTTGTAGTGTGCCTTTCACGTCAGGAGGACGTCCCGAGGCGCTGGACAGACAGAGTTTCAGATCCTGATGGCTTCTGATATCGTTCAATTCACTGATGTAATAAATTGAGGGGGTGGGGGGGGAAGCTCTGCCCTCACTGACAGTAACACCATTTACTTTTACAGAATCTCAACTATTGAAGAGTCTGGGAGCAAGGGAGAGGAGCCCACAAGAAGACCGAAGACAAAGGTGAGGTTCCGCCTCACTCCCCGCTGGAGCTCGTTGGTTTGATGTATGACTAAAGAGCAGCTGCAATTCCTTCTGTACTTCATTAACACACGGTTTACACATGACGTCTAATGCCATGTATAAGTCACGTGTTACTGTTAATGTTTGCGTATAGTGATTGTCGCTGAGAAATGAGGTAGGGGTTTGGAAGGAGTTTTTCCCTCATGTAAGGAAGTGGCTGTTGAGGCCGAAATCTGCTGCTGGTTACGGTCGGGAGTTGGGAAGGAATTTGGGGGCTTTTTCCCTTGGGAATTGTTGGCGCAGATGCCGGGTGCGTGTAGGGAATAAGACGGACAGTTTTCCTGGCCCCAGTGGTCTCCACTCGCTAACCTCACTGATTGCATTTCATCCTGTAAAACACTTCCTCGTTCTGCCCACAGCACAATGTCCCTGAGGTGAGAGGTGATGAGGAGCCAAGCCCTGCACTTTCCCCGGAAACACCAGCTTCCAGTGTTGAGGGTAATTGTCCTGTCTTTAGTCGTGACTCATGGTACAGTGATTTAGGACCAACCCTGCCCTGCCTTGGTCACATCCTTCGTTCTTTATCTCTCTCCCTCTCATGGCTCCCTATTAGATTTGTTATGTTTTGAGATGTTCATGTGACGGGCTGGATAAGGACATGTCTTGACTTGCTTGGTTACCTGGTATGTAGCCTTGCTGCCTTTCCCACAATCAGTGTTTCTCGGAAGCACAACATACTTGAATGTGGTTCTTCTGCTTCCCACACTTCCCTGTTGGATTGATCGCAGATTGATCGCCCACAGACTCTCTGTTCATGTCGAGATCGGGTCAACTCTAAAGAGCAAGACTCGCATTTCTTCTCCCTGCCTCTGGCTTAGATCCAGATCTGCAGACTTCTGGGTGTAAAGAGAATGGACACCTGGAGCAGATGTCCAGGCTGGACGCCGGGGCTGGTTTGAGAAAGGGTTTGATGCTGTGATGGGAAGATGGTAGGGTGGATCACCTGGGAAGAGAAGATCAAACGGACCAGAGTCTTTCTCTGAACCTCTCGCAATCGTACGTGTGCAATGACCAGGTGATGTTGCTCACTGGATGGTCCTGTCATACAGCGCCCTCCAGTGGTATATGGTTCAGCTACACCATGCATTGAGCTTGGGGTGTACGTCACCATGTGGCCAGGCTGCTGTCAGTCGCTGCCGTGGCTCAAGGCATCTTGATTTCAGGCTCCACAGTGTTGAGGATGTCTTTAGCCTCCAAAGGGGATTTGTTTTCCTTCAAGGCCCATCTTCCTCTTTGACCGTGCCTTTGGTCACCCTCCCACCTCCAAACCCCTACCCGCCACCTCTCGGTTTTTAAACCCTCAGCTCGGGTGTAAACCGTTCAACTGTCCAGCACCTTGGGATGTCCTTCCGACGTGAAAGATGTTGTATAAATGTAATTTGTTGTGGTTGTTCATCAACAAGTGACATTGGAAGGGGCTGAGAGTTGATACCACCCCCTCCCCTGGCACCGCTGCTCATTCGCACCAGCCACAATGGGCACTGTTAGGAGTGAGTTAATTGGTTTCTGTTCCAGATCAGCAAAGATTTCCCATCGTCTCCAGCACAGCGAGGTCGGAGCTGCCAAAGAGTGGGAATGTTGCTGGGAAAGTTGTCCAAACGCCCTCTAGGGGGACCAGTGGCCACAAGACCACAGCTGATCCCAGCACCACCCGGATTCCAAGATGGAGAGATTCTTCAGAAGAAACTAGGAATGTCTCTATTGAGCGTCAGGAGTCCCCGGGAGTGTGTAAACGGGGTGAGTTGTGAGGAGAGTGTGTGAGGAACAAAACCTCTAGAGAGAGAGTTAATCCCTGTTTATTTGGGGACGTAATTTAGTCAGTTGCTGTTGGGAGCAGAGCCAAGGCTGAGCTTTGAGCCCAGCACAGCAAGGAAGCTCACTACACAACAGTGAGTCCTGTGTTGGCACGTGCACTGTGCGAGTTAGTTATGTGATTAGCAACCAGTAAATATCTAACTGAGGTCACCTTGATTCCCTCCGTACACATTGTGTGCGTTTACACAAGATTAACACATGACAGTTCTCTTTTATGAGTTGGAACGAGGCCAGTTAATCCCCTCTTTGTTGCAGATGAGGAAAACTCCTTCCCGGTCCCCAGGAAACGAGCTGTGAGCAACCAAGCACAAGCGAGCCGTGCGGGGGGCCAGGACCATGTGCCGCTGGGCTGCCCGGCTCCAGGACCGAGTGACCACAGGCCAGAGCTTACTCTCTGCCCAACCCGCATCCCCATCAGGAGGAGTTTGTCCAGGGAGAGTGCAAACAGCTCATTGGAGGAGCCAAGGACTCCACCCGCACCTGAGCCAAGTAACTCTCCATACTTCACAACTGCTCGAGCCTTCAGATGAGGGCAGGCAATTCAGGACACAGGCCATAGTGAAGAGAGTAGTGCAGAGTTACTCTACAAAGTGATTGGTTCTCAGTCAGTGACATTGTCCAGCAATGCTGAACAACCTCTTTGTTTGGCCAACAGAGTAAATGTTTCTTGATTGAATATTTAACATTAATAAGAAGGATCCTTGCATTTGATATAGCACCTTATCACATTCTCGAGATGTTTCACAGCGCTTCACAGGATACAGTGTATAGTAGATTGACTGTATATTTTGTGGGCGAAACGATTCTTAATTGATGACATAAACCTATGCTATTTTGATATTTCTATGATTATTTTGTTGGCCATCACTGTCCTACAGACCAGCACCACAATGTATTGTGGAGAGAGATATTCTCAGAGCTGGAACCTGTGTGGAATTGTAAGGCCCAGTCGCAGCCCAGTGTAGAGCGAGCCCCAGTGCTTAGGTTTATTCACTCCTCTTACCTGATCTCCATTGCAGGTTCACCAAGCTTTTCTGCACAAACTGCTAACGGCAGCCAGGAGCCTCCCCACCCGGCCGCTGGGTCTCACCCACTGACCTCTGCCCACGCCTCTCGGATTCCAAGACTGAAAGGTGCTTTGGAAGTCGCTGGGGATAGTCTGGGATCCTTCACCAAAACCACAAAGCCGATCACTAGCCAGGCAGCTGAGTTCAAGGTTGCCCTGAAACCACCTCCCAAATTGCTCAGATCTCAGCCGTTCTTATCAGACGAGGAAAGAGAGAAGCCCAGGGTGGGGGCTGCCTTCACCGTCAACTCACTCAGCGGAAAGCAGGCGGAGGAAGAGACGCTGACTGATCCCGACCACTTCAAAAACCTGAGACATTTCTGGGAAAAAGGAAGTGATTCCAGCAAAACCAACCACAAGTTTCCCGGCAATGTCTCTGGCAAACTCAGCCCCGCTCGCTGGGGGAAGCTCCAGGCAGCCGCTGGTTTGGTAACGAAGGAACGTTCTTCGTCACAAGAAGCTCAGGGCAACGGATCAATGTCCTCTTCCTCCTCCTTCTCCTTCTCCGAGGAGGAAAGCCCATCGCTGGAGAGCAATAAGGACCTCCCGATCGCGGCTCCAAGACTCCAGTCGGCCGTGACCGTCAAAACTGAAGCTCGGTCCTCCACCTCAGCAAAGCCCCTGGACACCACCTGCCAAGCAGTCAGTGATCCACCCAAAGCCCTGCCCCAGCCAAGAATCGCTCGTCAGCTAAACGTCTGTGTCACACTTGAGGACCTCATTCAGCCTGAACTCCCTCCACATAGGACCTCCAGCAGCCTGCCCACCGCTCCCTCAGCCCTGCAGGACTGTGAGAGAGCTCCCACTAGCCTGGCTGAGGAGCCTGTGGTGGAGGAGGTTCTGAAACCGAGAGTAGCCGAGAGGATGCAGCTGTCCAGGAATCTAGAGATAACAACAGCCGAGCCCAGAGAGGACATTGGGTCTGTTCCCAGCCAATGGGAAGCCTTGGAGGCTGGAGCATCCACACATGGTGATGTGGTCCTCACTCCCAAGGCCAACACCACTCGGCAGATGCAGAGAGAGGGAGAAGCGGCTCCTGTCTCCCCCTGGACCCCGGTTGCTGTGTGTGAGGAGGAGCTGGTTCCGGCTCAGCGTCAGGACCTGGCGGAGGCTCCGAAGATCAGGGCGGGAGCTTTGCTGAACACGTCGTCTCAGAGCGACACCAGCGAGGACGAGCGAGAGCCGAGCCTGAGCCACGATACACATCCCAGGTCCAACTCTAAGCCCAGCGTTCAGACGTCCAGAGTGTGTGGAGAGGTCGAGCCTGGAGTCCCCTGTGTCAGTGTGAGCGCTGAGCGGCCCCCGACCCACTCCAGCGCTCAGGGGGACGGGGATGCACAGCCGGCCAGCAGCGGCGATGGTGGTCTCACCGCGGAACAGCCAATCATTGTGATCCAGCACATGAGCGACGGGGATGGACCCCAGAGGAGCACGTCAGGTGAAGCGCTTTGCGACTTCTCAACGACATGATAAGGCACTATATCAAATGCAAGGATTATTATTATTATTATTAAAGACTTTGTCTCGTTCCTGTAGGTGCCAGTTACAGATCATCGCCTGTGCTGAAGGCTTTAGCGAGAGCCAAGAAGCTTCCAGCGAAGAGTATGGAGAACCTGTGCGCTACCTCTGACCGTGAGTGGGGTGGACTCCGTCACCTGTCACCATTTCAGCTTCTTTACAATAATCCTTTCTCTGGTCAAACCCAGGCTCCAGTTGGGCACTTACATAGGAATCCTTACGTTAATTTACAACGTCCTCCTAACAGGACAGGCTCCCACAGATCTTCACATTGACTTCACTGTGAATTTGCCGTGCAGAAACCGTGCTTAGGAACATCCAAACCAAGCTGAGATTTCCCTGCATCCCACTTATACATGGGAATCCCAGATAGATTGTTGGTATGGAATGTGCACTCTCTCTCTGGAGGGACACATCCTGCTTATCTAATTCCAGAAAGTATTAGGGGCAGACTGGCAAGAGCCAAGGCTTGGGGACAGCAGAGTGTGCATTGGGGTAACTGCTGGAGTCTAACCAGCTAAGACCAAATAGCTTGCCATTGATATCCCTGTCCGGCAAGCTTTCCCGCTGCTTATCCAGCTAGGACCACCCGTTAGGGCTTTGGCTTGCAGGGTTAACAGAAGTTGGGGCAATGAATGAAGTGCCCTGAGATGTCCTCCCTATGGGAAAGGCGCTGTTTAGATTGGATTGTGTTGTATGTGGTGCTACAGCTGTCTTTAAATGCGAGAGTTTTAGGAATAATAACTGGAACTTGTTTTTAACGTGTTCCTTCTTGATCACAGGGGAGACAATCGCTCTGTTTGTGAGTGAGGAGAATCCGGGGAGCGAGGGGGAGGCCAGGAGCGAGGGTGAGTGATCCGGCTGACACTCTGCATTAAACCTTTCTCCCTTTAGTTAATGAGGCTCTCCTGTTTTATTCGTTTCATGAAGTTCATTCTCAACAGAATCCTGATGGGGAACATCACATAGAATAACTATTCTGATGGGTTCGTGTAACCCAACCTAACCCAACCCAGCCTAACCCAACCCAGCCTAACCCAACCCAGCCTAACCCAACCCAGCCTAACCCAACCCAGCCTAACCCAACCCCGCCTAACCCAACCCCGCCTAACCCAACCCAGCCTAACCCAACCCAGCCTAACCCAGCCTAACCCAACCCAGCCTAACCCAACCCAACCTAACCCAACCCAGCCTAACCCAACCCAGCCCAGCCCAACCCAACCCAGCCCAACCCAGCCCAGCCCAACCCAACCCAGCTGGGTGTGTGGTGGGCGTGTGAGTGTGTACGAACTTCTACGTCGCTCGCTCTCATCTCTGTAATAGACCTGATGCCTGTCTGTGACCCTGTTTTCCTCACAGTTGAAGAGCAGCCGCTGGTCACCAACCTCCAGTCTCGGGATCACTCAAGGATAAAGGATCTCAGCAAGTCTGTGCCCATGCTACTGTCTGAGGTAAGTCATGGGATCTGGTCTGACATTTATTGTGAGACACACCACCCAACCCCTCCCTCCCCACAGACACCCAGCCTCTCCCTCCCCGCAGACACCCCAGCCCCTCCCTCCCCGCAGACACCCAACCCCTCCCTCCCCACAGACACCCCAGCTCAGTTGGTATCAGTCTAGCTTCTGAATTAAAAAGTTGGGGGTTACACTGTGTGCCCGCCCAGCGTGTGTGTGTGTGCCCGCCCAGCGTGTGTGTGTGCCGCCCAGCGTGTATGTGTGTGCCCGACCAGTGTGTGTGTGTGTGTGCCCGACCAGCGTGTGTGTGCCCGCCCAATGTGTGTGTGCCCGCCCTGTGTCTGTCTTATCGATGCTCTTGTTGTGACAGAGTGAATCGGATTCTGCTTCGGAGATCAGCTTGAACATTGGGTGGCACCGAAAGACGCCAAGCGATGCCAGCCACTCCTCTGACATGGCATCTGTGTCATCTGTAAGTAACAGTGTCACCGTCATTGCTGGACGTTTACTGCCCATGTCCGCCCCTCGCTGAGCAACCTCCGTTCGTTTGTCTGTCTGTCCGCCTGTCTGTCTGTCCGGTGATCTGACTGACCGCTGGCCGAGAGATGGCCAATACAAGAGCTGGCCAATGGACCTTCTTTGTTTGGCTCCTTGCCCATCTCCCTGGTTTCAGCTCCATTGCCAGAGCTTTCCCACACAGCAACCATCACCGGGGGTGAGGGGCTGGGTCACAGGACTGCAAACCCAAACCTCCTGGTCCCAAGTCATATCCTGAGCAAATGAGCTCACAGGAGTGTATGTGGGTCAGGGCGAGGCAGAGAGAGGTAGCAGTGTTTCTCTCTCTCTCTCTGTGATTCGGGCTTCACTGCTTTGCAATATCACAACAAACGTTCCCAGTGTCTGATCCGAGGCTGTTCTCACTGGGTGCGAGGTCTTGTCCCATCTGACCGTCTGCACGTCCACCTGCTTGTCTGTCTGTCTGTCTGTCTGGACGCTGTAGTAAGTGTTACCTCCGGCAGGTCAGTGGCAGTGTGATGAGTGTGTACAGTGGAGACTTTGGCAGTGTTGCCGCCCAGGGCTCCGTGCAGTTTGCTCTGGATTACAGCGAAAAGAACCGGGAGTTTCAGATCTACGTCAGTCAGTGCCAGAACCTGGCGGTGGTGGACGAGAGGAAGGGACGCACGGATGCGTAAGTGACCGCACCTTCCCATCTACGAGCGTGTTACACATCCCCCCAGTCACTGTACAGCCATTTAACAAGCACGAACACACCACATAAAGCCTCCCCCTCACTGCCCTCTCCCCTCCCCCTCACTGCCCTCTCCCCTGCCCCTCACTGCCCTCTCCCCTGCCCCTCACTGCCTCTCCCTGCCCTCACTGCCCTCTCCCCTCCCCCTCACTGCCCTCTCCCCTGCCCCTCACTGCCCTCTCCCCTGCCCCTCACTGCCCTCTCCCCTGCCCCTCACTGCTCTCTCCCCTGCCCCTCACTGCCCTCTCCCCTCCCCCTCACTGCCCTCTCCCCTGCCCCTCACTGCTCTCTCCCCTGCCCCTCACTGCCCTCTCCCAAACCCGGATCATGTCTCTGCTTCCCCCGCCCCCCACCAGGTATATAAAGACCTACCTGCTCCCGGACAAGGCTCGCATGGGCAAGAGGAAAACCTCTGTCAAGCGGCGGAATGTCAACCCCGTCTTTAACGAGATCCTGAGGGTAAGTTAATGACAACGTTTTGTTTTACCCGTGGGGGGGTGCAGAGCCTGGCCTGTCAGAGACACCTCGGCTACACTTCACTGTGTTGTTCGAATCCAAGGCAACTCCTGAGTGCCCTGAAATTCCACCTCGTCTTAGCTCTAAATAAAGCCCCTTTCTTGCATTTGATGCAGTCCTTGATCACGTTGTCGAGACGTCTCAAAGCGCTTCGCTGGGTGTAGTGATTATCTGTTTCGTAGGGTATGGCAGTAGCCGGCTTACGCACAGTGATGCCCCCACAAACAGCTGTGAAGTGAGAGACGGGAGTTTGTGTCTCGCGGTGAGTGTCCTGACTGGCAGTGCCCAGCGATTGCTGGGCCAATGCCAGTGCCGGCCCGGTACTGAAACGCTGTTGTTTTGCCGCAGTATAAGATCGAGAAGGTGGTTCTCCTGGTCCAGAAACTCAACCTGTCCGTCTGGCACAACGACACGCTTGGCCGGAACAGCTTCCTGGGCGAGGTGGAAGTGGAGCTCGCTCGCTGGGACTGGAGCAACCGCAAACTCAACTGGTACCTGCTCAAGTCCCGGGTACGGCCCATCTGCTCGCACTCACCCGCCCCTCACACCCTCCTGCACTTACAGAGAGACTACACACCTACCCTCTCACCCACCCACCGACTCACTGATCCACCAACTGACCCACCAACCCACCGACTGCCCGATCAACCAACCGACCGACTAGCAGACCAACCAAGTAACAGACCCAACAAACTAAGCGACCGTATGCTCAGCGCCTGAGATATCTTTTGCTTTCTTTTCGTATTCATTTTAAAATAACTTTGCTTTTTGCAGAGCCTGTCGATGGGAGATGGCGTTGACCACAGAGGGGAAATCAATCTGGCCATCAAATACGTGCCTCCAGGAACTCTCGGTAAATGGGTGTTGGGAGTCAGGCAGCCTGTGGCTGGTCTTCACAGTTACAAGTAACAAACGGCTGATAAACGGTTTCAGTGCCCCCGGGTTTGATTTTGGGGGCGATGGGGAGCTGTACTCGGATAGTTTCACTGCCCCCCTCCCACCCGCTCCCCTGTCCATCTCCAGGTAAAGGGATCCTCTCCCAGGGAGGGCAGAGGGTGGGAGTCACTGTATATGCCTCGTGGTGGAGAGAGATAGATCGCCCCCCAGTGGGGAAGAGCGAGCACTGCAGACCAGAATCGGAAAACGTACAAACACCAGGAGGCCATTCAGCCCCTCGAGCCTGTTCTGCCATTCTATAAGAGCATAGCTGATCTGTACCTCAACTCCAATTGCCTGAGCTTGCCCCATATCAGTTAATACCCTAACCGAACAAATATTACTCTGAACTAACAAATAGCCCAGGTGAGAGGAGCATTACATAGACAACGCTTTAATATCCAGTGTGTTTTGTATAATTTTTTAAACTATTTCCCAAAGGTCCCAGAGACCCGCCCACTGGCGAGGTTCACATCTGGATGAAAACCGCCAAAGACTTGCTCCAGCTTCGAACATCTGGAGTGGACTCCTTCGTGAAATGGTAAATTTATGGATTCTGTATAAATCAACCACTTGCATTTATATAGCGCCTTTCATGTGGGATAGTGTGTCAGAGCTCTGTCACAGGAATAGTGAAACAGATCATCTCCTCACTCTTCCCTTCCTCTCAGGACTCCTCACACTCCCTATAATCTGCAGGCTGTTGTAACCAGTTCAGCATTATCTAATAACAATAATCTTTGCATTTGATATAGTGCCTTATCATGTTATTGAGAGGTCTCAGAGCACTTCACAGGATCTACTGTAAAGTGGAGTGACTGTGTATTTTGTGGGCAAAACGTAGCAGACAATTGTGCACAGCAGCGTCTCACAAACAGCCATGGAGTGACCAATTTTATTTGGGGGATTGTTGACCAGGACACCGGGAGAGAGAGAGAAACTCCCTTCACTTTTCGAATAGCGCCGCAGGATCTTTAACATCCACCTGAACAGGCAGACAGGGCCTCAGTTTAACATCTCATCTGAAGGATCAGCAATAATGATTTCTTTGTTTTGTTTCCTTGATTAGAAGTGAAGTTGGGTCGTCCTTCCGATGTGAAAGGCGCTCTATAAATGCAATCTTGTTGTTGTTGTTGTTGAAGTTGCCTTTTTCAGGTTTAATCACTAGATTTGCCTGTGATCCCTTTGGCCCTCATTGTCTTCTGGACCTGGGACCCTTCCCTCTGGTTTCCCCAACGTTATATTTCTAAGGATTGCAATTCTTTCTCTATTCAGTTACGTGCTTCCTGACACCAGTAAGAAGAGCTACCAGAAGACACGGATTGTGAAGAAAGATGCCAACCCCATCTACAACCACACCATCGTGTATGATGGCTTCAGGACGGAGGACCTGAGGGAGGCGTGTGTGGAGCTGACAGTGTGGGACCATGAGAAACTAACAAACCACTTCCTGGGGGCCTGCGGCTGGGCTCAGGCACAGGTACCTGATTACCACCTCGGTGATCGATCAGCCCAGATCATTGAGAGCGAATCTCTCTGTAATTCTTCAGGTATAGGGACAAGACGGTAGACTTCGATGTAGACCCTTAGGTTGATTATACAAACTATGTGTAACCAAGTAGGCGTAATACAGTAAAAACCCTGTTGTAACAATTTGTTATAGTCCGCGGGAAGAAGGCCCGTCTGATCTCATCCTCACAGATTCCCTGCCCAACCTTCCACACATCAGAGGCCAGCTTTTTTTTTAATACTTCCTGGTGTCTGTCCGAATCTTGCGCCATTATGGCTTGGACCTGTGCCCTCTTCTGCAGTCTTGGCCTATCTGAGGGGATTACCACACTTGTTCACCCCGTGTTCCTTCACAGGGTAACGGACTGATCTGAACGGCCAGTGTATAATAATAATAATACTTCCATTTGACACAGCGCCTTATCATTTCTCCGAGACATCTCAAAGCGCTTCACAGGATACACTGTAAAGTGAATTGATTGTATATTTTGTGGTGGAAACACACAGTGCTGTGAGAACAAGTGTCTCAAGTTAGGGAATTGGAGCAATGGTGGCTATTCTATTATCAATTGGAGGGTTGGGATGACCTGTGTTCTCTCATTTCCTGGCAGGATTTAGTTACGGAATCCCGGTGGAATGGATGGACTCCACGGAGGAGGAGCGAGCGCTGTGGCAGGAGATGATGGCGAGTCCCAACGAGTGGATCCCAGGCTCCCTGCTGCTCCGCTCCCAGCTCGGGGGCAAGAGGAAGCTCAAGTAACCTCAACCCCAAAGGGGAGCTTCTGCCAAACACCTCCCCCCCCATCCACTGGCACATGGATTGGGGGAGCGGTAATGAGTGGGTTTCTACATTTCTACTCGGAAGGGTTTGGAATTGACTGAACCGTCAGGGAACATGACGGCTCTGGAGAAGATCTGGCTTTCCTCTTGCTTTAACTGGACCTCATTGTGCCATTTTTGGGATTGATTACCATGGCTGTTTTCAAACAGAATGGCCCTTGCCCATTGTTTACATGTTGTTGGTGTCCTAGTCATTCACTGCCGTTTCTCTGTCACTTTAGTTGCTGCTAATCAGAAAATGGGAATCTTTTCCCCGTCTGTTACTCGGGGGGGAAAAGCCGTCGAGGGGTTTGGTTTATTTCAGCGTCCGCTTTCTGTTTGTTTATTGTAAATTTCACAGGAAAACCTGCTGCAGGTTCAATGTGGAGAGTTTCATTGAAAACTAAATAAAATAAATGAAAATAAATTAATAATAATAATAATTTGGTCACTCAACCCACGACTGTTTGTGGGGACGCTGCTGTGCGCAATTGGCTGCCGCGTTTCACTCACAAAATATACAGTTGTAAACACAAAATATCCTGTGAAACACTTTGAGACGTTTCGAAGACGTGATCAAATGCAAGGATTATTATTATTAATTATTAAAACGTATTGAATATGAGTATGGTCCACATGCACGGGGACTTGCGACAAGCTTTCTGATGGACCCTCGTGCGTCACAACTTGGACACAGGAAAACGAGAGAGAGAGAGAAGCCATTGGAAATGTTTACATTTGGGTTTAATAAAGTTATTTTGTAAAATGTAAAATGGATGAATCTGCTGTTTTGTAGTTTTGATTTCCCTGTAACTCACCAACATGCAAAAAGTGTCAGCCGGGTGGGCTCGGTCACTCGCACACTCAGCGCTGGGACAGACACTGGTGGGTTTGGACTCCTCGGTGGGACTGTGTGTGTGTGTGTGTGAGATCACAGGCTTGGCTGACTTTCAGCGCTGACCATTATCGGAGGTCCTGGTCTTTCAGGTGAGATGTTACACCGAGATCTTGGAGAAAGAGAAGAGAGTTTCTCCCAGAGTTGTGGCCCGGAATCCTCCAGATAAACTGGGGCATTGACTTCACAATACTGTAAGGAGATCTCAATCTGAATCTCTACCTCGTGACGCTCCCAGGTGTCAGCTGGCTCGTGCCGAGTGAGAGGAGGCGCAGTGGCGACATGTTGGGGTATAATCCTGCCGAGGAGGTCAGGGTTAGTCAGGTAAAAGGCAATCAGTTGATCAGCCAATCTACAAACTCCGTTGTTTAAGCAACAACCATTTTAAACACAAACTAGTGACTTGAAGGTAACCAATTTGCTAACAAACACATTGTTCAGTGATGGGAGCAGCAGAGTGGAGAGAGTGATGGCGGGGTAGGGGTGGGGGCTGCTGTTATCACTGGGAACACGGGTACAGTCAGGGAGCAGGGCAGCCCAACATGCTCTCCACATCATCAGCTTCGGCACAACTTAGAGACAGTCGAGCTCCCTGTGCAGTCTGCCCACGATGTTTTGGCTCCAGGGCTGTGTGTGATGGGGGAGCGCTGTTTGGTCGGAGACGCCGTCCTTCAGATGAGACATTAAAAACGAGCTCCGAATTTCCATCCGTTAGTCACAACACTTTGCAATAAAATCCCCTGAAGCCACGTGAGACCTACAAGGTGCAAAATCATATGCAAAGATGTTAATTATTATTATTGATTAAGTTAAAACCCCAAACCCCGGCACTTTCTTACATCTCTTTACAAGCTGAGCTGGGCTGAGATGAGAAGGGTGGGGGGGGGGTCTGGGTGTTGACCCTGGGGTGCGGGGGCTGAGCTACCCATAAGGAGCATGGGGGGTGTGGGGAATGGCTGTGTACCGCCCGGGGTGGTGCGGGATGGGGCGGGGGCGCGCTGTGTGTTGCCCGGGGTGGGGAGGGGGGCTGTGTGTTGCCCGGGGGGGTGGGAGGGGGCTGTGTGTTGCCCGGGGGGGTGGGGAGGGGGGCTGTGTGTTGCCTGGGATTGGGAGGGGGGCTGTGTGTTGCCCGGGGGGGGGGGGGGGGGGCTGTGTGTTGCCCGGGGGGTTGCGGGTTGGGGGTGAGGGGGACAGGGACAGGGCAGGGGAGGGACAGGGACAGGGTGGGGGGGGACAGGGACAGGGTGGGGGGGGACAGGGACAGGGTGGGGGGGGGACAGGGACAGGGTGGGGGGGGGACAGGGACAGGGTGGGGGGGACAGGACAGGGTGGGGGGGACAGGGTGGGGGTGAGGGGACAGGATGGGGGGGGGCAGGGACAGGGTGGGGGGGGACAGGGACAGGGTGGGGGTGAGGGGACAGGACAGGTTGGGGGGGGACAGGGACAGGGTGGGGGGGGGGGGGTGAGGAGCTGCTCTCCGGCCGATGGCAGAGCGTTGAGCAGTGGCGGCTCTTTGTGTTGGTGTTTGTGGAGCTGAGCTGCGGGGGGGAGAGGGGGGGGGGAGAGAGAGAGGTGGGGGGGAGAGAGAGAGAGGAGAGAGAGAGAGAGAGAGAGAGAGAGAGAGAGGGGGGGGGGAGGGGGGGGTCTGCCCGGGGCTGAGTCGAGTCTCTCAGCCTCACTGCCTGTCCCGGTCCGCCTGTACCCCATTCCCGAGCCCCAACCCAACCTCCTCACCCCGACCCCATCCTCCCATCTCCATCCGCGACCCCCCCCCCCCGCCCCCCCCCCCCGCCTCCCCCCGCCCCCCCCCGAGGCTCCTCAGGGTGAGGCTGTACGGAAGCCCCTCACCCAGTCCAGCCCTCACCTGTGGGGTTGGAGCCACACGGGCGGAACCCCCCCCCCCCCCCCCTCTCTCTGAGTGACATCCTCACTCGGAGCCGCGGTCACACACACAGAAGATGGAGGCGATTTGGGTCTATCAGTTCCGGCTGATAGTGATCGGGGACTCCACGGTGGGGAAGTCGTGTCTGATCCGCCGCTTCACGGAGGGCCGCTTCGCTCAGGTGTCGGACCCCACAGTGGGAGTGGACTTCTTCTCCCGTTTGGTGGAGATCGAGGCCGGAAAGCGCATCAAACTGCAGATCTGGGACACCGCCGGACAGGAGCGCTTCAGGTACAGCGGAGGGGAGAGGCTGAGGGGCTCCGGGGGGGGGGGGGGGGGGGGCAGCCTCGGTCCCCATCTCTCTTGGCCTCAGTGCTGGGGGGGGGGGGCAGCCTCGGGCCCCATCTCCCCATCTCTCTTGGCCTCAGTGCTGGGGGGGGGGGGGGATGCCTCGGGCCCCATCTCCCCATCTCTCTTGGCCTCAGTGCTGGGGGGGGGGGGGCAGCCTCGGTCCCCATCTCCCCATCTCTCTTGGCCTCAGTGCTGAGGGGGGGCACTGCCTCGGTCTCCATCTCTCTTGGCCTCAGTGCTGGGGGGGGGGGGGGGGGGGACGGGGACAACATTTTGTGCAGAACCCCCTCATCTCATCCTCATCTCATGACAATCTTCATTGGTACCTTCATGTTCCCATTCAATGGCACTCACGGGGGGAGGGGGAGGGGGAGGGGAGGGGGAGGCTCTGCTGGTGACTGGAGCACCACTCCCCCCCCCCCCCTCCCCCCCCACAGGCTCAGAGCCACTTGGCCTCGACGTTTATGATGGGGTAAAATTGTGGAGAATTCTCCAGTTCAGTCATTTGGAAATTCTTCATTTCGGGCCTCAAACCCACTACCACAATCCTCATACAGAACCGCTTCCAAATGGCCGGACAGACTGGGACCAGGTGCAACTGTAATAATTAATAATATCCTGGCGTTTGATACAGCGCCTTATCATGTCTTCGAGACGTCTGAAAGCTCTTCACAGAATATACCGTAAAGTGAATTGACTCTATTTTGGGGGCAGCCGATTGCACACAGTTTGTGGCTGTCAAATATCTGCTCTTGGCTTATCTCAGCCTCTTGATAATCAGTTGAATTGACCACCATCTGGGAATGAGTTTCAGAACAAATACACAGATAGTGGAGCTCAGAGTGGCGCAGCCTGGCACTGGGGAGGCAGCCTTAGGGCACCAGGTTACAGAGGGGCTGAGATCTGATTCATTCAGCTCTGAGGGGAAGACATTCTGCAAAACATGTCCCCAGGAGAGGTCCGCAGAAGATAAGCTGGAGCTATGTACACTGGGCGTCATCAATCAATACGAGTAATAAGGGAAACACTACTACTACTACTAATAATACTCCTTGCATTTGATACAGCGCCTTATCACATCGTTGAGATGTCTCGAAGTGTTTCACAGAATATATTGTAAAGTGGAGTGACTGTATATTTTGTGGACAAAACGTGGCAGTTGACTGCGCACAGCAGCGTCCCACAAGCAGTCGTGGATTGAGTGACCAAATTATTATTTTTTATTTTATTTTTGGGTGGGAAAGGATTACTACCCCTGGGAAGTGATCTGCCAATTGATTAACAAGCGGGTTCCTACTTGCTGCTAGGTAAACCAAGGCGTGTGTGTGGAGTAAGGAAACTTGCCTAAGGTTTCACCCTGCCCGGGAATCAAACCTGGGTCCTCTCGCTTGTGAGGGGAGCCACTAACCATTACTCTACGGGGCTCCACAAGACTCCTCCATCTTTAACATCCATCTAAACAGGCTAATTGTTTAGATGTACCATGTGAAGCAGGTTGCATGTTCTCCTGCCGGCTGTATAATAATAATAATCCTTGCATTTGATATAGCGCTTTTCACGTCGGGAGGACGTCCCAAAGCGCTTCACAGAACACACTGTAAAGTGAATTGACTGTATATTTGTGGGCGAACGCGGCAGCCAATTGCGCACAGCAATGTCCCACAAACAGTCGTAGATTGAAAATGACCAATTTAATTATTGTTTTTAGTTTTGGAGGGATTATTATTATTATTATTATTATTATTAGGCTCTGTGTGGAGTAAGGAAACTTGCCCAAGGTTTCGCCCTCTGACTGGAATTGAACTCCAAGTTTGTATGATAGTGTTTAGCAACGACAGGAACGAGAGATGGTGGGGGCTGAGCTCTGGCTTTCTGTCCATTCACTCTGGGAGCTGGACACCATCCAGCACTGAGCGAGCGCGGCTCTGGTTCAGGATTCCCTATGAATACGGCACTGTTAGCTTTGCCTTGTGTGGTCGAGTTGAAATGCAGCTCAGACAGGGATGAGATCTGAGGCCAGTGTCTCAGAGTCTCACATCTGTCAGCCTCAAGTTCCCCCCCCCCACCCTTGACAATTCCCCTCCTCTTCTCATTGATATTTTATATTATTGTCCTTCCACCTCTGGGATATCACCTGCCATGACTGAGGATGGCGCCTGGGGTCGGGGAGGCTGATTTTCATGACGATTCATTAGATTAAGGTACAAAACCCAATGTAAAAGCACAGAATCAATTCCTTAGCCACTGGCTGTAACATCAGAGATTCTCCACAACCACATCAGAGAATGGCTTTCACTTCCCACCCAAGGGTCAGAGACGCCAGTCGGGAGAGCTGCCACCTCGTGGCTATTGATTGTTTCACACTGAGCATCACAGTGAATAATACCCACATCTGATACAGCACTTTATCACGTCGTTGTGATGTCTCCAAGTGCATCACAGGGTTTTATTGTACAGTGTAGTGACTGTGTGGTTCTTAGGCAAAGAGACACCTGGGTTCAATTCCAGGCAGAGCGAAACCTTGGGCAAGTTTCCTTACTCCATACCCTGATAATAATCCCTCAAAACAAACAAAAACAATAATAAATTGGTCATTTTCAATCTACGACTGTCTGTGGGACGCTGCTGTGTGCCAGTGGCTGCCGCGTTTCGCCCACAAATATACGGTCGATTCACTTTACAGTCTATTCTGTGAAGCGCTTTGAGACGTCGAGAAGACGTGAAAAGCACAACATCAAATGCAAGGATTATTATTATTATTATTAAATGAGTCAGCTAATTTGTGCACAGCGACAGTCCACAAACAGCCATGAAGTGAATGATTAATATTATTTGGGGGAAGAAACTGCCTTCTCTTTTCCAATAGTGCCACAGGATCTTTAACATCCATCTGTACAGACTGACTGGAACTCGGTTTAATGTCTCATTTGAAGGATGGCACCTCCAACAACACAGCAACTCGCCCCCCCACACACGTCCCACCCCCCACAACAAGAATCACTGGCATTTGGATCATGCCCTTCGCATAGAAAAATACTTTATGTTTAATCCCCAGCACTGACAACAACAAATTATATTTGTATAGCGCCTTTCACGTCGGGTGGACGTCCCAAAGCATGGAATGTCAGCCTGGACCGTGAGCTAAAAGTCTCTGATGTGGGCTTAAACCCATCATCTTGTGATTTAGACTGAGAGGTGAGAGTGCTGCTCTCTGCCACAGTTAATCAGGGGTGTAATTTGATGTTATTGATATTAGTAATAGTTACCAAATGCCATAACCCCCCCCCCCCCCCCCCACGCATGGTCTCACACCTAGTAACAGCCTTGGTAACATCTCTCCCCTCTCCTCCTCCTACCTGCAGGTCCATCACGCGAGCGTACTACAGGAACTCGGTGGGAGGACTCCTCCTGTTCGACATCACCAACCGCCGATCGTTCCAGAACGTACATGAGTGGCTGCAGGAGGCCAAGGTACACGTGCAGCCGTTCCAGATTGTCTTCGTGCTGGTGGGGCACAAGTGTGACCTGGCTGCCCAGCGCCACGTGTCCCGAGAGGAGGCTGAGAAACTGGCCGCCGCATATCACATGAAGTACATCGAGACGTCTGCACGGGATTCCATCAACGTGGAGCAGGCCTTCACCGAGCTGACCCGGGATATCTACGAGCTGGTCAGGAGGGGGGAGATCACCATGCAGGAGGGCTGGGAGGGCGTCAAGAGCGGCTTCGTCCCCAACGTAGTCCACTCGTCAGAGGAGGCCGTCAAATCGGGACGCCGGTGTTTCTGCTAGGTTATCGGGTGGAAACGCTTAACCGGATCCGTTCCCTCACTCATAGAGACTGTACCAAATAAATACCGGGGCCTTTTTAAACTTGCATCAAAATAAATCACTGTTTGCCATATACGCGACGCTCCAAACAACAGCCTGAGCCAGGAAGGTACGTACCGGCCAGTCCCCACCCCAACCCCAGTTGATGCCTGTCAGAGAAGGGAGAATCTGAGATGATATCCGTGTGTGTGTGTGTGGGGAGGGTGGGGGGAGCACAGGGCTATGCAGAATGTCAAGCCCCTTCCCCCCACCCCCCACTATATCCAAGCGATCTATCCCTGCCCCGGGGGAGTGAGGTGATCATTCCCTGTGACGTGGCCTGGGATGGATTGGTTTGGGATTCAGAGCAGATTCAGCAATGAACAAACCAGAAATGTTACTTATAAGAAAGTTTTTTTTGGCTAAAATAAATCCTGAGAGAAAGTTGCTGAATAAAAACAAGCGATTGCTGGTTTGTGTATGAACTGGGAAGTACTGAGCCAGACTCTCAATACCCCCTGTCCCGGGCTCAGCCAATCCCTCTGTCTCTGTTGGGGTGGGGGGGGGGGAGAAGGAAGGGTAACTGAGAAACATAATCTTGCCCCAACCAAGGATAGTGTTTGGGGGGGTAATTGGAAGAGAGTAAATATGGGAAATATAATACTAAATAAAGTTAATGAGGTATAACTAGTGAGAATTATGAATCTGCAAAGTTAAAAAGGCCTCCACTCGCCTCCCATGTGTAGTGTCTGTACAAACGAATAAAGATATTTGTGTCTCATTAAGTCAACAATATCCTGTATATGATAGAACTTTACCCCATTGAATAAACAGTAACTTCATACAGTGTGACTTTTACCCTGTGAAATAAAACAGTGACAGTGAGTGATTCTCCGACAGTATAGAACACGTGACTCTTCACCCAATTCAGCCTCCCCGTGCTGCCTGGCTCAGACAAGCAAACTCTTGCATGAATTCGAAGCAATGAGCTCCCAGTCCATAAATCATCTCACTATCGTGGCTGCCTCCTGAAGAGAAATATCAACACAACGAATGATATTTGTGTAGCGTTTTTCACGACAGGACGTCCTAAAGCACTCCCTAAATAAAACAGCGCATGTGTGGGGCGCAAGCCGGAGAGCGAGCACAAGAGTGAGACAAGACTGGGTGCCTGGTGTGGAGAAAAACACCCACAGAACCATGTCAATGTTCTACTGAGATAAACACGGGTGGCCCTCACCAGTGTGGAGGTTATTATGCTGGTGACAGCAAGTTACTGTAATATTACAGATGTATCAAGATTCTGATGTAGACGAGAAGTGGATTTTTGTAATATTGGAAGGAAACCACTAGTTATTTGACGTTGTTATTAGTTCAGTAGCACTCATGGGCCTGAAATTGCATTAGCTGAACTCTGCCGTCCTACTAAATAAGTACCTACAACTGTGCCCGGCTTTGTACAGCTCCAATATATTAATTTTCTGTAAGATATATTCCCGGCATTTCCCTTTGCTTCCCCGGTTTGCTCATTAGCGTTAATCATTCTCTCAGCTGAAAGAACACGAGTTACTGCTGGCCACGCGCTGCACAATATGCCCCTGTATTCACAGGTATATTGGGGTATGGTAAACCTCACAGAAGCCTATCAGTTGGGACCAGACATTTAATACGATTTATGCAAAGCACAAATTATGTCAAACATCCATAGAATATAAACTCTTAGCAGGAGTTGGGCAAATGTAAGACTTAAGATTATGCGATTTATACAGATCAGACTTATGTGAGTTTGACTGGCCACGATCTGTCACGAACATTTCAAAACACCTTAGAGATCGGGTACGTCGCAGGGCAAACCGGGAAAGTGGGGTAGGATGGGAGAAGGGCTTTCAGAGGACAGAGAGTGTGAGGCCGAGGGATTTGGGGAGAGTTCCAGAGAATGGCTGGGGGTGGGGGTGGGGTGGGGGGATAAAAGCTGAAAACTCAGCTGCCAATAGAGAGTTGGGTGGGGGGGGGGGGGGGGGAGTGCATCCAGCAGATCTGTGTTTAGAGTTGAGGGAATGGGTGAGAATTCGCGAGCTCTTGTTTTGCCTGAAAAGACATGAAATGCTTAAACCAGCGATTTTCTTGAATTCAGCAGTTTAATAACATCTCATGATAGAACCGTACAAAATCTTTACAGGTGTCATATCACATTGAGAATATAACTTGTGGCTCGGATACTCGAGGCATCTATGGTGATTGTATGTCAGGGCTGCGGACTGCTGCACCGCTGCTCACCCACAAACCTCTCCACGTCTCCCAGTGGACTTTGTCTTTTCGCACCCACAAACAGCATGTAAGCATGCAATAAACCAACATGTTTACGCCAATAAATAAACCGTGATTTCAGGCTCTCTCTCTCCCGCAATTTTTTCTTAAGCTTTTCAATTTCACCTTTCACTGTAGCTGTTCCGATTTCAAAAGGCTGAAATGCAAATTTTGCCAAATTGCTGGGGTTCTTAATGAGAAAACAACAGTGAGTTTTGACAGTTAAACCAAGTGTAAAAATAGTTTTGTGTGCATATGTGTGTGTGTTGGTAGATGTGTGGTGTGTATGTGGCATTATGCACTATTCTTAGAGGCTGCTTCTGAGCTTCTCCTTTTCACATCCCAGTTATACACCCTCGCCATGTCTGTAAGAGAAACAGTCAAGGAGATATCAGAGGTAATGGCTTGCGCTTGCATTTTCCCCTGGATACAGCCCCAGGCCCGGTCAGAGGCAAACTGCCTGCTTTTGTGGGGACCTCATTGAGATGGCGGAACTGAGGAAATAGCAGAGCTTTAAAAACAAAATACTTACCCACAATATAATTAAAGGGACTTTTAAAAAAGGCTCACGGTTCATCGGGTGTAAAGGATACTGACTTCTGTAGTGGTGAACTGGTCTCGCAGGAAATCTAGATCTTCCTCTAGTCCCTCTAGGTTACGGGTTGCAGTGGATAGATTCTTCTCCAGCAGAGCCTGAGCCTCGTCAATATCATATTCAAGCATTACATTGGCCTGTGTGAGACATTGGCTTGTTACTCACTGTCGGGTTGTGGTAAGCGAGACAGAGAGCTGGCTGGAGCTTACTCGGAACTGATAGGGTAATGAGCTCTGTGCTGGGATTTTATTGCTGATCAGTGGCCAGCGCTGGTTTATACTTTCACAGCAAGCGGCTAACACACAAAATAATAGGACTGTCACATTCTCTTCCTCCATCCACAGCCACACTGACAGTGTTAAAAGGTGATTTTAACACCGACTGCCCCGCCCCCAGACACCGACTACCCCGTCCCCGGGCACCTACTGCCCCGTCCCCAGGACCTGGCAACCCCTCCCCTGAGGTTTATTTGCACAGTTACCCTCTAGTCCCTCTAGGGACAAGCGGCTTGGGGGCAAAGACTTCACTGTGCAAACGGAAGCGACGGATCTGAACTTACCCCCAACCATAGGCACACTTTATCTGTCGGAGCGATGGATGCTTTGGCGTAGAGATTGTCCGCCAGGAGGAAGCGCGTCTCCATAGGATCTGTGGAATCCTTGGGAATAAACAGTAGACACGCACCGAGCAGCATTACTGATCACTTTCACTTCAGCACAATTCATACTTTACACTTTCTCTTTTTGAGACGATTCATACGAATGGTTCTCTGTGTGAGTGGTGTCAAGGAAACGGGGGCGAGGGATTGGCAACTCTGAGGTTGAGAAACAATCCACACAGTCCCTGTGGACCATGAACATTGTAAACAGCATGCTCCATGGGACAAGGACCTGATTTATAATTCTAAGCTTTTAAAATCTGTGAGGAACTTAACGGCATTGTTTAAAGCAAAACAACCGCTTATTGTTCAGATTTCCAACATTGGAACAAGCTAGAGAAAAATTAACAAGAGTAAGATTTATCAGAATAACAGTGAGAGTAAACAACAGTACAGGAGCAGCTCAGCGGAGGAACACAAGAGGCCGCCTGATCTCACTGTGCACCAGGCAGAATAAAACAAACAGGAGCTAGTTACTCCACACTGTACACCTCCTGGGGACCTCTCACCCAAACTCTTGACTATGGGTGGTATGTTAAGTGGGAAGATGGAGGGAAAAGGAAGAAAATTGCCTCTAAAAAATCCAGTCCAGTTAGAATTCAGCCAGACCTGAATGAGGGACATTTTCATAGCATTCCCCTTCCCGACACGGTCACAGACAGATCCTCTAGGTACCCCCCACAAAGAACCAGGTAGAACAGGAACGAGTCATGTACAGCCAGGAAAGCAGCTGAAGGTCAGGTCCTCTGAAGCTGTGATGAATTTTTACCTTTTTCTTCTGCATGTGTCTTAAGATCTCTAAAGTCTGTTTAATTTCTGGGATTTGACTTTTTAGCCTGGGGAGAATAAAAGACAAGTGTAAAATGCCTCTGTTTTTAAAACAAAGCAATCACCTTTTATAGAAGCTGTAAACTTGTAAAGTGGAAGAACATACACAATGCACAACCTGCCTATAATTACATCAACAGCGCACCAAGGGCCGGGTTTAAGCTTTCCCTTAGCACCGCCATCAGTCTCTCCCAGTCCAGAGTTTCCACACAAACTGCGAGCACTCTCCCTCCTCCCAGGGTCTGCTGGTGGCTGTGAGCTGAGGAGACTGGACTGTGTCCAATTTGACTCTCGTCATATATTCAAGGGCAGATTGTTCTGCATGGATGTGGCTTTCTTTGATTTCTTGGTCTCTTTCTTCTACACAGAAGCACACACACACACACACACAAACAACAACAACTTGCACTTACATCATGCCCTCCACGCAGCGTAGCGTCTCAGAGCACTTGACACACCACGCACAATAACACACACACACAAGGCACAGGAAGCTAGATTTCCTAGCAGCAAAGGGCAGCACCGCTCCCAGTCACCAACAGTGGGGAAAGTCAGGCCAACACCTCAATTGCTGTGTGTCTGCTATGAAACATTTCAAACACAGTGCAATTGTAACAGGTGATTTCAACAAAGGCTGGCTTAAAGCTGGCTTCAAGGAGGTCACAATGAGAGAATATTTTCCCCACATAACAAGATATATACTGAGGGATGGGGCATTTATCTGACCGATGAGAGAGATCTAAAGGGCGGGGGCATGTCTCTCACTTGCTGTAGAAGTGACCCACTCTCTGTTTCCTGTTTAGAGCACGCTGAATCATACTGCCATGCTCAGCTGAACACCGTGCACAGGGATCAGAGAAGTTTCTCCTCCACTAACAGTTGATGCTCACCTTCTCTTTTTCTGCGATAAGTTCAATTCCATGAATTTGTATTTCTGGTACTGCTCGTCCAGCCTCCTCAACACCAGGTCCGCTGTTTCATTACCAGCCTGCTTCATAAAGGCCACTACATCTTCCTGTCAGATAGGAGGTGGACAACATAAAGTGAATGAACAAGACGGGTTACTGGAGAGTAGGCGAGAAAAACTTGCTGGAGTAACACTTGTCCGATGGGTGCAGTGCTGATGCGTCGGTTCTATTTCTACAGCGCCTGCAGTAAACATTTTACTTTGATTTCTATTTGTGGACTTGTCTTATCCTCGCTAGTGTTTTAAAGACTCTGACAAAGCATGGAACAAAAGGATAATAATAAATAATAATCCTTGCATTTGATATACCACTTTCAACGTCTTCTAGACATCTCAAAGAGCTTCACAGAATATACTGTAAAGTGAATTGACTGTATATTTGTGGGATGTGAAGGTATCCGCTCTGGACTGTTTCTCATCCAAGTGAAACCAAGTGCATCCAGGGAGGGAGAGGGAGAAAATCCTCATCAACATGTTTCAATTTAAACTTGACTGAACTTTCCTCCAGGGAGAAGGGCCAGATTGACACTCCACAAACTCTACACAAACATTACTTTTTAGTAATCGGATTGAGAACTGATGAAGCAGCAATAGTTCATCTTCACTGTAACCTGCGTATTACTTATTGTATGTTTCATGCCTTTATTGTTTCAGCCACAGACCCATACTACCAATTAGTAAATAATAGTGATAATGTAGCCCAGCATTACTAAAATTAGTACATCACTTACAGTTTTTGTTGATACACAACAAAAATAACCCTAACCCACTGAAAAGAGTTCTTCAGTCACACCCAGGCATTTACTAACACAAGAGCAGCTTCAGCACCAATGTGGGCAGTCAATGAACAGTGACAAACACTCTGCACACATAGCTTCAGCACTAGAGTTTCCATTAAATACAACAACAATGCCACACTCAGTTATAAATAATAATTCTGGCTTATGTGCTTCTCCACCATTTCTCCACCGCCTAGTGTCATGCATCAGTTTACAACAATAACCTAGAAATTAATGAGTAGATGAGAGGCTATGGAAAATCTGACATTTTCTAATTAACATCCCAGTAGATTTTCAGTGCTCCTAGCAACCACCAGGCCACAACAACAACAACCTTACATTTGTATAGCGCCTTTCACGTCGGGAGGATATCCCAAGGCGCTGGACAGACGCAAGATGAGGGTCGGGGTGGGGGAGGGTGGAGGGCAGGGGAGGAAGCAGGGAGATCGAGAGCACGGTTGAAGAGGAGGGTCTTGAGGGTGATGAGGGAGGGGGTGAGACGGAAGGACTGCGGGAGTTCCAGAGGATGGGTGCAGAGTGGCGGAGGGCCTGCCCGCCGATAATGAGGCGAGAAAGGCGGGGGACGTGAAGCAGGCTGGAGCCCGCTGAGCGGAGGGAGCAAACAGGGTGGTAGGGGGTTAGGAGGTCGGAGAGGTATGGGGGGAGCAAGACTGTGGAGGGCAAGACTCACAAGATCACGCTGCTGATCAGCTGCCTCCAGCTGCACCGTGTTGTTATGTGTTGCGATTATTCCCAAAAGCTCAAAGCACTCATTCAAAACCAACACTTCAGGAGGAGATCAATCTACAACATATGTAACACCTATAGGGAACTACCTGATTGATCTGAGTTACCAACATAATAAATAATAGTTTAATTATAATAGAGCCCTACCATTGAAATGACTCAAAGCATTTCACATAAGTTATGTTGAGTGTGGAGTCCTGTAGTTCAGTGGTTAGAGCACTCGCTTTGCAAGTGAGAGACCTGAGTTCAATTCCAGGCAGAGGGCGAAACCTCGGGCAAGTTTCCTTACTCCAACAGAGCCTAATAATAATCCCTCCAAAATCCCTCCAATGGGACATTGCTGTGCGCAATTGGCTGCCGCGTTCGCCCACAAATATACAGTCAATTCACTTTACAGTGTGTTCTGTGAAGCGCTTTGGGACGTCCCGACGTGAAAAGCGCTATATCAAATGCAAGGATTATTATTATTATTATTATTAAATGCAGTCACTCGGGCTACGTTGGCAAACAATGCAGCTAATCTGCATCAACAACTCTCCACAACATTCCGCTTCACAGGATTTACTGTATATAGTGACTATGTATTTGGGGAGGTGAATGGGGCAGCCAATTTGTGCATGCTGTTTGTCTGCGCAAACGGCTATAAAGTGGATGATCAAAGTGAATCTGGAGTATTGTCAGACAGGATTCTCTCTTTTTCAATAGTACCAAGATCTTTAACATCCATCTCAACACACAAAGAGGATCTCGGTTTAATGTCTCATCTGAAGGACAGTATCTCTGACGAGGTGCTCCCACCAGCACCACAGGGGTGTCAGCCCGGACTGTGAGTCACAGGCCCTGACATTGGCTCTCAGATTCCCTGCAAGAGGGCTGCTTTGCTCACAGAGAAGCCGGGGAGGATCTGCCAGTACATGAGGGTGGGGCGGGGGTTGGGCAGGAGAGGGTGGGGCGGGGTTGGGCAGATGAGGGTGAGGTGCATGAGGGTGGGGCAGGGGTTGGGCAGCTGAGGAATGGCGGGGTTGGGCAGGTGAAGGTGGGGTTGGCGGGTGGGCCGGGTGTTGGGCGGGTGAGGAATGCGGGGTTGGGCCGGTGAAGGGGGGGCGGAGGTTGGGCAGGTGAGGTGGGGTGGGCGGGTGAGAGTGGGGCGGTGAGGGGGCGGGTGGGGGTGGGCGGGTGAGGGTGGGGCGGGTGTGGGCGGGTGAGGGTGGAGTTGGGGCGGGTGAGGGCGGGGCGGGGCGGCCGCCGGGGGCGTTGCGGGAGAGGCCCTGAGCAGCTCGGGGTCTCCATAGGGACGGAGCCGCCGCTCCCCGCGAAGGCCTCAGTCCCGCCACCACACGTCCCCCAGGGCCTCCGCCGCCTCCTGCCCGTCGCCGCTTACCACGAACACGGCCTCGGGGATGCCCAGGTGCTTGCGGGCCGCGGACGGGCCGAGAGCCGCCACCGCGCTGTCGCTGTCACCGCTGCCCCTGGTCGCCGCCATCTTGAGAGCGAGCCCCCGCCCCCGCGCAGGCGCATTGGCCGCCACCAGCTCCCGCCTCCTCCCGCCGCCCATTGGCTGGATCCCGGCCTCCTCCCGCCGCCCATTGGCTGGATCCCGGCCTCCTCCCGCCGCCCATTGGCTGGATCCCGGCCGCAGCGCCAGTGTGTGGCTGTTTGCACTGTCACTCACAATCGAGCAGCCGCTTCCCCCACAGGGGGCGCTCTTGGCCATTGCTTTACTGCGCACTGTATGGTCAGAGGTGCCATCCTTCAGATGAGACGCTGACCCGAGGCTGTGTGGACACGGGGCTGCACTGAGTTCTTGTCTGACCCTCAACTCTCCTTTCTACCGCACATCCGCCCCACGACCGGCTCTGCCTTCCCCACTCCGCCGCGAGGCCCGGCACCACACCGCCCCCCCCCCCCCCCCCCCCGGGCCCGGCACCACACCGCCCCCCCCCCCCCGGCCCGGCACCACACCGCCCCCCCCCCCCCCCCCCCCGGGCCCGGCCCCACACCGCCCCCCCCCCCGGCCCGCCCCACACCGCCCCTCCGGGCCCGGCACCACACCGCCCCCCCCCCCGGGCCCGGCTCTCCCACACCACCCCCCCCCCGGGCCCGGCCCACACCGCCCCCCCCCCGGGCCCGGCCCCACACCGCCCCCCCGGGCCCGGCACCACACCGCCCCCCCGGGCCCGGCACCACACTGCCCCCCCCCCCCCGGCCCGGCACCCACACCCCCCCCCCGGGCCCGGCGCGGGGAGGGCGGTGGATAAATCCAAGCTGTTGCTGGACGATGGGCAGCCCTGGGGGGCGACCAGTGGGGAGTTTGAGCAGTGGAGTCTGGATGTGATGAAGGGGTGTGTGAGGGTCTCGGGCGCTGTGGTGAGACAGTGGCGGAGTCGGGCGATGTTGTGGAGGTGAAGGAAGGTAGAACAGGTCATGGTACAGATGTGGGATAGAAAGGATAGTTAAGGGTCAAACAAGACCCCAAGGTTCTGGACTGGCTCAGTGAGGTGGAGTGTGCAAACATCGAATGGTGATGCTGTCAGCGCCTGAGGTGTGGAGGCGCTGATGGGAGCCAATCAGGAGCCTCAGTCTTGTTGAAGTTCAACTGAAGAAAGTTCGCTTTCATCCAGGATTTGATGTCTAACAGACATTCTGTCAGGACAGCAGTGGGTCCTGGAGTCAAGGGGGGAGGCAGAGTGTTACAGTTGGGTGTCATCCACATACATGTGGAAGTTAACCCCATGTCTGCGGATGATGTCACCAAGAGGGAGCATGTAGATATTGAAGAGGAGGGGACCAAGGACAGAGCCCTGAGGAACGTCGCATTAGACAGTGCGTGGGCTGGAGGAGAAACCGTTTGTGGAGATGAAGGTACGACCTGAACCAGTCAAGGACAGAGCTGTACAAATTGGCTGCCGTGTTTGCCCACAGAACTTCAGTGTTTTCTGCGAATCGGCCACCTGACATAACGCAATACAAGATGCAATGCTTATTACTAAATACAGGTATTATTAGTATTACTAAATGACATGTACTAGACCCCAAAAAATGAACCAACTAAATCATATCTTCTCAAGACTATGTTGTTTGAAAAAATTCAAAGCACTCCAACGAGAATAGTTAAGGCATTAAAGGGAAACAAGCTGTAGAGTGGGATCACAATAAATACATTGTGAACAGAACACTAGTGTAGACTTGTTGAATCAAATGGACAGCAACATAGGATTTGGTGTAAAGGATATTGCAGAATTTTTTTTAAGCAAAAATGTTCAGTAAAATAGGCCATTACATACTTTAATTCCTTGTTATCAAATTGCATATCCAAGTTTGGTAAATGATCCAGGATTAAATCCAGCAAGGCTGGAGCCATCCTTTCAATCCTAACCCAGAGGCTGTAGCAATCTCATGCGTTCTCTCACCCCTTCAGCAAATTGATGGATAGGGGTCAAAGAATCATAAACAGAACAAAAGTCAACTAGCAACACCTTTTCATACATTTTGTTTATTATGCAATAATGCACTTGCCCATACACGGATTTCAGAATCAAATACAACCCTGATGAAATTTGCTATTTTTCTATGTTTACTAGTTACTGTAAATGTATAAATGATAACATATACAAGTTTCAATTACTCAAAAAATATAATCTGCAAAAATGCAATACAACAGCGTCATTTCATTTGTTGCAATTGACAGAAAGATCGTATTTTCCCCTCACAGCACAAACTACCCAAAACAGAAAGGAAATTCCTGCACTTATTTACAAAGAAGCACCGATCCACAGTGCTGTAATTTATTTATATTGTTCACTCCCCCCTCCCACCTAACACTAAAATCAAGGGTAATTGCCCCATTTTCAGTGCTCACACATTTACCACAGTGATACATATAAATGTTGGATTGCATTAATACACTAAATATGTAACAAGCCTGTTAATGGTGCAAAAGGTAGTTTATAGTGTGAAGGAAATACTTCTAGCAATGCGACTCATTTTTGAAGTCACTTAACTCTTAAGAGGTGGTTGTGTGACTTTAGGTTCAAGACTGTACTGAGGGAAGCATCTAAACGTAGTATACTGTTTAGGAATTTGAAGAGACAGCATTCAGGTAAGGATGTGTGGTCACATTAATATTCTCCCTCATTGATCATCCCATTTACTGACCCAACATCGTAGCACCAAGAACCCCAACCTCAGAGCTAAAGCCTGCATTGTTTTACAAAAATATTTATATACAAGCTTCAATGGGAGCCTCCATTCAAACCAAATCTAATGAAATTACAAAAGTGAGAGATGGGGGGGAAGAGGAGGAGGGAGAGGTAATAGGTAATTGCCTTGTAAATGTGAGCAAATTAAATTGCATATAAAGATACAAGGATATATACCTGCAAAACAAAAATCCTTCTAAAACCAACGCTTCACCTCGTGTACATCGAAACATACGTTGTGCAGTTTGTTTCGGGCTTGTTCTGTACAGATGAGTAGTAGTTATTGGCACTTGATAAGAGCACAACTCCCTGACACTGTCTAGTAAAAAGGGGCCCTAGCATTAGTTTTGGGGTTAAATTGCAACTCTAGCATTCATTTCACAACCAGAAAGGATACCAAATACTGTACAATGTGGAACAAGTTAAAATGAGGGGAATAGCACTTTCCCAAGGGGATGTTTTAATGAATAATAAACATATGAAGTTTCTGATATCTGCTTTGAATTGACAGTGTTCTGCAGGCTCCACTGAATGTTATGGAGAGAAATAAACAGGTTTTAGTTGGCATCAGAGACATGTACAGTTATTTATTGCTATCAAATGAATGCCTAAAATTTGCCATTTCCTTATTCTAAGCCTTTTATCAGTTACCTGCATAAACTTTATGTGTAATACTAACTTATTATCAGGCTTGACAATGCAGCCTGCTTCTCCAGCCCACAAGCCAGCAAAGCTCTCGACAGGCAAGCCCCAACTCTGAAGTGATGGCAAATTCCAAGCTTTTGGAAGGATAATATTGTGATTGTTCATTTTACAAGGTGCATTTTATGCAACAAATTCATTCTACCTCTAGGCTGATCCAGCACGTAGCCAGCATAGGAGCACTCTTCAATGGTGCTACAGACAGGGTGCTTCATACTGTAATATGGTCTACATATTATAGCACATTTCAGGGATGAAAGGTCCACCTGGCCTTCTTTGGTCTGGGCCATGCCAGAAATTAAAAGTGCACGGCCTGGCTCCTGATCAATCAGTTACTAGCTTCCCTCTGCTCACAACAACAATCAGTAACAAAACAGCAAGTTATCTTAATTGTTAGGTCTCCAGCCATTTGTTTTGGGGATGGGCGAAGAGGAGGAGTAGAAAGAAAATCAACTCCCATTTGTCTGACCAATGAAAGGTAACTAAACCCAACATAAAACGAGCACACCTTAATATGTGAATACTGTCTCTTTAAATTGTTCAAATGTATTACATCAAAAGTGTTGCTCTGTGTTGAAATAAAGAGGACAGAAGTCTGTGTGTATGTAGGCCAGCCGCTGGAGGTTCCCCTCCATTCTTGGCACTGTATAAATCTGCAGAACAAAAATCCACAGCTATTGCCCAGAGTTTGAAAATGCATGTTGGACAATCAGTGGGTAACATACGAGGAGTTTAAAAAAAATGATTAAAGCAGTCAACAGTTATTTTCTTGTGCATTGACATGAAAATCCAGAGAAATAATTGTGTAGCATTATCCTATTTGGCAGATTTCAAAAAGAGTGCAGATGCAACTTCACATTCCTTTCCCCTCCCCCACTCTCTTCTACCTGCTCGCAACCCCCCCCCAAAAAAAAAAGCTTGAATAAGAGTTCCACTCTAAACTTATCAAAAAGATGCAAGACAGCAAATTCCAAGTGCAGGAGCAAGGGTCTCTTACACCAAGCAGCAAATTCCCAAACTCCTCAAACTTGTCTAATGCTCCAAGTGATTTCAGTTTGGTTCCCCCCTCAACAAAATACCGAGTCCACACAAGTGATGTGAAGTATTAAAACATTGCAAACTCAAGAAGGGGGAAAACATTAATGATAATTATAAATAAATAGTAACAGAACAATGCAATCTTCTGATCATTGGTCAGTAAGTTTGCAGTTAAATTTTATAAAGAGTTAAACTAATACAAAATCTTCTGGGCTATTTTTGCATTTTATAGAACAAGGAAGAGCTGTGCTATATGCATACCAAACTTTACATCACATTCCAACAGTAATTGTTATATAAAATTGTGGTTACTCATCACCAGCTACATCTGAACAGTCTGAGTTGGCACAAAGTTATACAGGATTCAGTCCAACCTGTGTGAACAATCACCCTTTATAGATTGACACTATACTTACAGTACAGTAGTGCTATAGGTTAGGGGGGAGGGGGGAGGAAGCAAAGGGGAAAGTGCTATTTCAGGTGTGAGAAATGAAGAGCAAACCTCAAACTGCTTGTGACTGAGAAAAATTGTCCTGAATTCTTTCTACTTTGTTTTAGTATGTGAGAAGATTTGTAGTCACCATTTGGTTCTCAATTGCTCAACTGCAATCCCAGGATGTAGACTGTGCAGCACATCTGTTTTGAACACACACACACACACACATATACATTCAGACTAGAGAAGCACAACCGAGGCATCTGCTGTGTATTGACAGTTACATTCTTAGACAGTCATTTTGCAGTACTGTAATATTGTAACACAATATCCTTCCATTCAATTTATTTTATACACAAGCTGTGGTTTCATGGTCTGGAAAGACAAGGAGTAAGACAGAGACTACTCCTGAGGGATCACTTACAACTCACTATCCCTACTCTGCTGGCAATTGAAACTCTTCCACCCTGAACATGCTAACTCCATTGCAACCTGCAGCAAATTCAAGTCTTCACATGATCAGACCAGACTATTATATACTAATTGTAATCTGAAATCCACTCAACAAAGCACACTGAATTCACCTGCTCCACCTGTTACCCTCCACCATTTGTCCTGAATGTTTACGCATCAGATATCCCTGATCAAACCCTTACATGTTGGAGAGATTCGCAACTGTAACCTGGGAAATGTGCTGCAACTTTAACGCTGAGTTTTCCAAGGTTTCTAACTATATAAGGGGTCTCTCCCCCCCCCCACCCCATTAGCTTGAATTTTTCCACACATTAAAAAAATTGTGAAAATAAAGTTATTTTCTGTAAATGTTCTTATAAAGCCTTACCATTACCCAATAAATACTGGTAAACCAAACCCTTCAACAATTCTCGCATATCGGGGCTGGTTAAAGCCGCGGGGTGGGGGGGGGGGGTAGATTTGGAAATTATTAGCATTTTTAGAACTTTATCCAGATTCAGTTACAGTATCAACCTCAACTTTTTATTCTGCAGGTTTCTGTTCAGTCACCAATAAGGAGTTGTGACTTTTCTCATCAAAAACAATTTTAGTTTTGCTCAACAATGAAAAAGAAAAATGCCTGCCCTTGATGGGTGTTACTGAACACCAACAGCAACTCGAGCCTGTGTGAGGGTGAGTGACCACTACAGAACTCGAGCCTGTGTGAGGGTGAGTGACCACGACAGGTTGGACAGACTCTGTACAGCACTGGATTTCCAAATCTGGTGTGTGCGTTAGTAAAGTGGATTAGGAATTGATGAGATAATGTAAGCTCAGTGACAGATAGTTTAAACAACGAGAAAGCCTAGAGTCTGTGTTCATCTGCCTTCATCCAGATATTTGGTGCTTAGTGAACCTTGTTTTGACACAGCTCCTCTGTCTCTACATGAACTGCAACTGGAAGAGAATGGAAAAGGCACATTAGTAGTTACAAACCTCTGATTACTACTTTAATCTCTTCCCACTTCGTGTCCACCACATTTGTCAAATATTTTGAGATTTTTATGTAAAAGCCTCTGTATATATCCCACTTCAATTTTCCAATGCCCTCATTGCCAGACTCCCTAGCTCCACTATACAAATACTACTTGTTGTTGAAGACCTTCCTCTTCCACTATGCTTACGGTCACTTCACCTCTCTCCCAAGCTCAGTGTCAAGCTCCACCACCAAGAAGCGCTCAGAAACACTATGCGAAGGGTGTGATGTAAATGCAAGTTGTTGTGGCATAAAACATTTGTATAAAAAAGGATGTGATTATGCAACTGCCTTTCTTTTTGAACTACATGAAAATCTCGTGATAAAGGTAGTTCACGTGGGGGGAGGCGTTGTGGCATTTTGTGGAGCAAACTGGAGAAGTTTGACAGGCTGCAAGCAAGTGCTGATCGCTGAGAAGCCCACAGAGCTATCATCTCCTTCAAGGTCTAAATTCAATTATAATCATTTACCTGAGCTCCATTAACTGGTGCAAAAGGGTTAGTTGGCCTCATTGCAGTCTGAGGATACATCATTGGCTGCTGTGCTGCCATTGGCACAGTTCCCATTGGAGGTACCTGAGGGAATAAGTTAAAATTATTGAGTTACAAAACGCTAGCAAAACGCTGCCTCCTGCAACTACTGGACATAGTTCACTGGAGCACACAGGAAGAGCAATAGTCACAGGTACAATTTAATGACCACAAGATGTCCTGTAGGTTATCTTCTGTGTTTTCATATGCAGTGTGTGCGTGCAGCTAATGAGAATAATACAATAATAATAAATGCAAGGATTATTATCATCATTAGCTGCACACACAAACTATGTTCAATCAATAACCAAATGCTACTTTCTACATTGCAGATTTCCCCAAAGAAGTGCAGTTTTATGTAAATGTGTAATGAATGAGAGTGACTGCAGAGCAATGCCTACAATTCAGCAACAAGTCACAGACCAGGAAATGCAGATACCCAGAAACTGATTCCCTTTTGCTCTATGCTTCAGGTTAAGACTCGCTACCTTGGAAGCAACGAAAGAGGGGAGTTTTATACGTTACTCACCATTCCATAAACAGGCACTTGAGGTGTTGACATTGGGAAAGATATGGGGCCAGGCACCTGCACAGCACAAGGACAAATGCAAAATATTCCATCAGTGAGAAGAGGATCAAAACCTTAGTGTGAAATGAGCAGCTTGGAACAGAGGCCTGGAGAAACTGAACAGTCACCCTGGGCTGATCTCACACACTCCCGACTCCTCACTTGCTGGCCCTCACTTGTGGAGAGCAATATTGCACAAGCACAATAAAAATTTGCAATGCAATCAACTCTTGCCCATTTCCCACCCAAGATTATATGAGCAAGCGATGAGCGAAAATGTAACCAGTTATCCTACCAAGCACATGCTCAACTACATTACAAGTAGTGGCACTAATTTTACTTAAGATGGCGATAACTATTGAAAGGAGAATAAATCTTCCATCTTTTGACTGGATTCAAAACCTGCTCTAGATGTGAAAGAAGTTCCCTGGGCAAGGTACATGTTCCCAACTCTACACAGCACAAACAACTGGCATTTAGTCTTCTCACTGCACTGAAGTCCATGATGTGTTTAGCACCTATCCAGAAAACTGGTCCAGACTAAACACATCCCATAGCAAACAGAAGATACAAACCAGATTGGATCGCACAACGGACGGTGCTGTACCACAATACAGCACAAGATTAGATAGCTAACATCATTTTTACAATTCTGCAAAGAACAGTTTTAAGCATTCCATATTCCCCACACAGACACTAAAGCACAATCCACTAACATATTAGTAACATAACATAAATATATTAAAGAGCAACTGTTCATTGTGACTCTGTGTGATCAGCCATCAGCCCAAATCAGAAATGATACGATTTGTGGGAAAGCGAAATTTAAGAAATATAATGTTAGTTAACTTACATATCCAGGAAACTGCAAGCCATTCTGTTACGCAAGAAGTGGGGAGGGAAGAAAATATAAAAAGGCAAAAAATCCATCAGCAAAAGGTTAAATGGCCAGCCTATTAATACCATTCTTGTGACAACTCATTTGCTGTTACTGGACACTTCCTCAGTTCACCTTGTATTGAATGTGCATGGGAGGGGAGGGAGAGAAGGCTCAACAGTGGCAGCTCAAGTAATTAGCTATGAAATATAAATAAGTAAGCTTTTCATGGGGGTAATAATCCCTTCAAATAAATAATAATTTGGTCAATCCACGACTGTTTGTGGGACACTGCTGTGCACAATTGGCTGCCGTGTTTTGCCCAATTCACTTTGCAGTACATCCTGTGCAGCGCTTTGAGACGTCTCGAAGATTTGATAAGGCGCTACATCAAATGCGCAAGGAGTATTATTATAAACTTTGGGCGAAAGATGGAATGGAGCGTTTTGTGAGCTGATGGATCCTCATTGTACGCAGGTTGAGATATCAGACAGTGAGAAGAACACTGCCTCATTCTGTAGTCTCTCTCTCTAGTGAAACTAAAAACCAAAGCTACATGTCCTGTTGGCACCCAAATACGTGAAGGATAAAACAGTTTAAAGACATGGAAGCTGTGTTAGAGAACTCCTACAGTGCATTACAGCCACACCCAGAACCATGCAGCGTTGGGTGTGGGCCTAGACACGTACCCAGGCAAAGGAAGCAAACAGCTACCAGGACTTGCCAATGACAACGAGCAACTAGCATGCAGCAGCAATGGCAGAAGCTTGGGACCAGGGCATCACTACTGTGTGCTCTTGGCCGCCAACAGTGCATGGCTCTGGGGAAAACTAACCCGTGAGACACAGAAATGAGTCTCAACTTCAAAATTCACGCATTTTCCTTTCTGCTGTAGATACTGGAATACAAAGCACCAGCAGAAGAGCCATTGGTTGCAACATTCACATTTGCTGTCAATACTTTACATGTAAAGAATTGTGAACATACCATTTGTGGGACAGACATGGGGCCAGTGTTCCAGGAAGTCGACGTAGCTGTCTTTGGCTGCCAGTTTGTTCCTCCGGTCAGTTTCCTTTCTCCGCTATTGGTCCACTGCTGATCCATTCTAATAAACAGAACGCAGTTCAGATTTGAGAGTCACATACACTGGTAGGTGAGCATGAGAGCTATTGTATAATAACAACCCAGAGTTTTTCTGTGTACCACACCAATGGAGATACAGAGCAGCCAGATTAAAAACATTCTTACTTTTTAATTGGAGTTCCTCCAAAACCCAGATCTGTGAGAGAAAGAGAAGGTAAAATCAGGGTTGTTTTAATCCACAGTGTAATACACTGTAAGATCCTCCCTATGTATACTGAAATGAGCCAGTACGCAAATGTAGATCACTATGAATACAAAACGAGCAAGAAAGTAAACTCACGATTAGGCCTGGTTCTACATTTTAATATGATGGAAGTGGTTTAGGACTATTAAGATTTTATAAAATTATTTTTATTATAGTGCTGATGTTCAATGAATCTGGGTGCTCACATTCAGTCACACGACTGCTCTACACATACCCAGACTAGGCACATCCTCAATTTACACCAATCATGTCCTGCTACACATGACCAATCCATCTTAAATGCTTTTCAACTAGGATTTAACATTAATTAAAAATGCTTTTTAAATCAGAAATTCTGAACAAATATTATCAATTTATGATTTCCTCCAATCAATTACCATGGTCAAAAGCAGCCTCCTCTTAACACAACTCTCGAGATATCACAGTGCATGCTCATGCTAAAACTATGGAACTAATTTAGTCAAATTGGCAGCTGGCAGCTTGACCAGCTTGCTGATAAATACATACTGCCCACGAGGTTTGCGAGGGATGAATCCAGGTCATTGGCAAGAAGCTTGCTACTCTGCTGGTTTGATGGGGGAGTTGTCTGATTTTTGGCTAGGACAGTTGGTATCAGCAGTTCGCCTGGTCGATGTAAACCTTAATAGGAAAATAGGCACATAGTTAGGACAAGGTTTGCCCTATTGTGTCAAAACCAAGGCGCTTCTAGGGAAATTAAAGAGTTTTAAATCATACTTCAGATAATGTTGCTATTAATATATTAAATTTAAGCTGTAGGCAACATTAGCAAAAAATTGTACAATACAAAAAAAATTGACAATAAAGAATAATTATACTGGTGATTGTGAAAGACTTCTTGCATATTTTTGGTTGACAAACTCATCAGTACTGGCCATTTAAATTCAATACAAAATAATTATCCCTGCATCTGATAACCAGCACCTTGTACAATACAGCGTTCCCCATGCACTGCACAGGAGTGTCAGCCTGGTCTATACGAGTTTAGTCCCAACATGGGGCATGAACCCACAATGGGACTCAGACGAGAATCCTACCGACCTGAGCTAGGCTGATATTTAACCTGAATGAAACAAAAGCCATTGTAGTAGTGGGTCTCGTAAGAGAATGTGGCACCAGACCAGTCTGTCCATGACACAGTTGTAGGGCCTCAGTAGCACACAGGTCTGTATCTGCTGATTCTCTGCCCCTCCCCCAACCCAATACTAGCTCTGTGTGTGTAAAACTCATCTTCATTTATCGTTTCAATAGTAAAAAATAAAAAAAATCCAACTTACCCATTGAACAGGGATGCCATGCAAAGCAGCAGCATGTGAGAGAGAAAACAAGTATTAGAATACATGCAACATTCAGCATGCAATATACTCAGGACAAACATTCTTCACATCATGAGGCAACCTGTTCAGATGGTCAGTGACAATCTCAGGCATGTATTATAGGATGCAGTGCACTTGAACGTTTTACCGCTTGCATTCTTGGCATCACCGGGGGCTGATTTAGATCCAAACACAGAGTCGAAGTCCACATTCAGCGATGTTGGAGCAGTCATCTGTGGGATTGGTTGTGGAGCAAATCCTAGAACAAAAAATGAACATAATTAAAAGTTCAATAGGCCAAGGATGATTACATATTAGTTTGAGTACATCTTAACAGCTGAATGCCGCTTATGACTACGTGAAATATTTCCTTCAGATAACAAGAGGTGTTGCAGTGCTTTCCTCTCCACATTGTAAAGTCATACAGCTTTACATGATGCACGTACATTAGCTAAAGCCCTACAACATGGCATCATGACATCATTAGAGAGAACACAAATATTCACTCCCAATGAAAGCTAGAACCCAAGAAGCATTTGTCCACATGGCCAGGGGGTTATTCTGAATAACAGAGATTTACAGTCAGTGATTTACAACCATTTTTCAACAGTTAAATGTGACCCAGAGGCAGCGCGACCAATAGAACTGGAGCAAAATGGTTCCATACCTAGGACTGATGAGCAAACTCATTACCCATCTCAACAAAGGATTAAGACTATTAGTGAAGCTGAATACTTTCCTCGCAAGTTACCTTCTCTTTCCTTTCATTCCCAGCTCCACACCAATTATCATCACATGCTCTCTTGCTTCCTTATGCCTCGTGCCCAACTACTTGTGCAAGAAGTTGCCCAGAGATGGGTAAACCCTCCCCTAACCCTACGAAGAAAGGCTGGTGTGTGAATGATCATCTCCACAGAGCTCTGTATTGTAAGACTATGTGCTCAATCTCAGATTGGAGCAGCACAAACCTTTCTGAATATATTGTAAGATTGCTAATAAAAACTGTATTTTGAATCCAAAACAAGTTAAATTATAGCACCCAACTGGAGAATTAAAATGTATTAATGGATTTGCATAAGCCTGGAGCAATGGGGAAAAAAGATAGAAAAGTTAATAGTAATGGTTAAATCCAACATATGCTAGATTCGTCCATTAGCAATTTGGTTTGGAGATATTGTAACTGCAATACAAGTGATTATAGAATCATACAGCACAAAAAGAGGCCATTCGGCCCATCGAGTCTGTGCCGGATCTTTGAAAAGAGCAATGTAATGTCAATCCCACTCCCCAGCCCTTTCCCCATAACCCTACAATCCCGTCCTCCTCAAATACCCATCCACCGCGTTTTTAAAAGTTGTTATTGAACCGGCCTCCACCACCCTTACAGGCAATGCGTTCCAGCTTCGAACAACTCACTGCTCGACAATTTTATTTTTCTTCAGCTAAACCACACATTGAGCTGAAGAAAATTGTTACTTTTGGCATTATCTGGACTCGCATAAATTTTAAACCGTTTAAATGGAGGTGAAGGTGCTGAAAAGTATACAATCTGCATGAAGACAAGATGCTGGCAAAGGAAGTGCCCCAAATCAGTCTGTGCTGCTTTATAAACTGGTGCTGGAGCTGAACATTGGGATTGCTTTCCAGGAGTTGGATTGCTTTACAATACATTGCTATCCCTGTTCTTGGTGAGGTAACAAACTTGGGGAAATATCACCTTTCAGGCCATGTCACATGGTGGAATGTGAGCTAAAGGCATGGAGGATACACAACCTGCCCATTTCAGGAGCAACAGGAAGTGGTCTGCTTATAGACAGGTCACTGGAATATATGGATATGGAGAAATTGTCTCTCTCACTTTTTCCTTCAGGTTCTGCACTTGCTGAAGGGAAACTCCAAAAACCTACCTTCAAAAATGTCAATGACTTCAGAGGAGACACTGAATATACTGGAGCCAGTAAACCCATCTGATGGCAGGAGACACACATAAAAAAAAGGACAGAGCAGAGCAGACAAAGCACAAACACAGGTTGATGAAAACAGAGTAGAAACCCATGACAAGCAACACAACAGCCAGAATTGAATCTAAACAATCTCAGAGACAAAGAGTAGATCCTACATAATTTGGCATCTGGACACAACTATAAAACTCATCCATTCACTCCATACATTTTACTTCAAGAACAGATGATTTGAGAGATCACTGATATAGCATGATGGATGTCCCATATAACACAATCTTTCCTGTTGAGGATGTCAAGCATTTAAAGACCACATAAATTTACAGCCCTGATGTCGGCCATTCAGTCCATTGTGATTGCACTAACTGTATAAAGAGCAACCCATTCATTCCCATTCCCCTGTACCTTCCCCACATCCCTGAAAATTATTCCTTTTTAGATCTCATTATCTCCCACTTGTAAGCCAACATACCTTGACCACCACACTTCAAACTGTGCACATTCTGGCTCAGCAAAGGGCTGCCAGTTATTTGTGCATCATTTAAACCTTAAAGCACACATTGCACCACTTCCCATTTCTTTGCTCGGATACACTCTGCTCATTTTTGCAACTGAATAGAGTAGTTTATGCAGAAAACAATGGCTCACCTTTTACATAAATAAATGGGCTACAAAGTTCACAGATCTACAGTCGAACCACGTTATAAGGCAACCTCTTAATGCTGGATCGCACTGTGGACCCTCTTCACATGGTTAAAAAAATTTGACTTCTGGGTGGTCAAATCAGTAACATTTCCTACGCAGTGCAAGAGATATCAGCTCCAAGAGGCCCGCTTCCCGTGCAGTGTACTGACCAGCAGACACTCTTGATTGTGGCCCATTATTAGGCAGCTTGAATTTTATAGACCCAACTACTAGCTTATAACAGTATTTAAACAACTAGTTTGTTTGCTGGTATTCCAATTTGTTGAGTGTTTAATTGCAAGCTGAAGAGAGCAGCTGCTGGATTGTTCAAATGCTGCAATGCTCACCATTTCTCCATCAAAATGGTACACGGAATCCATCCACTCTTACTCCAAGTGAGTCAATAACATTATAAATCTTGCAATATAATCCATTTTATCATAGACACCACGCAATTTAACAAGGAACTCACCGAGAAAGGGATCATGGGAAGAAACAATTTCAGGAACAGAAGTGGGTCCTTTAGAGGTGAAAGCGTCTGAGATGGAGAAAAGGGGAATTCAGATATGCAAAGTTAGAATTTAACTTTAAACGGTCTGGAACTCAACAATACCTTTCTGTTAGTTTCAGTATCCAGAGAATCAAATAGTGTTTGCTCTATGCACTAGATATACAATTTAACTTGCATCAAGTATATTCATTGAGCTAATATTCACACTGTAACCCAGCTAAAAATAATTTTGTTTGTGATAATTTCAACATTAATCACAATCCTTCAGGTAACGTTCATCAACTTTAGTTTAATTGCAGGGAAACATAGCCAGGAAGCTACTGAACATTTTATCAGAGATTCTCGGACATGGTGCTGTAAGCATAATAATAATCCACGCATTTGATGTTCAGGTAAACATTTTTGACATTGATACTCCCCAATAACTCCTGCACAGGGGATCCCCAATTCTTCATTCAGGGTGTATTTCAGGCACAATAGCATTCGTAGCGTATCAAGCTACTTCCAAAAAATGGATTTGAAATGAAATCTTGTTGTTTTCTTGCTGAGATCATGAGGATTCTGCCTCAATTAGACACTAATCCATCAAACATTCTAGAACTCCCTAGCTTGTATCGGGAGGCGTTTCAGCTAAAATTAAGTTAACCTCAGAGACAAATGTAGCAACTAAAAATAAATGTTTTGTGCATTTAAAAAAAGTGGTGACCTGGAGAATCAACATTTATTCAGAGTTTCAAATACATCAAGATTAGGACCAACTGCCCTGCGAAGATTAAGCACATTAGATACCTGGAGCAAAGAGGTCTACCTCAGGAAAATGTTCAGTTTTTGTAGATGTAGCTGGGCTTGATTCAGTAAAAGAGTTGAATACATCTAGGAAAAAGTTACAGGAATTATGTGTATTACTCAATCCTCCTTTTCCCTCATTATAGGCTGGGTGAAAAATGGCTCCCAGATGTATGAAGCCTTGTTCTATATAAGGTTACAAATAGATCCAGTTTCAGTTTTGAAATGTCAAAGCACAAATCTATATCAGCTTCTGTATTTGGGGTAGAAAAGCAGCTCCAGTTTCTGACAGCCAACTTGACAATATTTCTATCTGATAGGGAACAGCAGTGCCTATTGACAGCTTGCATCAAGGCCAAAGATAAAGAATGCTGGAAAACTGTTACTCCTACCAACCTGGAAGTTAGTCCTTCAAAATGCACAGCACAAATCATCAAATTCACACAAATCATCAGAGAAAGTTTGCAAGATTCTACAATTCCTGAGATAAGCAGCTCCAAGTACAGCTAACAGAAAGATTTTTCACTATCATAGATGGAATATGGGCTGCCACCTCATTCTTTCAATCTCTCAAACATGGTGGAAACGTGTCAAACTGCAAAAACAACCCAACCACTCCTAGAAAAACAGCCAAGTTTTTAATCAAGATTTAAACCAGTAATATATTTGTCTAGGCATAAATATATCAAAATACTACTCCAAGTTAAAGATCCCAAGACAGGCGTTTACTCAATGATTGTTACAACATGATATTTGAAGTACATGTGATGAGGACAAAATGAAAGCTGCATCTCAGGAAGTATCTCATCTCTGAATTTGTCCCACAAGGTTCAAGTTTTGATTCCCCTTTCTTAGGCGTCAACGGTCACACTCCAATCCTCATCCCCCATCCCAATAAGACACTTCACTCGGAAACTAGTACAAAGACCTCTCTCTCGGTCACAATAGGCAAGATCATGATCTGGTACAGTATCCCAACTGTGGACAATTTTAATAGAGATAAATAACATCTAAGCTCAGGTGGTGGTCTGACTTATTACTGCACAAGATTAAAGCCTGCTTTATGTCCTCCGCCCCAATAATGGTTAGTGAGCTGTCAGCCATTCTGTCCTCTCTCTCTGAAACTACATCCTGGAGTCCATACAAATTGTGGTAATCTTTCCTCCCCTGCTTCAGCTCCAACTCCCCCAGTTCAAGTGCCCAGCCAGCCATGTTAAACACTTTGACCTCCCAACATAAAAGCTGTAGCTATGTATATTATATTGTAAAGTCCAGGCACTGCAATATTATGAACCCTGCCCCCAAATAACATAGTGAATAATATGAAAATGTGAACACACACAAGGAGGGGGACAATTTTAGCATTGTGGGAACTCCTTTACCCCTAGAAAGGTAGACTGACGTTTGCTTGGAAGCAACACTAGATGTAACTGTTTTTACTACATCTTCGACAGGCTGCATGTCAAATAGATCCAATCGAAAGACAGAGTCGATGCAGCCATCAGAAGCAGAAAAAGTGTCTATTGGAGAGAGAAAGAACAAGAGGTGAACCACTGAAGGAAAGGCTAAATAAGATTACAAACATATACACAGTCACTACCCTCTTGTTCTACAAGTAGGTAGAATTCCAGAAAACACTAATATACGGCCACGCAATTTTAACCTAAAGACTATGCTGACCACTTGCATTCAATTTTAAAGCCCTATGATTTTACGCGAAAACCAACATGGGCATTGAATCACAGTTTCTGTGATAATAATAATAATCCTTGCATTTGATATAGCGCTTTTTACATCTTCTCAACATCTCAAAGCGCTTCACAGAATAGACTGTGAAGTGAATTGACTGTATATTTGTGGGTGAAACGCGGCAGCCAATTGCGGACAGCAATGTCCCACAAACAGTCACGGATTGAAAATGACCAATTTATTATTGTTCTGTTTTGGAGGGATTATTATTAGGCTCTGTGTGGAGTAAGGAAACTTGCCCAAGGTTTCGCCCTCTGCCTGGAATTGAACCCGGGTGTCTCGCTTGCAAAGCGAGTGCTCTAACCACTGAGCTACAGGACTCCTGTAGATGGCAAATAAAGCTATTTTCAAAATACTCAGTGCTCACAGACTCACTGGAGTGAAGTGCCTTTCAGCCTTACATTTCTATAGTACAATACACAAATGATATTAGAAATGAAGTACTTAGAAATGATAAACGCCCAATTCACATTCTGAAGTGCTCTTTAACTGATGCACACAGAATAGTTCAATCCTCTGAAAGGTGTAGAGAGCTCACACATTGCAGCAGGGAAATTCAGAGTTTGACATTAAGCTTTCAAAATCTAGCTGTAATACATACAAGCTTTAGTTAATACCCATCTGCTGTAGTAAAACACATAGGCATCTCACCTAATTCAAACGACTAAATAGGCTGATAAGACACTTACCCCTAACTAGAAGGTCTAGACTCCAGTTAAGCGAGCAAGAATGAGAAAGAACAAGATTTAATGCAGACAAACATTTAAAACGAGAAAAAAAAGACACAAGTCTGGCGTTTTTGTACATATTCCCTCCTTTAACTTGGGATTGTTAGTCCTGAAAGTTTTCACGAGGGAGGGCTAGCAAACGGGCTGATCCTGCTCACTGAGACAAAGGTGAGGCATCAAATGTTCTTTTATGTTGGTTTATTCATAGTAGAGTAGTGGTACTGTGACGTTTGTGTTGCTTTCTGTCTAAGCAATATGTTATTAGCCAATAAAATTCTCTTGTTGTACGCAAATTATTGTTTCTTAGAAAGAGAGCCGTGCATCGGACATGAACCTCCAAGGGGGAGAGGGGGGCAGCAAAAAGACAGTTGGGAATCTCTGTTCTGGACAGTCTCAAGTACAATACCCAATTTGGACGCAAATTCCACAAAATATCAGACATTCTTTCAATTGAAAGCAGTGGGCTCTGCAGAAACTCATTTAACGTGGGCTCAGTCAGTATGTGTGTGTGTGTGTGTGTGGGGGGGGGGGGGGGGGGGCAGCTTTCAAATGTTTATCCAATTTATTTTTAAATGTTATGCCAGTCTCATTAGTCACTAGTGGCAAAGCAATTATGTTAACATCATGGTGCGAAAGTTTTAAGCTTCCCCTCAACTCACCCAGTGACAATTCCATGCTTATGACTCCTAGTTTATGATTTACTAACCAGCTGTAACTTAACTATTTAACCTCTCAAAGCTGGTCAAGAGTTCTGAAGATTATTCATTCAATAGCTAGTGCGTCTATGGCATAGAGATTCAAAAGGCATTATTGAACGGTCCTGACCGTGTCAGACACAAAGCACCATTTAATCTTGAGCAGGAATTCTGTGGTCATTTCCTTAGTTAGATAAATGTACAGGGTGTGGAGGAAGTGGTGAGAATTCCAATATTTCTGAAATTGCTCTGAAATATGGGCAGAGGCATTAATAAACCCGCAGGAGAGGAACTGCACATATAAAGGCACTTTGTTGCTTTAAAAGCATTTCTGTAGTCCTACAATAAATGCCAAGTATTATTACATACAAGCAGGCAACAGATTGTAATAACCAGGTCAGGAATGTCACAGTTTACCTCAACAAGCCAACCTCAAAACAGAAGGTAGTGCATACCAGAGTGCATACTACTAAAGACAAATAGACTCCACATGGACTCCAAATTAAGGACATACAGGGTGACCAAAAAGTCATGATGCCATTACAATGTCTAATAAGTATTAAATAAATGATGATATATATTTTAGGTAATTGGGTAGCTAAAAAATAAAACTTTTTGGTCACCCTGTATTTTCTGCTCGAGAAGGATCGACTGCAGTGAAACTTTTTCCAGAAATTACACATTTCACCACCCAAATGTAATCATTTGAAAAAGGCAAAAGGTCGATTTTGCTGCTTGAAGTATACTTCACATACATATAAAAAATGGAGGATCAGCTGATCACAGTGCTCAACAGCTCATTTTCCGAAATGGCGGCTGGTTCTCCTGCCTGTACCCTTCACTTTTGGCTGTTCCTTTTACCACACAATTGTTCCAAGACTGATCAAAGATTGGAACTATCCACAGAGCCAAGAAGGCTGTATATGAGAAGAGGTTTAGAAAATTGGTTGTTACAGCAAAATGTGGTTCCTTAGTTATTGCCCAATAATTGACATTTCATCTCAATGCACCAACAGCTGACTGATGGAATGCCAACCTGATGTAACAACTCAGCTGCAATGAGGTGAACACCAGCAATCATCCTCAATAGGAGTCTACTGTTCTCTGTTTGCAAACACACTAAGCTAGGACTATCTTTCTTGTTGAGACTCATCACAAAGACCATTTCAAAACAATAGTCACAATGATTGGCTAAAACCTCATCCCAACAGGGCTGCACAGTGACTAATGCAATTAAAATTAACAGATGAATGAATTGGTATCAGTACATCTGAATAGTGCACTCTTTTGAACACTGACTCAGTTGGAGATTGTCCCCTGCTAGAGATGCACATTATGGTGGGACACAGTTCCAAACACAAACAGCATTCAGACACTTCACTCAGTTGATGATTTTTCACGAGCGAGTTCAGCCAGCAGGCGTTAGGCTGCTTAAACATGGGGCATCACACCCAGCATGGTCCTGTCCTCAGAGGGAAATCACCATTCATTTAGCATTGGGAAGGGATCAAATTGAAAGCAAACTGGAGTGAGAACAGCACCCAATACCTTTTTTTCCTGGCAGTGACCCTCATCTCAGAATAGATCTGGCATCACATCACATGATTTTACCAACCATACAATGAATGAGTCCTCAATTGTACACAGCACTATATTTAGATTTGTAATGTTTTCTTGAGCACTTCTTTCTACACCTCCCTGGTGGGAGCAGCCATTCACTAGCTGTCTTGCAAAACCAACCCCAACACAAAGCATTAGCTATGAGCTGGCTGCCTGTTGTGTTAACCCAATGTTAACTTCTCCTTCCATCACATATACCCAAGAAAACCTAATTTTTCCTGAGGCAACAAACAATACCATCAATTTGCTTCCATCCATGCAAATATCACACGCTCAGCTTAGTTTAGCATATTATAAAGTGAAATGGGAGACCCTGATAAAGTAAATAAGAGCCTCTTACCTCCCCATGCATTAGTGACTGCAGTTGAGATGGCAGGGGTGCTCTGCACTGTGGGTACGAAGGCAGACTGCAAGTCAAAAATATCATTGGATAGGCTCGGTGCACTGCGAAAAGAAACAAGTGGAAAATGGGTTAGATACAGAAAGAAAAAAAATACATCACCTTCAATTCAAATTGGGTGTATAAAAACATGCAGCTGGGAGGGTAAGACTCAAATCCATTTGGCTCTTATTTGCTGAGAGCAGACTGGGAACAGCTGCCAACATGAAATTTAGAAAAGAAAAGGTCACCTAGCCCTAGCAGGCTTGCATCTTTTTAGTTGATAGATTTAAAGATTCATCTTTCCCCATTTTCCATCTTCACAAGGTTGATTTCTAGATGGGAGATTGGAGGGTATGGTTCACTCTTATACTCCACAGGTACAATCAATACTACCCTTCATCCATCAATATGAGAGGAAACATTCACACTGCGGAGGCTTCTTCAAACCAAGTGGAGCACTTCACGTGCCTCAGTGAACCTCGCCATCTGAATTAGCGTGCATACATTGGCACAACCTGTCCAGCACTCCAAACAGGGTACATTACTCCTGCTATCACACCAATAGTGGGATATTAGCACAAATATTTTTCTAACTGAACATGATAAATGTTTGAAGAACCCCAGAAAATAGTTGTAATGAATTATGTAAAGTCAAAATTTCAACACAAATGTTCATGTTAGTTGCAAGTTGCACCATTGCCAGATCAGATCACAGCCCTTCACTACTGTTAGAAAAGACACTTACCTGTTCATAATGGTTGCAGGTGCAGAGAAAAAATCCCCTCCCGCAGTTGTGCTGATGCTTTTCCCCGAGGTAGAGCTTGGAGAAACAGTGGTGGACGCTGTTGTTGACTGGGGCTGCATGGACATTTCTTTCAGTCGCTGCTCCTGTTAGGAAGAGTTAGTGTTACAGCCTAGTTCTGGTGCTGCTTGTACATGCAATATGCACAGGATAAATGAAGTGAATTCTGCTGATAGAATGATGATGGACATCACCTACCTGCATCAGAAATCCTGGTGGAATAGCATCGCACTTTGCCTACATATGCAGAAATTACAGATTAGGTACAGCTAGCTAGAAAGGCTCAGCTCCAGGGTAAGAAATTGCCACAGTTCACAGCAGGTCTCACACCAAACACTGCCTGGTCTCATCCTTTTAAAAGGAGCAGTAATGGTCGACCACACAAACAAAATGCTTTCAATGCTATCATATTGAAGTATGGTTGTTTCAACTTTTAAAAATTTAAACCTCAACAGCAGGACTCGTCAGCCTAGTGTTAATGTAACAATGTTCCCTAAAATGTAGTTGGAATTTTAAGAATTATATTAGAGGGAGGCAACAGACTGTCCTGTTAAAACATAAGAATTTGCTAGGCGAATGAAAACCAAGGTCCAAACAGTTTGCCTTCCACCATCCTGGCAGTCGCTTGACATGTCGTGTTCCAAACTACATACTGGATCCCCAGATATTCTTTTCTAACAGAGGAAATACAGAACTGACTGGCCTCTCGCAAGGCAGCAAGACAGAGGAGCTGAGGATAAAATCACTTCATTCCAACAGGCCATAGAATTAGAGCATTTGCTTACCTTTTGTAACCAGATGACAAGGAGGTGATGGACCCAGGCACTGACTGTGTGTGTGATTGGGCCAGTGACATCCACATTTAGTTACTGGCCGATACAGGAAAATACTAACCTTCAACTTCCAAAGCATGCACATTTGTATATAGCATGAGCATGGAAATGTATGCTAGCCACAAAAGGATGTAGAATGAAACTAATATTCCCTTCCCTTTAAAATTTGGTTTGTGGAAAATGGGGACTTTTGTTCACAGCAGATGGGGAAGTTTAAAGCATGGACATGTGAAACACCTTAGTACCTCACAGCATCACTTAATATCAATTCCCTTCAAGGTGAATGACATTTCACCCTCCATTTCTAACACATCCAAGAAAACATCATTGAACAAAAACACCAAACGCTACAAAAGGAATTACAATTTGGTTCCAAATAAAAATATTTTTTAAGTAGAATCAACAGTTTTTAAATGCTTCAGAAAGTTGAATAAAAGTTTTGGAAGTTAAGCAGTTGCACTGCTGAGCGCAGGGAACACCAAACATTTAATATTCAGCAAATTACTTCTGCAAAAAAGGTCAAGCTTTTAAATTTCAATCCAACGTGGAAGAGCATTACATTCATACCCAATTCTGACAGAAACAAGGTGTCCAAGGTATCAGAGTTTGGATGAAGCTGGAAAGATGGACAGTGTACCTTGAGTGCCTGTAGCCTAGCCTGTTCCTCTTCCAGGGCTGCTTGTTTTTCCCGTTCATCAACTTTACTCAAAGACATCCCCGTGTTGGAAAGAGTCGAGACAGCATTTGATAAAGTACTTGCTCTGTGGAAAAGAACACTTCTTAAAAAGTAACCTCCAGATAATGCAATTAGTCATATTAAAGGACCATATTGCTCCTTATTTTTGCTCCCCGACCCCCACTTTGAAGGTCAATTTCCTAGAGTGTTAAATGTTGGTATTGTGCATTTGTCCCCTAACATTTGGTATTATGCCTTTCATGTCAGGGATGATGCCTCAAAGCTATTCACAGGATATACTGTAAAGTGTAGTGACTATTTTTAGGAAAAACAAACTCCAAACAGTTAAAAGATACTTGGTGTAGCTGGATGCAGAGTGAAGGGCAGTGAGTGAGAGGCAGATCGGTATTTAAACAGCATGGGCTAAGCATATACCTAAGAGGAGCGACCCTTTATGACGTTGCATGATGTAAATGCACAGTTGAACCAAAAAGTGCTGCACCAAATGGGATTACTGGTGCAATTGTCAGCTCCCTGTGCCATTAACCTTCAGAACTAATCATTTTAAAGAAGTGACTTTGGGTGCAAAGATATTGTTATCTTAGTCTGTGAAGCTTCAATCCAATATCAGTTGCAACCGAAAAAGAAATATTAAACACATTGCTATAATGAGGCTAAATTGTAACAGCCATTCTACTGCACGACCTAGATTAATATTTCTAAATACTCTTGTTGGGCAAGTAGTTCTGACAAAAACAACATTGGTAAAGACCATATCTTCAATATCAGCAACATTTCTAGGGCTTATACAAGTCTACATAAATCTATACTTGACAATAGTAACAGTTTCTGGATCAATTACAAATTGGAATGGACAACACACACACACACATTGGGGACAATTCTAGGTTAATAATACTTGAATTTGATATAGCGCATTTCACATCAAGAGAACTCGCACTGCACTAGAATGTCAACCTAAACTGAGTTCAAAGTCCCTAATTGGGGTTTGAACCCACAACTTTGACTTACAGGTGAGAGCATTACAAGCCTGACACGTTATCCCTAAGGCTAGAAAATACAAAGGCATCAGCACTTACCTGCTTGCTGCAGAGAACTCTTTAGTCTTTTTGCCTTCTAGTGAAGCCAGATGCTGTTCTAATGCTTCAAGGAGACTGCTGGGAGCCTGTAGTATTAAAACGGGAGAAGCCAGGTGATTAGCTTTTAGAGGGCCACGGCAGTCTTGTGAAGCCCAGAACATATTCAAAGTTTAAAAATGATCTAGTTTGCTGTATTAACAGTAAGACTGGACTGGAAAGTAGGTGGACTAGGTAAAGCTTTCTCCAATCACATTCTGACAGTGGTTAACACAAAGACACTGCGCACAAGTCAACTTTCTGTGAACAGACTTTCTGCAATGTACCAGATTGCCCACTTGTGGGTAAATTCTTTAAACTCAATTCACTGCCCAGAGATTGCTTGGACTAATAGTGAAGTGAAGCCCAGGTTACAGCCCTCAATAGGAACGTGCCTTTCACGTAGGATAACACTTGTCTAATTATTACAAGTTCTTATGACGTTGGATCAAAAAGTCAGCAGCAAATTTGTATTTCATATACAATGGAACCACATGTTGCAAACTGTTCATTTTATATGCTTACAGAAACTCATTCTGGCAGAAACATTTTAATCAAAGCATTACCTGTAAAGTGGCCAGTGAATGTATTAACCGAATACAAATAGAGTGGAGCAGTTATACTGTGATGGTCAGGATCCATAAAATCCCAACTAGTGTTATAATGAGGCACTTTAGCTGGTTCCACTGCCCGAGAATCAAACCCAGGTCCTCTCTCTTGCGAGGCGAGTGCTCTAACCACTAACCTACAGGACTCCACTAATAGGAAATGGTGGTTAATTAGGATCCAAAATCTAGTTCAAATCTTCCCAACAAGTACGGATATAGAAGCAGAAAGTTCTCTCTCACAATCAGTCCCATTCTAACATTTTCCACCTCTGGGAGAAAGTTCTAGGCAGTGCTAATTTATAGGCAAAACTGGAACTAGTTGCCAGATTAACAGTTGTATTGTCAGTTCTCATTCTGCTTACTATTATTCCCCACCAACCATTGCTTCACTACATCTAATGCAGTGAGCACATATTCAAGCCAAAATCAGTAGTGGCAGTAACATTCTGTGGGTGAATATTTGGATCAAACAGTTTTTCTCTCTACCAGCTGAGTGCAAGTACAGCAGAAAAAAAGCTATTTGCAGCTTAACTTTTTACATCACAGGTCTCTAAAAGCCTAGCCTGCTGATGACAGACCCATCGATAATACTTGCATTTGATATAGCACCTTATCACATCATTAAAACACTTCAAAGAATATTTTGTGGGCGAAATTTCCATGAATTGTTTCCACACAGTTATTTTATCATCAAACGAAAATGTATTTAATATTATTCAACTGCATAATCTTAGACTTGAGTAAGTAAAGTGTGGAAAGAATTAGCTGATGCAATGAAATTCCAATAAAGAGAGTATCTGGAAGACTGCATTTCTCAGGTGAGCCACTAGGCAAGCCACTCCACAACAATTCAACAGATAGCTCTCCCTCAGTCACATCACTCTCACTCACACACTGCAGATTGTACCCCAAGGTTTCCTCTAGACTAATTAATTATCTCTGCTAGTTTATAAAAATCTGGAACATTGAAAATATGTAATTAGTGGAAGTAGGTCACACTTGACATTTCACTTAAACATGAACTCTTGCATTATCAATCAGTCAACTTCAGATAACGCTGCAAAGCTGATGCAAGCAGAATTCCAACCCGCTGTTCATTTACATTGCAAAAATTCTCAATTGAACAAAATGTATTTGGCTTTTATATTCTTAGCATACTCAAATTCCACTTAATGCAGCTTGATTGAGTAACCTAGTCCTTGTCTGAAAACTGTTTGCAGTGTAAAGACGTACAAACTTGTCTGCAGTTCAAAATCCTGAAGTATTGAACATAGGTTGATCAGGATTGAAGTGTACGTGTAAATGCCATAAACAGCTGGCAAAAGGGAATGTGCTGAGCTAGTGATGGCATATAGAAAATAGCCAGCCTAATAAATCAGAGTACACTATAGCACAGAACATATCCATGGTTCTTTCAAGGAGGTAGCAAATCACCCAGGGACACCTCTTAGCACCTGACTTAAATGGCGCTGACAGCTGAGAAATGGCAATGATTGAAAAGTTTACAGCACCGCCAGGAGTATAATTTCCATATATGAACAACCCAATAAAATTTAAAGAGCTAAATAAGTAACTTAGATTCCTCCTTGTCTGGTGACCATGGTATTAAGTAGGTGTCAAGCCTGGTGAGTAAGTTTAACAAAGTTGGAAATTTGACAAAGAAATGCTCTGCTGAGTTTGTTTAGTTTCAAACCTTCTCTGGGTTTCTCTCCCTCCCCCGATGCACGTGAAAAACTCTGAAAAATCTTACATACCTTTGTGCAGGTGCAAACCACAATGAAAATTGCCCACAGCATTGATGTATATTAATGTCTAGGAACAGGGATTGAAAAACAAGTACGTTTATTACATCTTGGGCTGACACTTAGCTCTGACTGGCGGGAACACCTCCAACTTAGGAAGGATTTTTTTTATATCATTTTATTTAATGCCTGCACACACATGACTTGAGGCAAGGGGCTTGATACTCAGTCTGACCCATGGATGTAGAATAAATGCAATGACTTATTTATTATACACTAATCATCTTTTGGACAGACAGTGGAGGGTCAGTGCTCAGCACTATTGCAGTGGCAGGACACAGGCTCAATGCTATGGGAAGGAAGGGAGGGAAAGAAGATTTTCGTTAGTAAGTTTTCCTGCTAAACTTTTTTTGAATTCAAAAGGCTTAACGATACAAACTCTTTCATTATTTAAACATGCCACTTTACAGCACTTCCAATTTAGAAACATCATGGAGAAGATGTGGATTTAACTCAATGTTGCAGCTGTATAGAGTGGGAACAGGCAAAATGGTAAGAGTAGCAGATGCCAACCAAAACTGTGCCACCAGTGGAGTATAGCCTGAACTTTGTGGTCAGAAATCCTTTCTACTTTAGTACCAATAAACAGCACTGGATTTGAGTGAAATTTCTCTCTCTCCAGGACACACCATATTTGTTTGAGCACCTCTGCCCCCCCCCCACCCACCCACCATGCTACCAATGCTGTTAGCATGTCACTAGGAATAAAGGACGCCTGCTCATGGCTCTCAGCTTTTCCCTGCCCTTGTGAGGAGCCCAAGCTACAATCAACATCTTCCCAGAGCAAAGTGCAGGAAACTGAGCTCGGCCTTTCCCTGTGGTGATGCTCTGTTTTGATGATCCAAAGAAAAACAAATCCAACTTTCATTAACAACTAGTGTGGGAAGCAGCAGCACAATTTAATACAGTACCGTGTTTTGTATCAAGCACATTATTGTTCCTCATTATCCTCACAAGCGCTTTATGGCACCGATGGCATGTTAGCACCTAGTTCAGGCACAAGCAAGCACTTACAGCCCAAAGAGGTAATAAAACAGTGAGAGCTTTGTTCAGTGGCAATGCTAAAGTGGTTCCTTTAAACTGGAAAAGGTGACTTCAGCAAATGGCTCATTAAGAGTTCAGGCACGCGTTTCCTTCTCTGAAAGTTGTACTCGTATACTGGCAGCAGCGACCCTCTGGTACTCTGATCCCAGCTGCAGGTACAGTCAGAAACAGAATGTACTGCACTAAATCTACACGTAGTAGCTGAATTGGAGCCCAGGAATCCAAGTATTCTACATAGATCAATGAAGTTTGTTTGATTTTACAGCACAATGGACATTTGGCCCAAGGCTCTCCTAAATAAAGCCAGTCTCATCTCACTATTGCTTCTTCTCCCCCTACCCATACTCCTGTACAGTATATCTTTCCTTTTCAAATATTTATCCAATTTCCTTTTAAAACCCATTGTAGATTCTGCTTCAACCAGTGTTGTTCATTGGGTATTCCAAATCCTAATAACTCTCACTGTAAAAGAATTGAGATTCCACCAGATTTCAGCGAATATTCCCGCGAGTCCCAGGGCAATACTTTGGCACTACCACTTTCAACAGCAGTCACGGTTTACTAAACATATATATATGCAATTAACTTGACATATATTGAATATATACATGGTATAAATCATGTATACACAGACTCATGCTCTTAAGGGGAGAAGAAGAAACCAGTGATAAAAACAAAGAGTTGGAGAATGAATAAGGCTGAATGATATGTACACTGACCTGAGTAAGATCTGGAATGTCACCCTGATCAATTCCAACTTGCTGTGTCAACAAAGAAAAAGTTCACATTACTCCATGCAGTGACCAGTAAATAAAAACGGAAAGTGAACGGCATGCTTACAGAAATACATCATATACAACACAGGAAAGAAGAAAGACCACGGATGAGAGGAAATGTATGTTCACCTCTGCTGTTTTGAGGAATTCAGACAGCTTAGTCATTCGGGCCAAGAACTTTTTGTAGATATCCAAGGCCTCTTTGCACTGGTTTTTCTTCATGTCAAAGTATTTCTCTAGAAAAATGCAAGAAGGATAAGAATGCAAGTCCACAATCTGAAAGTTAGAATAGATTTTTAATACAGGTGCTCAGTAATTTAAACGCAGAATCAAACACGCTTTTTCCATACCTGCTACTGTATTGGTTTTTAATGCAGCTGCAGTCAGTACCATTGAAAAGCATGAAAACAGGAAACAAAAAATAGTTTCATCTTGAAACTAGTTTGAGCACATCCTTAGATCCATTTACACCCAAACCTATATATACAAAGTTGTGCAGTTAAGGTTAATCTTCTCCACATTTCACATGTTCCTGGTGGCAGAAATCTCACACACAGACTTTCATCCGGTTCAATCTTCTCATACTAAAAATTACCTTGAAATGACTATTGAAAAATGATAGGACACTTCTTCCTTTCTCTCAACTTAATCTCTCTAAATTCATACAATGAACCAGAATTTTATTTGAAATGGGCCTAGTATTTACTACCAAAGCTGAAGCAAAATATTATCCAGTTACTTTATCTAGGGATATCTGAGGTTACAAACATTCAGTGCAGTGCTGTTACAACGTACTATTTTACAGCAAAAATTACAGTACAGAGGGTGGACTTTTCACTGTAGATGTGTGCAGACAGCTCGCTCGCTTCCCAATTGGCTTTCAGACCACAAATAAACGTCTATGTCACGAGGTTGCCACCATTGTCGCTTCCGGTTTACTGCACACCTATAGAGCAGGAAGTGCCTTTGGCAACAACACAATGACCAGGAAGTTGACAATTTTAGCTTCAAACACTTAAATGGCCGGCTCACAGGTCACCACTGACAGCACTTCCTGCTTTGCTCATTTGCAGCAAACAAAGTGACTCAGCACCAACCCATGAGCTGGAGATTGGACTTCAGCATGGGAAGCAGCTGGCACAGAGAGGTACACACATGCCCTGTGAAATAGGCTATCAGGTCTCACTTTAGCATGACCACATCGGGATTTTATGGATCCTAACCATCACATTATTACAAGCATCCACTGTAAGCCAGTTTGGAAGCCATTGTGAAATATAGCTCAGGGGAGAAGTGCAACCACTAATACAGCCTTCATCTCCTGGTTCTGGATGGATCACTTATCAAATAGAATTCACAACACCATCTTTCTATTTCAATTGTCCAAATAAACCAAAATCTTGAATACGCATCTTTGCTATCAGCATTTATGAAACCGATGGATTAACCAATGTAAACAATCTTATATTGCATCACTGTGGAATAACCAGCTGGTCTACATAACTACGTAACAGAGTTACATCACACAGAGAGAGGCCATTCGGGCAGACTAGTCTGTGCCAGTGGCACGTCGGCACCCTCCCACAGGAGATAACCCTTGTTGAAACATCTTGTTGAATTTAAAAAGCAGTCTTGCAGAATGGTTGCTCACCCAGTAAATTAATAATCCCTTCATTGTAAGCTGCAAAAAGCCTGATGGAATCTTTAAACAGCAGCATGAAGGCAGCATTTATTACTCCATTGGTTAGTTCATTTGGGTTTGCCTGCAATAAGACAAAAAAGAAACAGAGAGTTAGGACAGAATGTACAGAGATTGCAAGGGGGGATGGGAGGGAGGAGAGAAGTTGGGATGGCATGCAGTGTTTAAATGCTGGGTTCATACTTCAAAATCTAATTTTGCTTCACCCCAAAGAGGTGAGCCATTTGGGAACACATTTCTCACAACTTTTCCACAATTAGAACCAAAAACTCCATAATGCATGACTGTTATAGATTCACTAAAACGTACATACAAGGACAAGAAGAGAAACCCACAAGAAAGCAATTGCCACAAGGTCCAGTGTGGCCTAGTTATTTTCCTGTTTTTCTCTCTCTCTCTATCCCTCTTTCCATCAATCAGTTACTGCAGATCAAAGACTGAATAGGAAGGGAGCAATTTTCTGGATGCAGAGAGAAACAGCCCAAATTGACAGGATATTGCCCACATGTACCCACAGCACGTTTCATGAAAAATTGGAATAAGTAGGCATGCTTATCTATTAAAATAAGGATTACAGCATACATCAAAGTCAAGAAGGGCATCAAGCTGATTCTGAATCAGAGGCAGTGTTTTCAGCAGCTTCTCCGTGTTCATAGTCCGCATTACCCCATCGGTCCTACAAGAAGAGTGAGTATGTTAATCTTTAATATTTTCACTGAATGATTTTGCTCCCAGATAGTTTCACATCATCAGTTAGTTACATGGGTCAAAATATACATATTAAGCAGTTCCCTCGAGATGAAAGGCATGGAGCACAAAAGAACCCAAATGGAGGTGGAGTACATGCTCACTACAAGCACGCCAAACATGCAGTGCATTAGGCCTATGTACAAAGAGTAAAACAAGGCACACTCTTAACCAAACTCAGAGTGCAATACATGCAAAAATAACATCCTGATGTGAGTTAAAGGAATTCACCAATATGCGGAAGTCTGGACATCACTGCGATACTATCAAGCCAATCATGTAGAATCATGTAGTTGTCATAAGCACCGCCTGGGAGTCCAGAGACAAGGTAAACGAGGGAATGCAACAATCCCCCAGTGTGCCACTGCAGTCTCCAGGACAACAGTATAAAGACAGCATTGGGCACAGGTCACTTACTAACCCCAGAGTAGGAAATGCACTTAATCTAGTGAAAGGAGAACGCAAGGGAAACAAGAGAATATGGCACATAATTGAGGCAATCCGAATTAATTAGGTTGAGCTATTAACCTCTTAAATTCTAAACAACGGATTCCACATTTTTTTAAAAATGAATGTATCAAACATAGAGGGTCACTAAACATGATGCAAAGCTGAAATAATGGCCTTAAAATGAAATTTCCACACTTTCTGAACAGACACCACTGGAATAGAAATTACTACACCAGGATGCAATCTTGCAGAATGAATCATAGTTCAATGCCATTGTGTAAGGAGTTGACTAACAGTAAATAGCAAAGAAATACAGAGACATACCCTCTTTTCATTTTAGTGAAATCAACTGCCATTAGTCGATAGGACAGTGCCTTTTCATTCAGGTATCTGCTGTACCGTCTGATAAAGGTAGACATGTCGTAGCCTGCAAAGGGGGGTGGGAAGGTAAGAGAAAAAACACATACAAGACTAAGTATGGTTGTAGAGGCTATTTCTGCACTAATATGCATGGTGAAAAATCAATAGAATATCCAAATAAATACATAAAACCAATCTTACCTTGCATGGCACTTTTATCCAAAAAGTTATTCAAGTTGAACAGTGTATTCCTTGAAGCCAGGTACTGGATAAAACGCTGCAAGCAACAAAGGCATCATCACTAGCCAATCAAAACCGGGTACGTCAATTCCTTTGGTTGTCAGGCATATTCTGTGGTCCACTTCAATAATCCAAAGATATTTTAGTAAGTGGCTAGAGATGTGGATTGACTGTTTTAGAGAATGCCGTGTCAGCCAGTTGCATCCAGTAATGTCCCACAAACAGCATGAAGTGATTGACCAATTTTATCTGGGGGATTCTTGGCCAGGACACCGGGAGAGAAAAACTCCCTTCTCTTTTCGAATAGTGCCATGAAATCTTTAACATCTTTAAAGAGGAGAAAGAAAAGCAGATACTTTTTCAGGAAAAAAAGTTCTTGAGAAGTTGAACAATGCAATGTTGAATCATGGCTTCTGTAAGAAACCGAAACTCAAGTTCAGTTTTAAAATATCAACATTTTCAATATTTACCGGCAAGATGAAGCAGTTCCAGAACCACCGCTACTTGGAAGGTCTCCACCGTATCTTTGGGGCAGCAAATCTTTTTCTACTCTATTAGCTTCCCTTCTGAAAAAGGCTTGTTCCCTTGTGAACCAGGAGTGACATTATAATGAATGAATCCATTGGAATTTTACTGCAGTGTGGGAATGTCTGGCTTGAGATTTATTGCAATTGATTCATATATGGACTAAAGTTGAGACCAGTTGTGCTAACAGAGTTCAGCACATGGTCCGAACTACCAAACAACATTACCAAAGTCAAAACATCAAGGATCAATGGAAAAAATTGCTTGAAACGAGCTGTTGGCATGATCTTACTTCAGATTCTGTCATAACCCAGTTAACTTCGCCAGCAACCGATACTTACGTTGCATTGGGATCCCAATTAAATTACATGCACATTAGTATGAAGATTGCTTGTGTAATTGGGCACTGAAACCTGGTATTAATGTTACTACAATCTCTATGTTGTCACTGTGGTGGCCTGCAACACCAAGTTCCTCAGCAACATTACTTTCGATACAATTGAGCAAGTTCCTCAAATGTAAAATTCAGACAATGATAAAAGCCAAAAGTATTGCCTGAGAGGTCTGCAAGCATGCATGGAAATTGGTCAATTCAATCTGAGTATTAAAATTATAACTGGTTAGAATACAATGAGTCATTCGAGTCCAATTAGTTATAAAACTTCACCCATGACTTTCTCAGACAAAATGAGTAAGTGAGCCTAGCAGTGGAGATTGGCCCAGTCTGGGTTGGACACAGAACAGTCCAGAGAAGTCATGCTGATTAAGTCTGACACGTTGGAAATACTTGATAAAGAGTACATGGAAAGTAAACTCATGCTGAGCCATTTTATTGTTAACTGGTGACTAGATAACTGTATCTCTACACAGAGCAAGGTAGAAAAGAAGAAATTTGCCACCGCCCAGACTAGCAGCAAGTACCACCCCACCCAATGCTTATCAAAACCGGCAAATCAGATGGGATACCCACAAATGAACTTTAGCGTGCCAATTCAGCATGTCTAGTTTACAGCAAAAGGTGGCAAGATCTTCATTGCTTTTCTTCTAAACAATCAGCTACACTATTTATTCTTGAAGACAAGACGGGTCCTTTAACAATGGATTAGTCTTTGCAAGCTTCCAAACAGTATCCAAGCTCCAATCTCTGGAATACTCTGAAATTAAACTTTATATTGAGCAGTACACTGGCTTTACTTATGATGCTGGAAACAAACTTAAATAGATTATAATAGCAGAGGACAGACAGGGAGAGAAAAGCAGGCCTATACAGCCCAGCAAAGGCATTCACACAACAGTAGATTGCGAAACTGCATTCCACCTGGTCAGTTGGGTGAGCCAGCCCACATGGAAAATGGCAGATGGAAGATGGCTATAAATGCAGCCGACATTAATAATTTGTAGATTCATTAATATACAAAATGTACCTCAATTAGAGGATAAGTGTATGTGTATACTTTTACAGGGTTCATTGGAAAATGAATAAACCAGCAACAACTGTTCAAGCAACCTCAAAGGTGCCAAGATCAACTGACGTTGGTGTGGAACTTTTATTGAGAAAGGAAGACATTTGCTTTTTAACTTGCTTCAGCAATAAACAAACTCCTAGAACAACGGCAAGTTTGCAATTTCCCACCTTCCTGTCTGTTGGTCTAGTTCAGGGAGGTGAAGGTCAGTAGACCTCTTGCACATTATTTGCTTGTGATAGATTTCAGTAAACTGTCCTCAGCAGCAGTCAATACTGCAATCGTAATATCCCGGTGCTGTGAAGTAGTAATAATGTCAAAGTGGAAACCCTAGAAAAACAAGATTAACTTTTCCTTCTATTTGCAATTTGGTCTGTCACAGGTTTGTTGGGATGGCAGGTGATGGGGGCGGGGAGCAGGGGAGAAGAGAAATTAAATAAATGCGTACATTAATTTACAATTGATTGCAGTTTCTTGATGGACCTTTGCAAAGCTTGGTGCCACCTGTGGTTTCCTCCAAAGTGAAGGAAAGTGAAAGCATTCTCTCTTGTCCTGTAGATTATTTTCACAGCCAGCACCATGGTTAAAGCTTGGACAGAAAAACGTTCCTCCCAGACCTCCAGCATACGACATCCTCATAAACTAGAATTGAATTATTGATAGACTCACCTCATTACCATACATCATCAAGTGATGAGTTGTGATTAGAGCCTTGAACACCACAACCCAGCTGCTATTTGTTGCCCTCTCAAATAGAGTGTCGGCCATCTGTGGTATATTCACATTCATCTCATTGGTACACTGGATTAAATCTGTAAAACAGCAATAGTGACATCAGTAAGTCTCTTCACTTCCTATTCTTGATAATAATACTTGCATTTGATATAGTGCCTTAACCCGGATTTGAAACACCTCAAAGCACTTCAAAGGATTTACTGCAAAATATATGACTATTTGAAGGCGCTTGTTAAAGATCCCATGGCATTACTCAAAAAGAATAGGGAGTTTGTCCCATCGTTCCCACCAACAATCCTCTGGATAAAATTGGTCATTCATTTAAGGCAGTTTGTGGTACATTGCTCACCTACAAAATACAGTCACTACACTTTATAGTAAATCTTGTCAAATGCTTCAAGACACCTGAACATGAAAAATGCTACATTAAATGCAAGAATATAATTAATGGCAAAGGACAGAAATCCTGGTCAGATTTATAAGAAACTGGAACCCTTCACCCAGATGGATATACCCAAATAGTAAATTCTTAATCTGAAGTGGACTGTTAGAAAAGATTCAGGAGAAATATTCTCTCAGAGTCAAGATAATCATTTGTAATGTGTTCAATTAAGAAAGGTCATGGCACGGGTGGGAGGAGAAGGGGGTTAAAATATTAAGGGTGAATGTATTTTACTGAATTCACAATCCTAAAAGTTTTTAAACAATTATTTGTATTGTTGTTGCTCTTGGACTTGAGTGACCAATAAGCATACAGATGTTTTCCTAACATCTGGGAATTGGACATTGTAGCAGAATACAGCATAATCAAAATCCAGGAAGTAAGAGGTACAAAAAACTGTTCCTTTTGGAACACTTAAGTGAAAATACAATGAAATATTGTTGGCCTCTCTTTTTTCCTTTCCTGTGTTATGGAGAAAACTCAGAAATGAACGGTCACATGAAAGTTTTGTTCAACAACAAATCAACTGGAATTTTCAGCCACCTCAAATTCAGGAACTCTGCCAATCAAAGTAGCAGCAATGTTTGGGCCCATTTTAGGAATGTTAAAGCAAGGGGAAATCCCAGGTTTTTAATACTTGTTCTCCTGGAATCAAAGTGCAAATCATACTTCTCCTTCCTCATGCACAACTCAGAAAGCTAACATTCTTTTTCTTAAAATCTGTAACTTAGTCTGCATGAGTAAAGACACATGTAGAAGTTTAACATAAAACTAACCCTTATTTCAATATCATTTAAACACCACAGCCACTTGCTCTCGAGTCATTCAGGGACTGCTGTGGAGTGCAGCTAAGATCTCTTCACACTCCTGTGTTTATACTGCAACAGCGCAAATTGAAGAGCTGTTGAAATAATCTCCCCATGACTTGGCAGCAGGGTTCCAAAGCAACCCGCTTCCAAATTACACGGCACTTTTTGTGGTGATTAAGTGCAGTATAAACACATCATAACTAAGACTGCCAATGATTCATTAAATCTAGTTGGGTTCTCAGTTCTTCTGGTTACACACTTGCAGAGTTTAATTGTTTTTTGTTTAATGCACAAATGGCAGAACAATATTTGAGCAGCAGGAAAATAGAGGTGGTTAAGCAAGTCCTGGATCTACTTCAAATTCCACTATTATAAAATTAACACAAAATGAAATAGAAAACATGCTCATTCAAATTTACAAAGTGTTCGATGAGCACTTCAGTCCCAGATTTTGAATCCACACACAAGTGATTTTTTTGCCAGAGGCAGCTTTATTAGCTATACTAGTTTATGAAGATGGCATACAGCAGAGATCGGTAGGTGGGATAGAGAGTTTATGGTTTCTAAAAATTCTGATAGGTGGCCACATTTGAGAGGCTTTTCTAGACTGGCTTTTACACCAGATCTCCAAGGTGAACAAGTGTTCTGTTTCACCACTGTGTTCAGTTCACATTTTAAAGAAACCCAATCCCAAAGTAATCTCAACATCAAGATTAGAGCTTAAAAAAAGTAGGCAAAACCCAGCAAGATCGTGACAGGAAAAGATAAATAAGCAAGGTTAAATAAGCAAGGTTAATCAATTACAAACAAAAGCTACAGTTTGACCCTACATAGACATGCCTTCTCACTGAGCATTCTTTCTAACTTATGTGACAAGCTTGAGCAGGTTAAGTAAAAATCCCCCAGTACTGCGTAAAGTCAACCGTTACAAAATTTTCTTGTGTTTTAAAACATCCAACACCATACTGATTGGCACCAACATAAACCTAGCAAAAGCGTTCCCTGGACTTTGGCACTTTTTAAATCATTAGACTGCAATTGACACTGATGTCATGCTGAAATTTTCACTGAACAACAAAAATGCAGCCTAGCACAATTCACCTGTTTCAAATAACAATCACATTTGGATTTGATATTTTACAATAGTGATGTTCACCACACTATATATTATAATGTAAATGCCACCCAAATTTCCAGCCAAGGAGGTAACCTTGGTTTGATTTATAACGTACACACAGTAAAAAGCCCATCAACTCTTGCAATAAAACTATAGTAATAAAAGACAGAAACATCCCCCAGCCCTATCTAATAGCAATCCTTGCATTTGACACTGCGACTTTCAAGTCAAGAGGACATCTCAAAGCACTTGGTTTCTAAAAGATCTAATGGAGCAACTACGTATTTGTAGGCAAATGCAACAGCCCAACATCCCACTAACAGCAATGAAACAAATGACCAATTTTAATTGGTGTGGAAACTGGCAGAAACTCCCTTCTGAGTAATGCCATGGGTGGTTAATATCCTCCTGTACATTGAGTGCCATCTTGATTATATGAGTACTAACAACTAAGCCAGGCTGCCACACCACCATGTATATAATTACTGGTTATAGCTACATAATCCCAATTCAAAATTTTAACTGGGTTGTAATGACCTCCTCATAGTCAAAATATGAACAGTGTGCAAATAGACATTATACACAGTATTCATACCAATATATTCATCATAAAAATTTTCTTGACAGGCATTAATTATACAATCAATGGAAAAAAGAAAGGTGTATATAGTAAGGACTGGTTTATTCCTCCAGCCCACTTAGTTTTCTACCTTATGGCTGCATGTTGCAAGATATTTTATCAGGGCAGCAGCCCAACTTAACTAATAAATAGTTCCCCCACTGCATTTTTGAAGTTCTTATATACACCACTTTGGGGATTATGTGCATGATTTTCAGATAAGGAACAAACTATACAGGCCTAGATTTGTTCACTGTCTCACACAGATTTTTAGTTATCCCCATGAATTTTACCAAGCCACAAAACTGGGTCATAACACAATTGCACAGATTGCATTTAAACTAACCAGAAAATGATGTATTTTTAGGTTTTGTACCTGTATCTATTCCAACCACTCTGCCACAATCTGATATAAAGACTGCAGCCAAGAAGATCCCTTTGGAATCAGATTGAATACATTGGTTGATTTGGATCAGCACTAAGTCACCTCATTAGGTATTCAAACTGTAAAGTCTATACACCAGGTACAAGATTTATCAACCAACACCTCAGCATCCCAGTGAATGACAATTTCAGATAACTGAATAAATATGACAGTAAAATCATATTTGTGGTGGTTTAACACAATTCTAGCTGGGTGACCTAAGTTTGTGTTTGGTTAGCCGGGTGTCTGACACATGCAGATACCATCGGCCTTGCTTAAGAGCAGGGATGGCCAAACAGAGTTCCATGAATCCCATCTACAAATGAAAATTCCATGGTCTGGAATGGAACGCACACTCTCTCCTACTTACCTAATTGCAAGTTAGCAAGAGCTTGGGGACTCCAAAGTGTGCAATGGGGGGCATTCCTGGAGCTTAACCAGTTAAACTGCTTATCTAAAACTGTTTAGCTTGTCATTAAGAGCACTGCCTAGCAAGCTTTCCCACTGCTCGTCCAGCTGGGACCACCCTACCTAGTAGGAGCCTTGACTTGCAGGACCAATAGAAGTTATAGGAAGAATCCCTGCTCCCCATAATTGATCTGTTCCTCAAAGTCCTGTGATAAACCAGGCTGGTTGATCTGTCCTCGGCAATGTTCTGGAGTACTCAAGACCTGCCTGATCAGGAACTGGAATCAACTCAATTCCAACATTCTGTTGTCAAGTTCATCACCTTAAGCCAATTCTAGATGGCCTATATGTGAGACTCTGAACTTTATAGAACATGGCTCTTGTAGCTGACACAAACTAGCCAGCAACCATCATTCAGGAAAAAAATTACTTAATTTGGTCAAAATGGACTTGAATATTAGCACTTGCATTCCTCACGAATGGAATTTCAGCCAAACAAAAATTCATAGGTTTTCAGTTAATGTGACGTTACTGTCAATAAAATTCAACACTAGGTTGCAGCTCAGGAGTATTAAACAGCCAAGCAAGCTATCCACAATTTCCAGAGTCAACCAAATATTGGTGCAATATCAAGCACCAAAATCCTTAGTTTGGGCCTGTATATAACAAATATAACAAGCTTCCTCAGGCCTCATAACACCTGGAAAACCACTGCAACTTGTGTATTTGGTATTTTGTCCACCAAAATACACAGTCAATTCACTTGATAGTATATTCTGTGCAGAGCTACATCAAATGCAAGGATTATTATTATTATTATTATTATTAACCAGCAGCTAATGCAAAAACTGTCCACAACAGCAGTCATGAATGGAAACAACCTAGGGACATAGTTAATGTTTACAGAATACATGGGCACAAGTTCAATGGACTTCAGTTTCACCACCCCATTTAGTTTTCAAACTCTTGCTAAAAGTTCATTAACATACAAAATGCAGCACCTGCCAAAAACAATCCAGAAGTCCAAGTTTCCCCACAGGCTCGAATGATTGTTCAGCCTAAGCCTGTATCCTCACAACTTTATATAGATGTCAAACATACAAACAGCCATCCTTCCACACCCATGTGTTCTCTCACTCGGTTTTGCCACCTTATTGTTGAAGGCTGGAATCAGCTCATTAATACGTTTACAAGTGTTAAATTCATCTGCAAACAATAATACTACTGGTTCACAAATCAAGTTAGTACTGCAGGGTCA